GACGGCGAGAGCGGAAATTTCGTGATTTTAGTCGAAACCCTGTTCGCCAAAGGGCGGAAGGGCGGAGGTGTTTATTTGTAAGAAAAACCTGTCAAGTTAAAATCTTATGAAGCTTATGGAGTACTTCGAACGGAGTCAAGGAGCAGCTCTTGTAAATCTCAACCTAAAATGATGAGAAATTTGAACGTAAGGACGAAAAGTTTACTGTCTCAAAGCAATACTTCAAAATAGCAAGTGATTAGTGCCCTCTTATTTTGCGTGAAAGATAGGCATCAGTGTCCTCAATTTTCTCTGCTTGTTTTTTCTACAGGGTTAGATTTTTTAAGTATATTAGGTTTCTTTGCGAAGCCAATATGTCAAGAACCCCTCAAAACTTTTTTAATTAGGAAATCTATCTTGTGAGCTAAGTCTGTGATTGACCGTTTGTCAGCGTTTGGTCAAGAGTAAGGATGAAACACCTTGCGTTGATATCACAGTGTTTTGAGACATTTCCTTCGCAAGATAGGAATTTGATAAAGTCAAATGGTTGCTTGTCAAAACTCTTTTATAAAGCCATTTGCAGACATTATGACTGTAATCTCAGTTCCTGAGTAAGTCTGTGTTGATGGCTGGTATGTAAAGCTTTTAAAGGTGCTTTTATTGCGTTTTAAGGTTGGCAGCTCAGAGAAAAGTAACACGAGTTTTCAGTGAGACGTTCACAAAACAGTAAAAGCAACAAAACTGACAACGACTACCGGCAAAAGCGAAGTAATATATTAGCGTTAATGTTTTCAGCTTCGTGCAATTCATGCGGGAATTTAATCTGTCCGGTTTGAAGCCTTTTCATGTAATCTCTGGCTGGTTAACTAAATTTCCTCTTATCCAATTGCAAAAACAAACTCTCTTTTGTAGTTTATGCCCGACCATTGTCTGTTGAATCCTATCTTTGATATCGACCACAACGCACGACAAACCCATGCAGGCACGCGAACATTGAATAACAATTCATAATTAGTTTGCATATCTAATTAATTATCGCAGCAGCTAGCTATTGGAAACATGTGTTGCTGTTGTTTTTACATAAAGAAAGAATTGCAGGTCAATTAGAACCAAGATCAAAGCTCAAATCAGGAAGACATTAAATGAAAAATATTCACGTAGCATAAGTTTCTGTACAACGAGTTTCTACAAGGTCTTGTTCTGCGGCTTATTAATATTACTCAGTGTTACCTCTCAGCCTGAGAGATTATGGGTCAGTATTTTCAAGTGAACTGAAAATATAATCAGCAGTTTATTGGTTCTGTGCAACACCCTAAGCGCTGACAAAGTTAAGCGCTTGTTATCAGAAACAAAACCGAAATACTTAAAGAACAGAAATTGAGTCACTTGCTCAGTGAAAAGCTAGTAAATGCCATTAAATACCTGTCGACCTCAAAATTTCGTTGGATGCCGTCTTATGAATTAAACGTCGACGTCTTAAGACTTTTACAGCTTTGTAATGTTACTCGTTAAACAAAAGGTTTACGTAGTTGTCTCTTCTTGGAATTGACTATATATCAAGGGCTCCATTGAAGTAGGGTCAGTACACCCTTATTTCACAAGAGTTATCAAAGATCAGAGCATCATTCTCGTGTGAGATGACTGTGCGTGATTTTGAAGAATCAGTTTTACTCAGCAGGGAATGTGTGCAATTTAAAAAACATGGAACAGCGAGTGAGTTTCTAGCCAATTTCTCTCTGCAGCACACAACCCTAGATTTCCTTTGTTCACGTTGGTGAGAAGGTATCCTTCTCTGGCGAACCTCAAGGGTGGCTGTAGCGGTGACATGAGACTTGTCAGACCGTTGCCAGTAAGTTCTGAAAACTACAGTACGATTACAGTCGATTCACATCAAGTATTTCAGCCGGATTCAAATCGATTACACTTTGGGTTCAATTCAATTAAATTTTGCAACAGTTTGCTTGGTTCACCATTACATAATTCCGTATGCAACTTTTCACTTATAGTTCGTTTTTTTTTTTGTCCTTTTCCTCCTAACCCATCCCTTTGCTGATGGCGGACTCCATCACACCATCTCAACTATGTAGTTTCACTGTTCAGATTGACACTAGCCTCACTTAATTAAGGATCAAGAGAATGCGATCCTCTTGTTCAAAGCTACCGAGAGGGTACAAGTTTCCTTAATAATCTTATCAAATTTAAAAGTTAGCCCGACGCAATCAAGACCTGACTAGTGAACGAGAACTCTCTCCAGGCTTCATATCTTCGATTCATCGAGTGGCTTTTATTGATACACCAATAAGGTTATATTTCCCAATGTATCTCGTTAAACTACAGAAACTTGAAAAAATTGCGGGATCTCACGGAAGACTCTTGTTTTCTCAGCGGCTTTTATTCTTTGCAATTGACGGGAATTAAATTTCAAATAGCAATGAATCAAACTGAGCCACCTCGTCAAATACGTTAGGCCTTGTCTTACAAAAGTCCCTCAAAGTGATCACTGTTGCCAATATCTCCTCAGACGGTGATTAGTGGGTAAAACACCCGCTGCGCACAGGAGACATTATTCTAAAGGTTAAGCTAGAGAGTTGTTGCACACAAAAATACTGCTAAAGACAACACGGCTTCAGTTACAGTTGCTGAGTGGCGTTAGAGCGGATTAAAAACCCCCATATCGTGTCGGCGACAGAAGTTTTAACCAAATAACCTGTTTTGAACAAAAAAACGTTCTTGCATCATGCACTGAGAACCCAGCTTAGTGCATATTGACATTGTTGTTTTTCTTTCTTCGTTGAACGAGCTGGCCAAAGCAAAGTCCAACGAATGGAAAAGCTACGGGACCGTCTAAGGCTTTTCAAAAGGTTTTTTTTTTGTCGCTGTTGGGTGATGTGAACAAAGATCCAAGGAAGGAGAAGAGATGAATTTATCAAGTGGAAAATACCCCACGCAAAGGTGGTGTTAGTTAGGGGTCAAAAGATTGGAAAATACTGTTATCGACGTTTTATAATTACAATATGTGCGAATTCTGCGGTTGTACACAAAGGTCTTGCGATGAGAGATTATTCGTAGCGATATTTGCCATTGTGTCAAGTAAAAATAAGATTAGTAGACAAGAATAACATATAAAGTATTACGTCATGTTGTGTTTTCTTTGTTTGTTTTTCCCAATATCCTTGGCTTTCAAGAAAAAAAATGAGGGATTAATCGCCAAACTATGGAACAAAATAATCACTAAAAATTCTATTATTATCAGTGTTAGAAGTTTTGTCATCGTTACCTCTAATATTATTATTATCATTAACGTTATCATTTTTATTGTAAATGAAGCAAACTAGTTCATGGCTAGTCTCGCAGAAAATACTATAAGCTTCTAGATCATTGACTATTGCAATCAAATGGCAGTCTGTTTGACACTATGTAAATAAAGGAGCTTGTATAAAAGTTTGCATCAACGCGGTCAGCGGCTCGATGCAAGGGATATGACTTATAGCTATAATTGAATTTTAAGCCACTAATGAATGAAACTTAACTTAGGATTTTCATAAGTATCTAAAATGCTACTTTGTTTGCTTAATCTTTGATTCAGTATAAATACCCAATTTAGCAACCATACCATAGAATATTTAGTTTCATCTTATAATATTTCAGACTGATCGGTGGTAATACACCGATTGAGGGGGACTTTCGATTTCCAATAGCACTCAATCAGATCTGCAAAGATTGCGCAACAAGTACTGATGTTTTTGACCGGAAAATCTATCTTACCGGTGAAAACCCGAGAAGCACGAGCGGTGATTGTGATGAAAAGTCGGGCTTATTTGGGAGGAGTTGTTCGTGATAAATCCCATGCGCTTTTCAGTTTGAATTGTGCGGCAATGACTGGTTTTAACGGTGTATTTCAAGTTTTTCGAAGGAAGAAAGGACTGTCGATGACTTTTTCAAATGCATTCACTTACAAAATCGTTGGAGTGGTGTTTGAACTCAATTTGCGAGTCACAAGGACATCCTGAGCCTGAATAGATGACACTAAATTTACAAACTACTAAACCAATTAAAGCAGTGAAAGCCCAACAAAGCCTTGCGCCAAATATTCAATACGCACAGTGAACATGTACAAACCGGTGGCTAGAAAAAGGGTTTCAAATATCCGGTGTTTTGCTTCCAGTTAAGCTGTAAATCCTATTTAAACTCAGTACATTACTGATATGCTTTTTATCAAAGGAAACAGAACTTGAAAGCTAACCTTTCTTGATCTAATTTCAAACAAAGTAGACATGAAGAGAATCTACCGACCGGAGATAATTAAAGGATTTTTCACAACTTTATCGATGGTCTTAATCCACTAAGTTTAAGTAGCACCTGCTTTTATTCCCAGGTGGAGAAAGAAGATGAACTCCCTTAAATAAGCAATGTAGGCCTTAGCCCCGACATTTGAGTTTTTTTTTAGCTATTTGTGTCGGTGATTTTGGCCATCATGGTCTTAAATAAATCGGGTATGATTTTCGAGGGAACGATTAAAAGTGCTTGTCTTTTAAGATCCCAATGATTTAAGGGAAAAGAGCATTAATCTAAGCATGGCATTTAAGCTGAATTTTAGTATTTTAGTTTTTATAAGAAGGGAGATGGACTTAAGAGGCCAGAGGTTTATTTCTCGAAAGTTCCAATACCTGTCTGTCCCAGAAAGGTGTTTCTCTTTTGCTGTGTCTTAAATTACGATCACGATTTTAATAGGTCTAAAATTCAAACAAAAACAGTTTTCACTGAGCCTAGGAAAGGATAACAACCCCCTTATTTTCTAGGTTGAAAAAGGGAAGCCATTTACTTACTCTAAAATGCCTTTCTTCCCCCCGTCCCCCCCCACCAAAAGCAATGAACACAATTTTGATTAATATTTTAAATACCTATCTAGGTATTTTGCCCAAGAATAACGGCCGACTTCCTCGGAAATTATTTTACTTTAAGAGATTATTTTTATCATACGGTAGTATCTACCGCTTCTGGTATGAGCCCCTATCGGCTCTCTCTGTACATTTCTACACCCTATTTAAAAATTTCATCGATCTCACTTCTGCTGCAGAAGGTTCTGGAGTTTATTACAGGAAGATACTAGATACAAGTACGGAATGGTGACCTATTTCTTTCGTTTCCCTATGATATTTAAAAAACACTATGAGATACGATTTATACCAACACAAATTTGATCAGTCTTACACAAACACAAACTACTTTGTGAAATCTATATGAACAAGTTCATAAATCGATTATGTCTATTTCTAGAAAAATAACATTTAAGGGTATACAAGTTTGTTCCACAAAAGAATCTTAATGGATTCGGCGTAAGTTTTTGTTTTTGAAAAACACCCACATTAGTATTGTCCAAACAAGTTTATCAAGCGCTTGTAGCTACGGAACCAAAAATAGAAACCACAATGTTTTTAATTAGGTACAAGTATGTTTTTGAAGGTATCATTTTAATGCCGCTCTTCCGATGCAGGGAAATTTTGAGCATGCGCATAACATTTCAACTCAGTAGAAGGAAATCAACACTAATACATACATTACAAGAGCACGGCAATTCTTGTAAACCCCGAGAGTTTCCTAGATTACAGTTTTCCTTTCGGTTAGTGAGCGATCAGACACTTATCAACGCAACAGATTACAACATCTACGGCACCCAGGCATTTTTCAACGAGAGATGACGTAAATACCCATCGACTTACGTCAGAAATCTATGTTTAACTGGCAAAGCCGGAAAAGTAGAATTGTTTGCTAGACTCCGTCACACCCTCAGCCGGACATTACCCCTTCTGTTACGTTTACAATAGCGGCGGAAAAGCCCAGGTGATGTTATCAAAATTCGTGATAAGCAGCCAAGCACAGGAGATAAGTTAGAGCAGGAATAATATTGTGGGAAGGAGTTCGAAATTACTTCATAACAAATGATGTCCTATGTTGGATTGCTCCAGCATCGTCAGCTAATTCTAATTATAAGTCATGGCTTCAATAAATAATATCTAGTAGCAATATAACTTGCTCTCTTTAAAAGTGCAGTTTGGTCATGTTAAACCTACTAGTGCCTAGAATTGTTTCTTCTTACAAATGTTTCCCTTTGTTTTTCAGTTAGCAGTTTAGCCACACATAATCGAGGGAAATATAGCCGCTCAATTCTGTGTAACATAAAGATGACCACTCTCGCCATAAGAAAAAACATTACATCAGTTCAAAAATATTCAAACAACAGCCGTTTTTCAACAAAGGAAGCAAACATGGAGACCATTATCGCTTGCTTTATCTTTGAATTTCCCCTTGTGGTTTTTGGGCGTGTCGCCATCGCGACCGGAAATTGCTTCCTAACAACCGCTCTTCGTTTGGTTTCTAATCTGATGATAGTCTTTTCCTCTTTCCAATTGTCGCGCGAATTCCTCTCTCACAAACACTCGTAAAACCTATTCCCCTCAGTGTGTGCCAACCAGATTTGTTACGTCTCTCTCAGGAAGTATGAACACTATCAGTAATGATCTCCCCTCGAGAAAAACTGTAGATAAGCACCAGCAGTTATACGGGCTCTTGGTCTGTACTACTTAATCTAACAAGTTTAGAAAATTCTTCAAACTCTTAGTAAACATCCTTGTAGAGCTTGTGCCATTTTTCGACATGCCTACTTGGAGATTCGATCATTGATTTCCACTGCTCCTGGCCAGACCCAAAGGAATCAAATCCAAGAATAGCCGTACCCAAACTCCCGCCGCCAGTGTTGATCTCCGAATGATTCACTATCTTGAGCATTACGGTTGTAAGGGATATCTGGTCAGCGGAAATGTTGAAATTAAACTTCTCGTTGTACACGGGATTGAGGCTCCGTCTCTTCACGCGCGTGTTGGCCTTAGATAAGCGTACACCGTCACAGTACAGTGCAAGCTTCACGTACGGGTCTGTAGACAAAGAAACGTAGAAGTTAAGGTGGCTCCGTTTAGTTGCAAACACGGCAACTCGAAGTTCATGTTGTATGCACCGTTTCTTTGTGACATGAATGCAACATGTGAATTTAATACTTCAAGCACTAAATCATTTTAGTACAGCTAAAAATATGAGAAGTAAAATGCTTATCGACCATTGCTTTATTTTGTTTATTTGTTTTGTTGAAGATTAAAGTTTGGTTTAAGGTTTGTTTAAGGTTGAACACCTTAACGCCATTAAATGAGCCTGCAACAACTCACCTGTGCGGTCTGCAATTGTCTTTGGTAATCCACGGATCTTGGTGACAGTTACGATAAGTCGACCGCTGATCGGTCGGAAACACAACGATACACACAGTTCTCCGATGTCAGCCGCTTCCATCTGACGAATGATGGACAAACGAAAGAAACTATTGTTTAGGCACAGAGTTTTAATTCATTACTGCAGAAAAGAGGTGAAAAAATTCAACAAAATTGGAAGGTATAGGGTGTTATTTTTATATAGCACCAAACTCTCTTCACTAAATTACAAAGAAATGTATGACAGCTAAAAAGGAGAATTACAACTCAGATCATGAACGTTAAAGAGTTGGGAGAAAATACATGAAAAAGAGCTCATTTACAAACATAGCTGGTTGTTCGAGGGGGGTTTATCATCCTTTAATAGAAGCAGGCCGGTGACAAAAGAATCCGGGTATGTTAAAAGTATCCGGTGATTTCTTGGTTTTTTGGGTGATTGTTAGGAACAAACAGGATTTGGGAATGATTCTGAAGTGAAATTGTTCTATGAAGTAAAGGATTCGACTACTTTGTACGCTTTATAAGTTTGTAAGTGTTTGGGTGTCTCAATCACTTACTTTTACAATTTTCTATTTCAGTTAGATCAGGAGGAATACTGCGCGCCTTCGGTTTAACTCAAGCGCTGGCCAGCGTACAATATGTGCATGCCATTCTCTTTCTTAAAGAGGTGCTGAGGTTCCACTCAAAGATCGTAGAAATATTCTCGAACATTTAGTGGGTTTTGAAAAGGTCTTAAGGAAAGAAAGATTTTTTCTTAGCATATTCTGGGATTTTGGTATGTAAGGATTATATAGAGGAAAACTAGGTCGCCCTAGTTTGTCTGTTTAACCTACCCCGAATGGAGGTGGAGGTGATAAGTACAGCCACTTGGTGATCGAAAACGAGGGTCTGTTCTCCATCAACTTTAACTCCGACAAAGGAAAAAGTATTTCTCCTATGACATCATCAGCATATCGGTCTTTGAACTTGTCGTGAAAGTTCACTACTCTGAACTTCAACTCGTATTCTTTGATTCTATCCTTTGAAAAACCTGAAATAACAAAAGTCTCGTTGAAAACGGGATCTGGGGTTCCTTCGATGATTTTTGTTCTTTGCCAACAGAACTGCTGTGGTAGTAGAGATATCTTGACCAGTGGGTTAATTCCTTCCTTATTATCAGTTATGGGAAGGCCGACCGCCTTTATTATGTTTACTTGAAGCTCTGTTTTAGCAACATTGTAGTGAAGGGCAAACCGAACTTTTCCAAGTTTTCCATCCGGGTTATCAGGCGATGGTGTTTGATCTTCTCCTATGAGACCTATCTCTTTCAAGTTCATCTCATTCGTTTTATTTTCTGGCAAATCCAAGTGCCTCTTTTGCGGTGTGGATGTGGGATTCGAATTACATCTCTTTCTCTTCCCAGGACTGTTTTCCTCCCCAGAAAAACCTGAGTCCTTGTCCTGTTTAAAACTGATGTCTTCTCTTACCACTTCTTCTTCAGTCTTATCCAAGTTATCTTCAAGTGACGCATGCGTACTAGAGTCCGATTCTTGAACATCCGGGGTAAGTACCGTCACTTTCTGTCGTGACCTGTGATCTGTCTCGTCTCCAGAGACAGAGCTTTCGTCATTGAATGTGGTCGAATCGCCATTAACAATTTCATTGGAATAGTTACACAGCCGATGGTAGTAATACCTTGTAGGAGGACAAGGAAAACTACGATTTTTTGTCTCTTGAACATTTAAAGATACAGTTTTAGGGAAAGAAGAGTCCACTATCTTGTCTCCCATGACAAGTTGTATCTTCTGCGAGGCTTCTTTTGCGGCATGCGCGCGTGACTTTTCCCCTGTTATCTTTTTGTAGGCGCTGACGCCTAAAACAACTAAAAGGTAGCCGATAGCAAAGCCCAAGAGGATTGGCAGGACGAGAATGCCAAAGAGACATAATAATCCCGTGTTGTTGGATGCAAAGCGTGTCATAAAATTGGCTGAATGTGGTTTACTGCGAGGATCAAAGTCTGAAAGAAAAAAAATATAAAACACATAAATAACATACATGCATTTATGCGCTCCTCAGGGAAATTATTGCGTGTAGAGAATGCAAATTTTTTTTAGGTGGCGTTGAAAGCCAATTTCCCTCGCACATAAATATTTCGAAAAAAAATGACAAAGCAACTTAAATAGCCGTGACGGAATAATTAAATAACACCGTTAATTTTATTGGGAATATCAAAATGTAATAATATTTCCAGAAACAATTGCGTATAATCATTGTTAACACCAAATTACAATTGATAATTTTTTTATTATTCGTCAGTAAAACGGCAAAATTCAAATTCAAGAGAGGGAGAAAAGGAAAAGGAAAGAAAACATCGCAGAATTTTAATATGTCAAAAGGCTTTCCTGTGGCCCCTCAGGTTAAATTGCCGGGGTTAATTTATCAGATTACAGTTTTGATACATTTCTAACGTTTTAAAGCCCGAAATTTTTTACGTAAAGATTATTTCAAATTGTGTTCAAAATGGTAGCAGGCCAAGCTGATGTCAAATTAATTTTTTCCCAGCCTATGACTAGCACGATTTTTTTTCTTTATAAGCGGCGATAAGACGCGCAAATTCTCGCAAGGGGTTCATATTTTTTTCAACAAGGCCCAAACAAGACATGGTATTGAAATGCAGACTAAAAGATAACACTGAATTGGTGTTCACACTGATCTGCAATGGGAGGGTAATATTGCAATAAATTTCTCACAATATAAATTTTCTGCCATGGTTATCAACAACTACTGTTGCACTGGGTAAATAACGAAAATTTATCTTACATGTATTTGTTGTTTGAAAGGAAGGAATAATAGATAGATCCTCAGCGATCTTCATATGCAAAGATTTGTCAAAAATGCGAGAATCTATACTGATAAAAGAACAGACTTAATGAAGAATCCTCCTAGACTATAATTGTGTAAACGCTCACAATTCTTGGACGAACATTTTGCCCGTATCAAGTTCATTTTGATCTGAAGTATCATAAAAAAATAAAACCATTGACGATGAGTTGATATCGCAACTGCTATGAGAAATCTATCGACAGGTAAATAGAAACGTTATCCGTCGATGTATTTATTAAAAAAAGCGTCTTACCACGTTTGATGTTCTTACTGTCTCTAGTTAGAGACGACTTGTTATGTCGATGCGGGGTAGGAAGAAGTGGCGCCATAATCTACTTCTCTTGTCCAATTTACACTAAACCGGTCTAGATTTAACACAAGTTTCACCTCCACCATCGCCGTGAATTTACTCTCTCTCTCTCTCTCTCTCTCTTAAATTCACCTCTTGTTTAGCAACTCGGAGATAAATAGCCTCTCTTGTATCAATTCACCAATTTTTCACAGGGTGCGTTATAATTGTACAAAATTCACTCGAGCGCATTTTGAATGCATCATCATCGTGCATTTGCATATGAAAGGGGCGACGTGTCTGTTTTTATTATGTTTTGGCCAAGCAAGCGGCTCAGAAGTTTATACAGGTGGAATTTAGTTGTTAAGGGCTACCCTGGTATAAAAGACAATATAACAGATCTGAAAAAAACGAGCAAATCGTTCACTTCTCATGCATTACATGGTTTCAAAGTCTCGCAGAAAATGGTCGCGTTTCATGAATGCAATTTTTTTTAGGGAGAAAAAGTGTGCCAGAAACACTGAAGTTCGCTAATGTAGTTCAATTCTTCCTCAAAGAGCCCTCATTTTCTCTTTGTTTCACTTCAAAAGGATCAACTTAACTCTAAACTGGGACAAATATAAAAGTTGCCATGCATGCCTACGTATCAAAAGAGCAAAGCAACAGAACACATTTCTTTCTTTCACCAGATTTTCCTTATTTGTGAATCTGAATTGATTCAAGCTTGAAAGTGATATCAAGTGCATCCTATGGACAAGAATGCACCATTTGTATGTAAACGCGGTACGACCCAACAACAAATTCATTACGGCGCCAAAATAAAGCAGTGATCATTGATTGGTCAGTTACTGGTGAAATGTTTCTCAATTGGCACCAGGTGTGACGATTTGGTCTTTCATCTCTTTTCCTAATTTTGTCTAAATATAAGTCATAGCTGGTTTCGAGCAACAAATCATATCAAATATCAATAAATCCATCCACCATTCAGCACTCAGCGTTCTAAGTCAAAGCACCTTTATCTTACACAAAGCACATTCTAACAACATCATAGTGCTCTTTGCAACTCAATACCCAGTACTCAAAAAAATTTGCTGAGTGTTTGCACACTCAGCGCAGGTGAAATTCAAAACGAGAAGCATCTCTTTTTTTCTGTAAGAATACAATTAAGTGTTACACTTCAAGGCTGTAGCAAATTCATCAAACTTGATCAAACTGACAAACGACATCCATACAAATAATTATCAAGACGATAATCCAATTCCGGAGCCTACCTTTTTCAAGTAACCTCTGGCTCGAATTATAGTATGGATTAAAAAATTCGTTTTGACTGAAGATCAGGATTGGTCAGGAGCATGCAAGCTATTATGTTTTAAAGTAGCAATTCCGTTGCGGTAAACCGAATTTCTTCGTGTAGAAATTGGCCGCCGCTGCAGTGATCTTTTCAAAATATCCAGAAAAATAATCTTCATAATTCAATAAGTATTCCAACAATATTTTTCATGTGTTAAATCAAGCATTCCTTACCTTTGAAGGTCGGAAGCGTCATGCCAGGCGAATCCTCCGATGGTCGCCATTTCATCATGGCGATAAAACAAAGACTTCTTTCCAGCCTTCCACAAGTCGTGACGTCATCATGGCCACCGGCTCTGATCGACGGGTCCTGCAGTTTTACTCTTAAGCGCGGATATTCAGCGAAAATTTTGTTTATTGAGTGTGTTAGTTATTTTCGGGATACCACGGAAATGTGAAAAGTGACATTGAAAAAGTTATCTTAATAAATTGCTTGTCGAAGTATAATAAGTTTTCATTTTCAATTTTTGGCTTCCGTTACGCTACGCACTGACTACATCTTTACAGATTCATTGGGATATTCGTGATTCAGGAGTCTGGAGGATTAAATAAATGCTTAAGTCTATGGATCCCTATTTCTCTAAACCTAAGATCAGTTTACAAAGTTTTTGGAACATTTCTTGCGCAGTAACGCGCTTGATTTTTACCAGCTTTTTCTGGGAAAAAATATTTAAAGGTTTAGCTTGTATGGTTAAAATTCCTGGGATCAAATTAATGCTAGCCATTTATACAAAGAGATAATGGAATATCTGATAATTTTGTCTAACCTGGTGTCCCTGTGATCTGGTGTTCGTTTCATGCGGAGTAAAGCGATGTTCGTAGAATCTAGGGTTTTGACGTCACTGTTGTCATGACTGCGCTTGAGTTCACGCCATATGCGACGTCAACACGTGACCAGCAGAGGTGAAGTTCAAGTGGAAGATGCTGGAGGTGTTGATGGAAATTTCGACGGGATTGTTCCCTTAGATTATGGAAATACCGTCAAATGGAAGAACACAGTATGCGTTGAGTAAGTAAAACCAAAACATGCTTTTGTCTTAAACACTGATTCGAAATTGGATAAATTGATTGTTACGAGCGGTGTTTGGGCTTATGTGTTTATGTACAGCATGGACATTTCGTAGGTCACAGGTGCATGTTTGCAAGCAATTTTTGTCTGTTAAATTTGATATTTTGTATAAAGTAAACTTCGCCAGGTAACAACTAAAATCCTTAAGCTTTAGTTTTGCAAGTCTATGCTATAAAACAGAACAAGGATACAGCGATAGGTTTTCTTGATAGCTCAAGGTACTGACGTTTTAATAACAACCGGCATCAGCAATATTTCAATCTCACGCTCTGACGGTTTTCTCTTAACACTGATAAAGAGCACTGCCTGTGTAGACAGAGGAGCAAGGGACATACCTGCCAATAAAAACAAGAGTTCATAAACGTTCGATATATTGTATTTTGGACGTCAGAACTTCAAAAATATGACTTTTCTTGTGTTCGTGAAAGAGTTTTTTTGGCTAGTTACGCCCAGTCCGAAGAGTAGTCATTCCCAAAGGGCGTGAACGTAGTTCATTGCATGGGACATCAAGAGAGCATACCATGAACTAAAAACTTTTAGGCGATATATAACTAAAAAGATCATTTAGTTTTTGCATTGGAATTGAAGCTTCATTTCTGATCGTTTCTAATCTGGTAAAGAAAAAGGAAAGTTATTGGAAACAATTTCTTTTCCCGCCTGGCACGACGGGTGGACTGACAGGTGGCAAAAATCATTATTTGTTTTAGAGGAGTGTCACCTTAATTTTTAACTCTGTTTTTCTATGTTTCTATTTGTGATTTTGTTTTCGTTGGTAAAGAACGAAACCGGAATATATTAGAAATGATGAATAAATCTGATGCAAGAAAGTCATCGTTATAAATCTGGTTTCTTCCATTTCGACTCCAGATAGAATGACAAATTTTGTACCAAAAATTGTAACACATAACGCTAGTTACCGACGTGAAGTTTTAAGTATTATGAGAGCTTTTACGATAATTCGACATTAATTTTTTCCTGGAACAATTACAAGGTAGGGGAGCCTCGTAATTAACGGTCAATCGGATAATTTGAGGGTAACCAATATTTATGAGCTGTTGTGAATTAAGAGGTAAGAAATCCTTTGGGAAAATTTTCACAGCATTCTTTACTGGTTACCTTCTTCGTATTTTGGGTCTCATGGACAGAACTGAGATGATTCACGATTCAATGATTTTTAGAAGCCTGCTTCATCTCAAGGCGGCACTTATTGTTTCAATCTGAATATGCTTTTTTATAAAAAGAGCGGAATAAATTTTAGCCAACCTCTCTACAAAGAGTGAACTTCCATAAAACTTATTTTGAAGTGTATAATTCTAAATTTTGTTCAGAGGTTTATAAAATAGAAAACAAAAACTATCCTACTGACATCGATAGATTCTGAATTTTTTCACGTAACATATCTACTTTATTTCAGACCTTTCTGACCAGACCTCTGAGGAAACTGACGTCATACCTCAAGATAACTCAGCTGATATCAGCGCGTTCCTTCTTCCTGCCATTGGTGCGTTACTTATGCTTATTTTCGGCGGTATACTTTTTTCAAGCGGAACTGTCCCATGCAAAACCAAAAAAATGTCGGAGGATAAGTTTAAAAGAAAATTTGAACAAAAATATGGGCGACGGACGATTCGTTTTCATAACATACCGGAGAAAATCGCAAAAGAACCGTCCTCTGTGCTGCAGCAAGAAAACAACGACGTTGTGGATGCTGTAAGGAAAGAATATCAAGATTTACCGCAGTTCCAGCCAGTCAGCGGATTAGTTGGCAACATCGGGGGATTACTTGGGCAGACATGCGTAGTAAATATGTCTAAGGCGGAAGTCAGAGATACAGGTGTAAGTCCAATTCATTTCAACACAAAAGATTGCAAAAAGACTTCGTATCAAGACAGGGATTGCGTGATGGAATGTTTTAGCAGAGACGACCATGCACAAAGAAATCCCGCTGCATCCAGCGGAATTGGTACTGATTCTCCGGATAGTTACGAAGTCGATAGTTTAGAAAAGTATCCGATCAGTGAACATCATTCTTTAAGTTTCCACGAAGGAGAAATAAATGAGATACCCGGCAGGCATAGGACACCTCAGTTTGACTATGGAGTTTATGGTGGAGGTCGAGCAAGTGTGCTCCAGTTAGAAAGTGCTCCTAGTACTTTATGTGTTAAAGGCTGCAATTGTTCCATACATGGGGCAGATGCTGAAAAAATGAGAACCAGTGCAGAGAAGCCTCGAGTTAACAAAACACAACTTACTTGGGGTGATATTGCACAAAGCTCAAATAAAACTCAGGATCATGGGAGCGAATGTGACGCATATACAGCGCACAGTGATATGATAAAGCCTCAAACTCCAGGTGCGCAGATATCTGGATCTTTAACGTCAGAGAATATGAGAGAAATTAATAAAAGTCCACTGAGACGCATGGATTTGGAAAAGTGGCTAAACGATGTGGAAGAGTCCCGCAATGAAGGAGGGAAGATCAGCCCTTCGGCTATTGACTCTCCTGACGAGGAAATTGGAAGGCCTTGGTGCGCAACTCATGAGAGGGACTGTCAATCGAGCCGGAGAAAAATGCGTGCACCACTTCAGGAAAGTTTACAGCTGTTGGCAAAACTGCAGGTAATTTCAGAAGATGATTTGCCTCTGGCTCAGAACTCAGTCCATCGTGGAGGTCGCCTAAGCTGCTTGCAAACGGTAAGGGCACCAGGCTCACTGTGTTTGGGTCCAGGTAGTTGCATAGGGCATGGTGAGTTTCAGATGACCTCCAGCCAATCAAATAAGACAAATACGATAACTGCTGAAAATAGTTCTGAGTTTCTGAATGACGATCGTCAGCTTGTTACATCAAGAACTGAGCGCCTCGCGAAAGGTGGAAGACAGAGTACTTTAGATCTCCTTAGAGCGTCAAGTGCGATGTGTATTCATGGACCTTCTTGTAGAGTTCATTGCCAGAAAACGGTAGAAAAGTTTCCCTGCACACCTGAGAAAGGTTTTAAAGCGGCGTTACACTCTGAGCAAACAGAACTAAGAGGTGCCAGCATTTTGGGTGCTGTCCAAAGTGAAGAAGAAGATAGAGCGATCATTGAAACCACTGCAAGACAAAGTGAATTTGTGAATACGGATATCAGAGAGAATGAACTTCGAGGGGCGAGTATCTTTGGTGATTTCTGCTCTGTGAGAGATATGAACTTGAGAGGAGCGAGCAGCTTTGCTGAGCAACCTAAAAGAAAGTTCCATAGTGGTCGCAGTTGTGGCGATGAAGCAAACAATTTTCAAATAAACTTGGAAGAAAATAGGGGTGCAAGTTGCTTTGCACCGATCGATGAAAGTGTAGCGGATACATCAAGCGTGACACTAAGCTTCGCTGTGGAATCTGACACAGATAGTTTTTTTCCCGATAAAAACTCGAGGCAGAAAAAAAAGGTGGTTCTAAGTAACACTCTACATGACAACTTAGAAGTTAAAGATGCAAAGAAATACCAGACTGTGGATGGTAGAATCTCAACTGCTAATGCCTCAGAAAAAAAGGATGTTGGTCTTGTCCAAAGAGAACATTCAAAAAATTTTGATCAGCGAATTTTAAAAGTGGGTAAAGACACTCAAATAATGTCTACTCTTTTAAATGCACTTCGACGAGATGGTGAAAAGCGCAAACAGCAGCAAAATATCGACCAAGGATCCAATCATCTTACGAGCGACAAAGAAGCTCTAGTAGGAAATCTAAAAGTGTCTGTTTTGTACAAGAACGGTAATTCTGTCACCTCTTTGCTTTACGTCTCTATTTTGGGTCTTGAAGTTACTCTAAACGAAAATGTAATGCCAGAATGCGATGTTTACGTAAAAGTTTGCCTTTTACCAAAATTTTCAACATGGCAGTGTACAAGAACGGTAAACATTACGGACAGCTTTGTTTTGAGAGACCATTTTGTCATGTCTGGAGTAAAAGCAATGGATTTAAAAGAAGCTATCCTCAGATTTATGGTTGTGCGTTTGGGAGAGGACGACAAACCCTTTGCTCAGGTGGACGTGTCATTAGAGGAACTTAAGTCTTGTGATAAATTCAAAAGGACTTATGCGCTGCATGCGCCTACCGACAACGCATAGGATGATGGGACTTCTTAAAATGAATGAGAATTAATCGAGAAACTACTCTGTATATGACTAAAGGAAAAGAAAACCCATGATAACTCTTACTTTTAATCAAAAAGTGGAATACATTTTTTGTACCGGAAAAAGATCGATATTATTGTGACTTTTCTTATATTGGAAAGATATTATTAGATAGATCTCGGTTCGCATGAACACTTTGAAAGATTTAACCTCCATTTTTCAAATTTAAAAAAAAACCTGAAAATCGTCCCCAATTCTAGTCATCTTGGCGACTTTTCTACCAAAATTTTCGTCACTTTGAAGCTTGTATTTCCTGGGAAGTATTGATTTAAGATTTCCTGCCAATATACGTCTTACTGTTTTTAACGACCTAAATAAATCCAATATTTCTTGACTGACCTACCTCCATTGAAGAAAAAACAGGTGCTTTATTTATGTGCTTCTTGCTTGCCCAACAGAAGAGTGTTTACACTAGATAAAAACCTCCGCTTTCGGGAAACTTGGAAATAGGAATCTTTCAAACTGTTCTCATAATAGATGGTTAATTAGCTTTGACAAAATTTAAATGCATTGGGTTCATTCGAAAAGAGATCGATTAATTACCCCCCTAACATCACCTAAATAAATTTATTTCAGTTCTCTTAATTTGCGCCACAACGAAACCGAAAAAAATTCTCAAGGCTTTCCTATTTTAGGCCTTTCAACAAACAAGCAGTTTACTCCAGTGTAGCTCAAACATTTGCTTTTTTTAATCATAATATTCTTTGTTTCCGAGAAGAATGTACCATTTACTCGACCCTGTGAAGTGACATAACCTCCATTATCTATTTCTCGCCTTAGAGAGAAAGCGTTCAAAAATCTTATTTCGGCAGATGCTTTGGAATGATAATTGCCATTTTGGATGGAATTTTGTTTTCAAAGGTTGAAAATAAAATCAATCAAGGAATTCACTGCAAGACGTCAAAAATCAATGAAAATCAACCCGAAAGATATCAAATCAACAAAAAGTGAGTAATGGTAGAGAGATGTTTACATGACATCGACCTTTAGAGCTCTGCGTTAATGTATTGTGGTAGAATTTGGAACGCAAGAAGGGGTGAAAAAACAGATTGGCGGTCCAAAATACATAATTTAACATTGATCGAATAGTGGTTCATTATTCGAAGAGTAATCTAATTCATTTCAGCGTAAATATCGTTACTTGTGTGACGCAAAGAGAGCTGAGTGGCTTTGCAGTGTTTTGCATAACAACAAACCCACGGCCAAATGGAACAAAATGTTACGCACGAGTGAATGCGGAACTTTGAAAGACGTGTATGATGGACAGATATAAATGCCCTTTAATAAGCCTTATTTATATTCACAACTAATTTGCAAACAGTAATCGAACTACTCGACCCCGCGAAAAGTCCAAGTAAGCAGAGCCTTCGACACGTTTATGCATTAATAAGTTCCCGTTTGGTTGTGACTCGAGAAAGCAACGTTTTTTACTGCGGAAAAAGGAAGCATGACTTAAGAACGTTCAAATGACGGTACGTAGACACGGTATAGTTTAAAAGACTTTCAAACTTTGGCGTCCTTTTAAATCGCGGCAAGTTTTGAAGAATTTCTTATTTGACTGCCACTCATAATCTTTTTTTTTCGGACAGGATCCCAACGTTCTTGGCGTTATTTTGGGGTCAGTTCTTGGTTTTCTGGCGGGAGCCATCGTAGTCTGTGTTGGATATTTTGTTTATACAAAACGATCGGGGACTTATAGTCCACTTTCACGGGATGTACGTGCGAAGATCGATTACTATTCCGCCTCAAATCCCGATGGCGCATTCCTCGCCGCCCAAACTCGACCAGTTCAAGTCCAACCAAATGTATATACGCTAGCAAAGTCTTCCGCAGAATCTTACCCGGAAATAACCGAACTAAACGATGGTGATCATCGGAGAATTCGCGTAACGAGGCCTTACGAAGCTGGCGCAATTGCTACCATCCCGGAGGACAGTGAGGACGTTGAAGACGGGAGCCCGCGAAGTCTTGAGAGAAACGGGTCGACCGGCTCAGACAAGCCAAAACTATCAAAACGAATGAGTTTACCCACCACCCTTAAATCTGATGGATTATTCAATCCTAACCGAGAAGAATTCTTAAAAAAGAAATTTTCATCAGAGGAGGAGGAATGTCGGCTTGAGTTCTCGTGTTTTTACGACACGGCCAGTCGTGAGTTACACATTACCGTAATTCAAGTTGTTGGGATTTCTACGCCAAACGAAAGTTTCTTACGCCCGCCTAGTTGCAGCGTTAAAATGCGCATATTACCCGAGATGTTGTCGTGGCAGTGGACACGCAGAATTTCACGTACTTCGAATCCTGCTTTCAACGAAACTTTCATCGTTCCTGGTTTTGTTCACAACAAATTACGAGAGTGCACTGTACACTTTGTGGTGTTGGATTTTGATCATGTGCAAGACACTGTTTATGTGATTGGGGAAGTAATCATGCCCTTGTCAGAACTACGAGCTAACAGACTAGAGAAGATTATCAAAAGAGTGAACCCGCTTGCTTTCTAAGTTTATTGAATAAATTTTTTTGCAATGAATTCTCTGACAATAACATGACGATCGGGGCAAAATGGAAATTAAACACAAACAGGAAAAAATTCCTTGTAAATTAAGCCCCTTTATTCATACGCATTTAAGCGAAGCGTTTGAGGAAAGCTATCGGACTCATTTAAAAATTAAGTTTACAAACGAATCACAGCTGACTTACTAATTTAAAAGAGAGTGACGCATTGTTAAGATATATATTTGGAATATTGCGATCTTGACCTAGGTGGTATTTCGTAAATTCGCGAGAGATAGTAACTATTATTTACATATCATTGTCATTATAATTTTTTCTCGTCACCATACGCATCCAACTGAAACGATTTGCCCCTTGTTATTAAGCAGTTTTACCATTTCATCCTCAAATACAGCAAGAAAAATTTTTGACCAGTGTTGGAATTGTTCGTAATATATTTAACACAATTTGTTTCGTTTTCAATACTGGTTTCTATAATTGTTTAAAAAGAATATCGTTCTAACTTGCATATATTAATTATTGGCGCTTTTTGTTTATTGGGTGGCAGCAAATAAAGTCGTGTTAAGTAATCTCTGACTTGGTGTGATTTAATGAAACCTTAATCCTGTATTTCATCGCTAATAATCTTCCAGGTATGATAATTATGGTATTTTCACAATGAAAATGAAATAAGATGGGAAATCCGTGAAAATTGAGGGAGACATACAATCTTCGACTATACACTATGAGCTGCTAATACAGCGATGTATTTCACTTGTGTTACGTGAGTGGAAACCGGAGTTTTTATGGCGGTTTGTGAGAATCCAGACAGACAACTGACTGACCAATTATGATATAGTGTTTACTACTGTGATAAAAAAAAAATCGACTCGAGTTCTCTTTAAAAATCCGAGATTCGGTCTCGCTCATCAGTCTATTTAGACAGTCCTTCTCTTCTGAGAAAATCTGATATGAACCGCACAGGGTTTAATATTTGTGTGAGGGGAATCTGTGGAGAGAACAAATCTACTCTTGGTGCAAGGTTGGGGCATCCACTAATTGGCGCAAAAAGGCATATAGAGCGACTTTTCAAGGTCAAATTAAACGGTTAAAAAGTTTTGTTTGATATCATTCATTTTTCCTTGTTTTGAAACTACTATGGCGATATGTGATTTGTAACAGGTCATCGGGCTGAAACAGACACGTATTTGTCCAGAGCCGGCAAGGTCAGTTGTGGTTTACATAATTCCTCGAGCAATTATAAATATAAAGTCATTATCAGAAGATGGAGAGCTTAACTGCAATCATGTTTCAAAATATTCAGGTTCAATGGATAAATTAATCCATTGCGGAAGAAATCACACAATTGCTCTAAATTGAGTCTATATTTGGCTGCAAAAACAAGTCAATCGGTCACGCAGGCACGCAATCATCAAAAACCTGCTCAACGCCTATAAGACTTATGTACAAAATAATCATCCCTTGAGTTTAAAGGGGAAACTTTTCATTTATCTATAAACCCGTCAATTACTTAAAACTCTACACTGCATCTCCGAAAACATGTCAGATGAAATAGTGAAGGGAAACACACATAGTGATACAAGACGCGAGGATAACGGGAAAGAGGAGGAATGGCGCTGAGTAAACACATGAAGAATACATTTGAACCAAACAGAAATTTATATTACTAGAAAATTCACCCCGATAACTCAGCTGTTCCATTAAAATAATTTCCCTCTTAAGCTATGCATGACTAACATAGACAGGGAGAGGAGGAAAGTGAACCGGGAGGGCTCAAGAAGCCGCTCATGCAGACATTACTTCATACCCCCACCGATCACTAAGATTAGTACCGAGAGAAACATTTTCCCTCTTATGGGATCAATACGCTGACGAGGAAACATTCGTGACAAGAATATATTACCTCTTGAGTGGGAGCTGGGAAGTTTATCCATAATAGATATATGCGCAATCATCTCGCGAGAGCATAAACAAAAGAATTTTGTTTGTTCAAACATTAACGTCACCGGAAAGCTGTTTGGGTGCTTCGTACATTTTCATTCTTTTCAGTTCCTGCGTAGTCCTAAAAGTCCGCGTAACTTCACGATTTCGCCACTATCTCGCGCTAATTTGTGAACTCCAAATTAAATTATGTGAAATTTGAGACAGCTTGTATTTCCCAGTATTATCCTGTGTCTTTGACTCACGCAATAATCATAATCTCAACAAAATCAGAAATACCCCTATTTTCTCTCGTTTTAAGGGAATATAACTGTCAGTAAAAAAATTAAAAGCTTTTTCATTCGCTATTTCCAAAGGAAGTGAAAATTCGAAAGCGAAATGTATTCCTTACAAGGGATAATCTCGAGTATGTTCTCACTTTTCAGACTTCCGGTTACTCCTTGCGTGACAGAAAGCATTGTGCTTTGAGAGATCCCATTGGTCGTATCCCAAACCGGAAGCAAGGTAGCTCATGGAACACGTAAAAACGAGAACATAATTTATTTTTGACTTGGTGACTTAGCGCGCGCCAATATTGCTTTCGAAAATATGACCGACTACAATAATTTTGAGACAAATATACTCACTTCAATCCTGAAATATTTCTGTAGGTAAATTCCATGGAGCAGTGTTCGAGTAAAATTTGGGTTTCGATTCACCGATGGCCAGCCGTGTAGAAGTTTCCTAGATGGTTAATCAAGGTAAACTACTTCAATCTAACGTTTTGTTTCCAGTATCAGTGACAATATATTCGACTGATTTCAATAGTGCTTTAAACTTTCTGTTTTCCTTCTTTATTGTAGTTGTTTTGGCTGTTGGTTTGGGTTTAGTCGCCGGATTGGTTGTGGTCGTTGTTTATTTGCTGATACAGTATTTTCATCAACGCTCTTCAACAAATAATTATAAATACACCCAGCTGACATCTGATCCTACACTTCGCTCGCGGACAATAATCAACCAGGACATTCCACCATTCTATATTCCCCAGGCCGTCTCTGTTCCACAACAACAACCGGCGATCGGAGAACTTCAACGAACTGGTAGTATTTCTAAAGAGGAGTATCGGCATGGCCATGCTCATCTGTCAGCGACAGTTCACAGTGTCAACGTGCGGCGCAAAGCGGAAGATGGAGGAGGCATACAGCTAGATGCAATCAACACTGGAACAATCTCGCCTCCGTCCATAACACCCAAATTGCCAAGAACCCCGAGGACACCGCGAAAAATTTCGCACCCACAAAAGCAATCCTCGAAAGAAAATCTCTCTATTCCGCAGCAAAGGAAAGTTGCGGTTCACAAGAAAAACCCAGAGATAAACTTGGGAAAACTTGAGTTTTCCCTATATTACGATCAGTCTTTTCGTTTGCTGCAAATTTACGCAACCCGTGGGATTAAGATAGTGATTCTGGGAAGCGTACATCCACCTGATATACATGTCGCTGCATCGATTGTTTTAAATGGCAAACAAATTTGGGAACAGAAAACTCGTGTGGTTAAGAAAACGAACGATCCGCAGTTTAATGAAAAACTGGAGGCGTACGGAATAACTCAAGGAAAACTTTCAGAGGGTATGTTACGCTTTCAGCTGTTGAATACTCAAACGAACACAATTATCGGAGAAGTGGAGTACATTTTAAAAGATCTTCCGCCGAACAAGTTAACAACGAAAACTCTTCCCCTGATTCCAGTTGAAATAGATGAAACAGAATGCCCCATCGAGGTGTGTGTTTTGAAACTTCTTGAGCGCAGCTAATTACACAATATTGACTTATATTGCGTGACTATTTAAATGTCAGTTTTTTATATCACAGATTTAAAAAAAATTCACAAAACTCAAAATTTTTGATAAGTTTGACAAAATCTACAGAAGACCGAAGAAAGATTCATTGTTAATCAAGATATCAGAAACAGACAGTAAAAATTAAGTTTATTTAAATGAACGGATGCTTATATCATGTAAAATACCAGAAAGTTCCTCATTCCAATCTATTGAAATTTTTCAAAAGATTCCGTCAGTGTCACAGTTTGACGCGATGCTCTTTTGTTTTGCCCCTCAATTTTGCTGTGTAATTAAAAAAAAAAAAAAAAAAAAAACTTATTTTGGTTCCTATAAATATCAGGGATTTTAGTTTTTTCTAATGAATTGGAAAAATATACTTTAACTATGCTCCGGATCAAAAGAGCCGGAACCCAAACAATCGAGGGAGACGATGACATTACGTCAGAGAGGCGACAAACTTGACGCCGCGACGTAGATGATAAATTTTCCTTCTTCATACAGCTTAGAAACATCTGAGACTTTTTCCCATGTGACAAAATTAAATAATTCCACACTTCCTTATTTTTTATTGCTTTTCCTCTCAGTTCTCAGGCAGTGATTCATACTCCTATGTTAAAATTTTTTCACACGGTTCATGATCGATATCGCCGTTATGCTGACGTAAACTGGTCGCTAAATTTGGGTTGTTAGGAGTTGATTTAAGCGATATAGGTCTGGAGTACATTGAGAGGCTTGCGCTAATTGCAAAGTTTGTCGACGGTAGGGATGCTGACGCAATGCATTAAAAAATAGAAATTTCATTAACACAATATTTTACAATGGGGGGGTTGTTCACCAGCGTCTGAATGAAATTTTGGAAGATATTAGGGATGATATAAAATACACATTTTAAACTCCCCCCCTCCACTCTTGTTAAGTCCTTGTTCGAATGCAGCAGCTGTTTTATTCACAGCAGCGACAACAAAAAGAGAACTTAGCAGAAAATTTTGAGACGAGGACAGCAACTGAAAATGATAAAAGTAATTCTTACGTGCTTGACGCTGATGGTTACGAGTGACTGTGAAAGGGTCGTCTTAAACTAAATTGGGAGGGCCATAAAGGTGGAGAAAGAAGTTTTGTCTTCTGGTTGCGGTCTGAAGAACATTTTCCTTTACGGAAACCTCATGACCTATAATTGAGCGCTTTTTTGGGCTCGCTTTTATTTCGGGAACATAACTGGGAGAAGCAAAAACCATCGAGTCTAAGCCACTTAGGTAGCCGCTTTTGACAGTCAAGTGTTCGCTTCCGTTGAGTCTAACAAGCTCACTTTTTACATCGGATTGATAAATGTCTCGGCTGGTTTTTAGTTAATCTCATCCGTCAATATTTCAGGCAGAGACGCACTCCAATGTTTTGAGTTAATGATGTCAGGCAGAAACAGATTTCACCATTGCAATCACATCTTAGTTATCGAAAACGGACAGCTATACAGCTACAGTCTGTGCATGCGTGGCCATAGTGGAAGGGGAAGCGAAAGAAGAGAATGAACTTCGCCCTTAAAGCAATTTTGCCCTCTCCATCCTCTCCCCCCTCTCTACATCACCTTTTCTACGTTGGCCGTGTAGGCATGGAAAGCAACGACTAAGCATTTGTATCGACCCCCCCAACTTTGACAAGAAAACGGCCCCTAGGCAAAAGTTTTCGGAACTCTAACTTTTAATTAATGCAACTAAGTAAACCATGGAGAAACTCGAGAGGGTCGACCATCATTGACCTTTGCTATAACCTTCCTTATCTTTTTCTGACTTTGTTTGTTTTCAGGAAGAAGTTGAAGATTTATCCTCTGAGCTTGGCGAGCTATCGATTTCTTTGCGTCACAACCCGACGGATCAAAAACTGATGGTGAAGGTAAACTGTGCCAGGGGCTTACAACAGATTACAAAGGACGGGAGACTAAGTGAGTAGCCCTTCCAGATAACAACAACAATAACAAAGTATATAAATAAATAAGAGAAAGAAAGAAAGATAATAAAACAAGATAATTTTTTTACAAACTCTCTCCACCATAACGAATGATTAATAACTTCTTAGATTATTTTCATGGATGATATATCGGAGTTTTCCCATATGTTGAAGCACAAAGTATCAAGAAAAATGCTCGATTAAGACAATCAATTGTACATTAAATGAAAATGGTTGAATTTTTTAGATACCTTATTTAATTGCAGTGAAATATCGTTGTGCAGTTCGATCGACATGTCCCTTCGGCTCGCCAAACACTGTTCAAAAACTCTTGGAAAAGGTTTGGTAATAGCGTACAGTTAACGTCGACTGTCGGTATCTTTTTTCAGATCCATTTGTGAAACTAGATCTCACCTTCTGTGGACGGAAGCTTAGCACTCGGACGACAAAAACTGCTCATAACACCAAAACACCAAACTTCAGCGAAATGTATGTGTTCGATGTGGACTCAGACAAACTGCCTCAGATCACGCTGTTCTTCAAGGTTAAGCATCGTGGTAGAGTGCGTGACGTTCCCTTGGGCACGGTGCATCTTGGGTATTGCGTGAATGTCGAGAGCGAATACAAACACTGGGAACAAGCCATGGAAAAGCCTCACCTTGAAATAGAGCAATGGCACACTCTCCAAGAGTATTTTATTGAATGATTGAATTTCTTCGTCCCTCGACAGTGAGATGAATTACACTGAAACTTGTAAAATAGACCTAATTGAATTTATTTGGGTGAAATATGTATGGCCTGCGGGAGAGCTGGGTAGAATCTAGATACCACAGGGAAAATTTTTAATAATGAAATAATCAGGTGGCAAAGCTTACAAAATGCCATATGCCTTTTTTATATTTTGCTCTGAAAGAGAAAATTTCGTATCATAATCATAATTTTAGGTTCTCAGAGCACACGCGCACGAACGAACATGAAGCGTGCGTGTCATCAATTTCCTTCCAGCCTGAACGGAAAAGTCGCTTGTAACGTGAATGAAAAGGACTATCTGGTTCCTTTGAGCCCTTTGGGAAGAGGTTAAATCAGCGTGACCCTTTTAAATTATACAGAGTGTATTTGCAAGGAGGAGAATGCTAATATGAGATTTAATCTCTTTTTGGAAAATCATCCGTGAAAAAAGATCTATTTTGGTATGTATGGGAGTTACTCGGTTGAGTGAAGTATTTTATACAAAACAATTGACCTATTTTTACTTTGTTCATCAAAAAAAACTTCATAGATATGACGCGATCCTTTCGCCCCTTGCCATTAAAAGAGGCTCATAATATTGTAGCGAGTTTTTTTTATCTAATTTACAGTCATTGGTACAAACGATGACAATTCGTAACACACTGTTATGGCCAATAAAGTTTATCAGCACTGTGATAAACTGCGTCCCCCTTTTGGTTCAAAGAGTAAATCCATCTGGCGACGGGATTACATTTTCATTTATTTACAGTAACAGGAAAGTGCACTGGGAATTCTTCTGTGACGCATGAGATAACGATTTGTAACAAACATTTCCATGAAATATTAATTGATCTTTCTCATGTAACAGACCATTTAAATACAGATGAAATTTCTACCCTTACTTTCTGGCGTAAATTACCAAAATCTTGCAAAAGCTACTGAGAGATATATTACTAAAACAATAAATAAAAACCACTTGTCCTCGTTTTTTAGAAAGGACATCTTAAACTTGGACTGTAAGTCTATATGAGTGGTAAACTGCAACACCACAAGACCGCTTTTTTCTCGCTTTCACGCTGCCTCCTAATTAATGTGCTGCACGTTTATTTATAAGCTTTTTTTTACGGTTACTAACACTGTCCCTTAATTTATCTCGCTTAGCTACTTAGAGAAAGAAAGTCCGCTCAGATATTCTGGTGATAAACTGATGTTATGGTATTGTCTTTCCCCGCAGTCTCTTCGCCTTCAGGTCCTTGATAGAACTTCTCTTTTCCAAGGATTCGCAAGCCAATGGGACGCAAGACTTGTTTAAGGTACCTATGAACATTCAAGCCTCTTGCTCCTAGCGTTTGAGGGGCCATGTTGTAAAAGCTCTTCAGTGGGGACATGAGAGAATCAGCCAAATCATGATCCACAATGTCAGCGTAACACGATACCCAAACACCGTCCACGATCATGGTCCCTTCTTGGGTAACTGGTGCAAAGGCACCAAATCTTTCAGCCGTCGAGACTGACATAACCTTCCTTGCAATAGGAGCATGGTACGTTGGAACGTGAACGAGGATGTAGTCACCAGGCTTGATTTGGGATGCATGCACTGAGCGAAAGGTATTCCCTCCCAACTTCGCACTCAGAGGTCGGAACTCGAACACAAGATGAGCCTCACTGAGCGTGAGCTTGATGTAGTCTTCAGTAGTGATGGTGTAATAATGACCTGTGTAGGGAAGAAAATTTGAGCTGTATCTGTATCTTAAAAGTTTTTTCCTTGAGAGTCTTTTCAAATACGAGTCTCCCAGGACTTTTATTAGTACCAAAATAGTATTGGTTCTGTAGCAAAAGAGAAAAAAAAAACCAGAATGCAATTGGTGATTAAATCTAAAATATGAGAATTTGGAAGCCAATCAGATTACAAGGATAACCAGTGATTTCCAAGTAAATGTAATAACGGCAAACATCTTGTCAAGGAGAACTTAAAAAAATAAATAAAAAGTTTAGGAGACAAATACAAAGATGAAGGAATAAATTATTCAAGTGTACCACCTACCCTTGTGGTCAGGCGCTTGATCCAAGAAGGTAACCACATGACTAAAGACAACTTCGCCACCCCTAGAAAAGGTCTTGACTGTGTCTCCAATGGCGAGCTCACTGATGGGAATCTTCTTCCCAGATCTGACCTCTACTTTAGCTTTCGAAGGGAAGCATATTCCCCCGCCTGATTTCTCAACGTTGACGTCGATTACACAGCCATCTGATAAAAAGGGGAAAGATTCATTAGCTAATTTACTTAGGTGTTTGACAAGCTATAAGCCTTGAACCGTAATTTGCTTGATGAGGAAATTTCGACGGAATCAACTTAGATGGACGGGTTAGGGGACAGACTTTTCCTTAAGATTTGTTCACTGATATGGGTAGCTATTTAAATGATTAGAATTGATACCAAATATGTTTTCGATAGCAGGGGTCGAAACCACCAATACTTAAAGAACATTTCTGCGTCAGGTTTGCTCCCGATATTCTATTCCCAAACTGTAAATGCCCATCTAATTATCTCGTACCCAGACCACGTACGGCCAACCGAGGCAAGCTTTCAAAGGAGAGGGCTCGTCGGCTAGGGTCAGGTCAGCAAGGATAGTCTACATGATAAAATCATTCAGCTCAGGCACTCTAATTGATTAAATCCCTAAACCCAAATGTTACTCCGACGTGCATCTTCCACTTACCTGTAGGAGCAGGCCACAGCTGAGCAGATATGAAATTTTTGTGTTTTAGGACACCTTTTGCTTGATGAAATCCATTCCCGTCCCATAACAGAACGCTACAATCTTTGCTGTCATCTCCATCTTTGATGTCAACGAACATTATTCCCACTTGCCCTCGAAAAACTGCGGTATTGTTAGATACAATAGGCTTACCAAATTCTTCCTTGAGGTACTCTAAGAGAGGTGCTCGTTCATAGAAATAATGGTAGCCTTTCAGACCTTTCTTGCTTCCGTTCCTTTCTGTTGTGACGTTTAACACGGCGCTCATGCGCAATATGCATGTGGCATTTGGATAGAATTTGAGCTCACCACTGTCTTCTGGGAAAAGGTACTCTTCAACATTCAAGCGGTTGTAAATCCCTCCATAATTTTTATCGCCAAGATACATTTTTTGAAGGATGGAGAAAGATGGCAGCATTTCTGTAGATGCAATGAAAGTGTTAATGCCTTGAGACCGTAAAACTTTACACTTCTTACACACATATGTTTACATATTCATCGTGTAATAGAATTCACTTTGCTGCGGCCATAACCTCGGTTCGAAATAAAGAGAGCACAGCGGGGCTCCTAGTCAAAGAACTTAAAAATTTTCCCGCGCAAATCTCCTCATTTCAAAGGGATGTGGGATTTAATTAGCGTTCGTTGAAAGAAATGAACAGGCACCTTTCCGAAAAAAACCTTTAGAACATTTCAAAAGACTTAGTGGCATATCGAAGATTTCTAAAGTTGTTTATATAGACTTTTCGATTAAGTTTCCATCGGCCGGCTGCTTTTTTCGCATCTAATACGTCTCACTGATTTCAGTAAACGACGGCAGATTGGTATACGGAACCAGGCGGTGTATATTCATACAAAGTATTGGTATCAAGAGACAATGGACATAAAAACTTGTCTTTATATCATGGTGCGGATACCGAATTACGAGATCGCCAGAAAGTCCTCCCGTACCATTAGCCCTCAATGAAAATGGAACCACCACGAAAGTAAATAAATTGCGCATATGGAAAAATGAAAAAAAGCAATGCAGTAAGGTACAGTTAAAAGCATGTTAAAAACGTTTCCTGAGCGAAAGACTGTAGAGACGTCATTGTGATATCTAAAGATGCAGCACGGAAGAGCAAAAATTCTAGTTAGCTTCAAAACTTAAGTTGGTGTATCGTATAAGGCTTCCTGAGCCTAACTTATTTCGCATAAATAGTAGGTGGTGTCCTTATTTTAAAAACTAAACCCTCGAGATCACAATGGTGAATAGCAGGATTACAAGACCCCACGAAAGGCTTAATCGGGCTTAGTGATGTTTACATAAACCCCGCTGTGTATTACTAACTGTGCGGCTGCCAACATCCACACTTAACGGAGCCGATCAAACCGCCACAAATAGAGCATACAAGGATACTAATACTTACTGGTAAAGGCCACCGGAATATTAAGCACAAGGAGTATCGCCACCATCACCTTCATGTTAGCCTCTTTTGTTTTTTCCTTCTTAGGCGGAGAAACGAACGAACTGCAAACAAACTCTTACAAATGCTGAAATGAGCTTTGAACATTGGCAGCGCTGTGTCATACTTGGAAACGTTCATAAATTATTAAGGAAGAATGGTCTGTTTTCGTGCGGTTCCCCATAGCATTACAGGTGGCTTTATTTATCTTTCGGGTAAACGAAAAATACGTTTTGCATTTCGTGAATGTTTCCCTTGGAATAGAGGTTGATGGGAGTTGTCCGTTTTCAAATATTCTGCCAGGGACAACAAATGTTTCGTCATCAACACCTAAATTGTGCTTTATTTATGGAAAAAAAGAGCTCGAGATCGCAAAAAAATTGAATTGTTGAACTAGAGAGAACTGGCAGGCAAAGTTGGGTCAACAACTAAAGGGTGTGAAACAGTGGCAGATTGTTCAACTCCACATAAATTATTCACATATCAATGTTACTCAGGGCGTTTTTCTGGCTGAGAGCCATACCACAACCTCAATGTTTTACACAATGCACGCAGCTCGGCTCCACGACAAAATTCTCTGACAAGCCTCGCCTTTACGGTATCTCTCCTCAAACTTAAGGTACAGACACCAAACATATCTAATAAACTTTTGAAGAAAATGGATTAGTATGGATTTAGATAATGGATACCGAAAAAAAACATCAATTTCCAAGGATGAAATATACAATAAACAGGACATTTTATTTCATATAGGTTTTACAATTAAGTGTCTGGTATCTAGGGCAGTTAAATTCAGGACCTAAGTCTGTACTTATCGATTTTCGAAAAGCAAATACAAGGTTCTTTTCAGTAAAGAAGGATATTTCATACACTGCTCATAAAAAATTCCGCAAAAGCTGCATACTTAAAGTCTGTTCTATGGAAGCAAAAGCGCCTCGCAAAAGATGGACATTCTGAAGTCAACCCTGAAAAAAATGATTACAAAAATAACGATAAAGTAATAAAAAAGTCAACAGCCGTCGAAACAAAGTAAAACACTGCTTGACGAAAAACTGAAATTCACCAGATAAACTGCGGACATAAATTTGATACAACAAATAGCAACAGTACAAATTTCCATTGATCACCATTTCGTACACTGAAAAAATAAAAACTTGAAAAATATGACCAAAAATAATTTAACTTACCAAATATAAGTTACCTATGTATCAAGGCAATTTTCCTGAAGCCTTCGTTACATTACAATATTTACAAAGTGAATTCTATGACACGATGAATATATAAATATATATATATATATATATGCGTGTAAGAAGTGTAAAGTTTTTTGGAAGTGTAAACGGACAATACGAACAGACAGAGAAAAGAAATAATTAGAAGCCAATTAAAAACCAAATAAAAATTAAAAAACTTAATTAAAAACCTTTGCACGAATTGAGTCCGACTGCACATCGAGAGCGGGTCTCAGTTCTTGGATAAAAAAAACATTTCATAAATTAGGCAGTCAATATATATTCATCATGACATTCTTACTATTCACTTGAAAATGATCGAAGTTTGGTCGAAACGTCGTGTTTTATCGTTCATTTTTCGTATCGTTCATACAAATCCTACGTGTGTAGCCCGAGGAGCGACAATCAGATTACTACTGCTGATTAAGACTGACTTGAGATTGTTCGGTTCATCTCTCAAAGATTGCAGCCATAAATCGAATGTCGGCGGGTTCCCATTTACCAGGCGCGTCTTCCTCGTGAACAAACATCAGCGATTCCTCCTTTAAAGTCCAAGGCGAACATTCGCCTGTCTGACGGTGACAAAAACTGTAATACCTCGCACTCTGTCGGATCCGTGTTACAACCACATAGTGGTGCTGGCCATGTTTAGTGTTGTCTTTACTCACAATAACTGGGTATCCTTTTTTCAGAAGATCGATGATCAAGTTTTTCCACGAGCCTGCCTCGCCTTCATGGTATCCTCGATGAATAACTTTAAGCTCTCGTCCCGGGACTTTCTCAAAGGCTTTCTTGATTCGCCCCATGTGAGCAGGGGAGGTTACTCCTCCACCATGGTGTGAACAATGCGATCCAAGCTCGGAAAATATACGTTGCGTCATGTTTTCTACCGATGTGTCCATTGTTAGAGGTAAATGAGCGGGCCAATCCAACATATTGTTCAGTGGTCTGTAAATGTAAGAAAAATTAGAGAGGATTAACCTAAACATCCTTTATTCATTTCCACACTTTTAAAATTCATGGTGTCACTTTCGTATGTAGAAAGAAAAACACCTTTGGATAGACTGCATATTGGAATAATGAGGACCTGGGATTGATTTAGTGATAAGAACAATTTTTTTCTGGGGGTGGGAGGAAGGTTTTAGCTCTTTTAAAATTAACAAAACTCCGGCTACTCGAACAAACAACATCATTCGCAACACGTCTTCACGTTTTTTCCTGTTTCCTTTCCCCCCTGAAACCCACTATACTGATTCGCAAGCCAACTTGACTATGTAACATGCTGTCTCTGTTTGCTACGCTAAATCACTACAACTACTCACGGATAACTTGAATTGTAAGTTCTAGCCGCCATATTATTGAAGTAACCGAGTATCTTTGCCCACGCCACTGGACCCGAACCTGTCGTGCACTGGCCATGATGATGCTGACGATACTTTGGGAGCAACTCTTCATGTGGTATTCCAAAGTACTTGTTGGAGAAAGCACGCCGATGCCTTCTATTCTTCAAAATAATTCCATAGTTGATAACCATGGTCTGAGTCCCACGGGTCCGCAGTTCTACTTTAAAACGTATTTCCCTTCCACCGAGGTTTCTCCGAACAAAATTTTCGTCTGCGTCAACTTTAACTTTGATAAAACGATCGCCCGTCTTCGTCAGTTTGAAGAAACGTTTGCTAACCATACTGATATCTACATTTCCATCACTATCACATAAATCACTCAAAACGCGACAAAGTCGTTTCTGCCAACGTTTCTTGCCGCTCTTTGCTTTTATCCAATCACCATCCCGAAGGCCGACGAACTTGACACGAACATCACGAAAGCCCTCGCCGAGAGGAATCCGAACCGAGTCGCCCGGTTGCAGTCCCAGCTCTGCTTTGAAACCATCTTCAGTTTCTTCCACTTCGAAGTTATACTCCGTTTCTAGGTTAACAGATGATTCCTGTGTTGGCGAGGTTGTGATTGGTTCAACTAGAGTTGTAGGCTTTGTGGTAACGTCTGAAAGCAAAAAAAATACATTCAAACGGCAGGCAATCACGTCCTAAACACTAAGAATAAGTCTTAGCATAAATAAACATTAATGGCGACCATTAAGACTAAAAGATCCCGTACACTACATACATGTTACTGTAAAAGACTGGCCTAGCGAAAACCAACCGACAATCGGTAAACAGTCGGTTGATTGTCGGTCGACTATCAGCCGACATTTCTTTTCCGTGTTGAGCTGTCTATCACACCGCTCATTAACCCAACTCTTACACAGCATACGTGATGAGTCCTTTTTTTTGAAAGAGAGTTCCAAAGATCGGCAGAAGGAGGGGGAAAGGGGAGACAAATCTGAGACTCGATTTCCTCCAAAAGTTTCATAAGCCACTAACAAAAAGTGTAGAATAAAGCAGTGGGTGGGGTACACGGTCACATCATTCATTACTTACCCCCTACCGCCATGGACAGCCACTCGAACCTGTTCCACTCTGGCGTCTTTTTTAAACGCTCAGCTTGTTCTTTCCATTCTCTCTCCATGTTGGGTAACTCCCTCGTTACTTGTCTGTCCAGGTGTCTCCAATCAATATCCTATGTAACAAGAACGCATGAGAGCGAGCACACGCAATGGGTACAGTTTCCCCACTATTTTCCATTGCGAATTTTGATTCATATCAAACGGAATCGTTTATCTGATACTTTTGTTTCTTCTATCACCTTTCTACATGACGATGAATTGATATTGCGGGGAGATGTTACTTATCAGTCACATTAGAAGTGAGATGGTCCAGGCACCTCCTCAGTGAGCCTCACACAGGTTATAGTGCGATGGAACTATCATTTTCTTTAATTCTCTTAAATTCGCCGCAAACATACCAAATAATCGTTTATGCTCTAATGCGGTTGCAACGAACACAAAGAAGGAACAAATTGTTTCCAGGGTTGTTTAAAATACTTTGCACACCGAAGATCTCTCGAGCCGTAAATGACTTCTTTTGCTTTAACTTTTTGAAATTGTTTTTCCGCAGAGAAAAAAAATAGATTTTTAATATGGCTATCACAATTACTGGTGGACCCCGTAGGTTACATTGTGGGCCAGACAACATGAAAGAGAGAGTAACAAATACACCAAATAAACAAAGAGTGCTTGAAAATCCCGGCTGACGGGAGGCAAACCAGTAGGCTTTCTACACAGCACAGCCGCGGAGTCGACCTCGGGGCGACCGAGAACAATCCAGTGAGTGGCAGGGTGGAGGACTTGAACCTAGGACCACCAGATTACAAGTCCAGCGCCCTAACCACTCAGCCACGCCGCCCTATTATATGTGACATCCATTACCTTAATCCCGACTTCTAAATATCTGTAACTGATCTGTTTTTCTTATGGAGAACCGTCAGCCTTTAAGTTGGTAAAAGTGTTTGAACTATAGGGTTGGTGATCTTAATCACTAAAATCCTATGTTAATCCTTAAAACCATACTTACATATTATACGTAATCTTCGTTAATCATTGTAAGTATGCCAAAAAGTGTTATCGCGTTACTTAAGCCGTCGGCAAAAAATGACTTCCATTATCTCGAACTGTGCTAAACTCTTATGATTGCCATCTCCCATTATTCTCCTCTCGCTTAGCCTGTTCATTGTCGACCACGTCCTCCATTACGATTTTCTTTTAAGACCTATTTGACAGCTTAGGAAAGCTATGGCTCACGGCTCTTGCTTAAAAAATGCTTTCACGCGGCCTTGATGTCTTCATCTTCCAAAATGTTTTATTATTGGCCTTATCTGGGGGGCATACAAGAGTTGCTTGGCTCGGTGGGACTTCTCTCTCTCACACATGTGCTGGTCTGTATTGCCCAACGGCTAGAGTTGTTTATGGTTTTAATTCAAGTCGTGGTTTTAGCTTATAAAGGCTCAGAAAAAGGTAAAAAAATGGTACATACGGTAGAATCTGTATCAATGTTCCTCGTGATAGCGACCATTTTGTTTACATCAGTATCTTCACATGCCATGAGACCATCAGGTCTTAGGCGATAGACTCTGTGACAGCCATATCCATGACTGTTGGCTTGGGCTGTAAGTAGGTCTGAAGGACTTGGTAAAGATCCTTCTTCAGCAAGACGATGATCTCCTGTCTGTCTAGCTGTACAAATAAAAAAACTTCATTCATCATTCACACAGCTCTTCACTGTTAAGCCACTGCTACCAACAGCCAATAGTTTCATTTTGGTTCAAGCTATTCAATCCTATTCCAGCTGTTTTGTTTAACCATAGCATACTGGGCCCTTATAAAAACTGTAGTTGATAAGTACCAAGTCACATCCCGCTTGTAAACTTAACTCTAAGCCCTATTTTCAGCTTATAAATGTGTGATAACTGGGTCCTCTCATCACACAGCAGGCACAAGAGCCTATTAACCACACATTCAGCTGTTCTCTTTACTAATTTACCCAGAAAACCACAAACAGTTTAGCTTCATGAAATAAAGCCACTTTGGGACCAAATTAGAAGCTTTATACCTGGCCAATTACTAGTATATGCTCTCTTTCAGTTTATTCATGTAAATTTACACCCATTAAAACAGCTTTTGGTGTAACAATATCACCAATTCAAATTCAAATTTGGTTAAAGTGTTCTTTATCTAAGCAGTGTTTGCTTTTTTTTTTAAGTCAGAGATTAGCTCTACAACTCAGCTAAAATAACCAGAGTTGGTGCCCACATTATTGAGGTGTTGCCTGATTAGAGGTGCCTAAATGCAGCGTCATTCTAAAAAGGATGTTATACACTCTATGAACACAAACCGGCTGAGATGATCACGTATTTTTCTCCAGTTTTTCCATTGATTTTCGCTTCCCAGTACGCAACATAATTATGTGGGAGATCCTTCCTGAAAATTGGCCTTAAACCCATGATGTCATCTTGGCTGATAGCATCTGACAAAGTGTAAAATTCCTCCTGAGTTTCCCAAGAAACATCGTCTGTGCCGCACCAAAATGTACTAGAGGATTCTGAATTATTTAATACCCTTGGAGGATCTGTAATCTTGATGCCATCATCACCATATTTCCATTGCATGGATCTGTTTTTGTCCCTGTGAATATGAAATAAAATTAAATAACCATGTTCAAGAAAATTGACAGTCGCTCCAAATAGATTTATAAATCGATTGCTCTTTGTAACTTTTTTTTAATCTTGTTCTTAGTGTCTGAATCACCGCTGATTTCATTAATAACATGTGTCAGGCTCTTAGAATCAAAGCAAATTTGCCAGAAATTTCCACAATTCTAAATTAAAAGGTCATGTTCATGCATCACTTTATAAACAAAGATGGCATGCAATGAGTCAAATGAAATATTGATTTGCCATCTGTCTAGAACAGTATCTTTCCCCCTTTAAATATTGCCTTTTTTCTTTCTTTTCTCTTTTGGCTATGCACTGTATTTCTGTATCAAGGAATACAAAACAAGCGAAATCTCCCAAGACCCTCTTGCAATTGTGGAATTTGTTCAAGAACAGAAGGAAATACTTATACTCAAAGCTAATCCATGAAGGGGAAACATCTGATAACACTTAATATGCTCATATCTAAATTTTTTCTAATAAATCCTCCTTAACTTTCTGGTTTTACCATCTGAAGACCTCTTCATATAGTCTAGTCAGACTGGTGGGTCAAAATTTAAAGACTGCCCCCTTCTAATCTTTCTTTGCTGAAATCTCTGAGTGTGTACAGCAGAGGCTGGCTAACCCTGTTGCCAAGAGGCCAGTTTTTACAGAGGCCACAACCTTCACAAGGCAGGAAAATTCCCCATATATGCACAATAAACTAGTTACCAGGATGACATGTAAAATATTGCAAATTGTTCATGCAAAAAATTAAGTGAGTCAAGTTCTCATTTTAACAGGACTATGTCTCCATTCAGTAGCTAAGGTGGATCCATTCAGTAGCTGAGGTGGATATGAATCAAATACAAAGACTTCTCATTAACCAAGCTTGCCCTACTGCCCAGCTCTGATGACGGGGCTCTTCATTGGTTCCATTCATCCTTTGATATTCCTGCTATTGTAACATAAACTGGCATGTGCCTCGCTATTCAATTATAACTTTATCTTTTGACAAGCCACTGAGTAGATCCATACATAGATAATATTAATCCATAATGAAACCCTATGAAACAATGTCTGACAGGTTTTTTCATTAAATTGTGTTGATTTCATCTTGGGCAGAATCAAAACGCCACTGATCTGACTTACAAGAGGCTTAATCCACAGAGACAAATTACTTTAAAAGCTAGGTTTGCTCTTTTATCTGGTTATGCTTAGCTTTAATTAGAAAGGTAAATAGTATACTTGATTGGGTATGCGAAGCATTTCCCATTGGTGCATTACTCTGGTTACAATCTTAGAAAATGTTGTTCTCAACTTTTTGGTCTATGTTAAGCATCAGAACAAAATGATCGAAGATCCTTGCTACATGGATAATTCAAAAGTAAAATATCTTTCATTAACTTTGTCCCAAGAAGATCCAACTTACACTTGGATGCCACTGAGCAGTACAAAAACAAAGTAAAGTGGGCTTTTTTCAAACTCTTCATGGGACTGGGTTCTGGGTTGGAATGATGTCATCTGATCAACTTGTGGAATTCAAACCCTAGATCCATAACAACCCATAAAGCAAAAATCCACTTATAAAATTAAGACTAAGGCTCTTTCAGAGAACCCAAAGCCATTCAACTCACGTGTAGATCAGCGCCGCTAATTCGATTCCCTGGGTGGCATTAGCTCTAAGGGACAATGACTCAGAATAAAACGACGCGTTTTTCTTTGAAGCTTAAATGCCGTCCAGCACAAAGAAATAAAATGCACTTAATGACTTCATTACGCAGCATCTTTAGTTTCGGGGAATCAAATAGAACTTTTAGGAGATGTAACTGTGAAGTCTCGGAAATCAATCGCACCAACCGAGGATCGCAAAGGTGTAGACAGAGGGTAGAAACCCAAGGTCTGTTTGGTATTGCCCGCATAGGATCTAGGTGACTCAGAACATTAATTACAATAACAACAAGTTTTTTGTCGTCGTCAACAGAGAAAAGACTCCAGTAATTTGCAGGTTAATTTCGTAGTCAATAAAAGTAATTAGGCGACGCATCAAAATGGACTTTCATTGGCCGAGTAGCGGTGAAAGTGGTAGGGTTCCATCAGATAACATGAGGTGCTGAAGGCGCTCGCAGTGATCTTTTATGCGCCGACATATTAAATTTACCTTTTATCTTTACGACAATTTCTTCCGGAAAATAAAACATAGGTTTTACCATGCAATTATGAGCTTGGGATGTCTTAGCGGTTTCTTCAGGTTTTATCGCCTCAATGACACAAATGAGAGAGAGAGCCAACGGATCAAAATCCAAACAGACCTTTTGTGTTTGAAAAATGACTATATTCAATAAATAAAATACACCACTCTGCGGGAAATAGAGTACAGCAATCGTGCAGTGTGAAATAAAGCATTTACGTCGCTGCAGGCCAAGGTTACAGGACAGTGCATACAGAACAAATAAAAAAATTAAACGTTGCATATTTGATATTGATACTTTCCGATCCTGAAAGTGTTTACAAACCCGCTTTACTGAAGAAAGACCACTCACCGGTTCGATTTCTCGATTGAGTAGACAACCAGGAATCCTACCAGTAACACCAATAACAGGAGAGTTACGAAAACACACGTCCGCGGAGGTCTTCGTCGTTCTGTGCGTGTAAATTCCACCACGACTGGTTCCTTTGCGACTTCGACGTTACTCTCTTCGACCAGGTTGACTTGCACCGATCCGCCAGACGGCGGCTTTTCGGCGGCGGGTTTCGTGACTGCCTTAACCATTTTAAGTTCCTTTAAATTTACTTGCTATAAGGGAGTCAAAGTACGGCAGACTCCAACGGCAACTTCTCTTGCAGTCGTTTGTCCGCTCGTTTGCTCTGCTGCATATTTTATAAAACCTTCGATATTTGATCTTTACCTTTTGATTATGAAAGTGTGAAATATTGACAAGCCAATCAACAGCTTTCCGCAGGCGGAACCGGAAATGGAAAAATAACAACATTCGGGCCACTCACGCGCGCGGCGGTTTTTCTATTCTCTCTCTTTTCCTTTTTTTTTCTCTTTTTGATGAAAATTTACTTCAAAAACTTCTTTCAACAATTTTTTGGTTTGTCTAAAAGGATCTTTTTAATAAAAAAAATGCTGCCTGACTCCTTGAAAGGTCCACCAACTTTGCTTTTGCGTTTGCTTGTCAAAGAGTAAGACTTCCGTTGACCACCTATTATCAAAAACATTCCTTTCCCGAGGGTAAAATCTATTGTTAGAATGAGTCGATTAGTTAAGTGGGAAAAGTGAAAAACAGGAAACCCACTTTTTAACGTAAACTGAGAACAATGAATTTTATCATCAAAGGAGGGAAGCGACTCCTGTTAGAACTCTCTCTAAATATAATATATCCCAATTATTTAGAATGAACATTCGCGCCGATTCATGCGAGTTTCGATACTGCATTATCTTGAATTAAGACTCAGTCAAATAAAAACTGGCTTCCCTTCGGCCAAGTTCTGTTTCAAATATTTTAAAGAGGAAGACCAACGAAGGAGGAGAACAAACAACAACAAAACCACTTATAGGAAGTGGTCGACTCAACTCTACCAGATCTGCACTGATTCCGGATAAACCAGATTATACTTCAAAGATACCTCAACTGAAACTGTATATTGAACAATGCTGAATTTAACAGTTTAAGCCGCACAAGTTGGAACTGTCATCGAACAGAGAATTGTTTTAGAGAATCAAAAAACTAATCTGACAAAGATACCATAATTATAGTCTAGAAAAGTAGCACAAAGAGAGAGTCTTCCTACATAGTAAGCCATAGTCTCAATGGTATACGCCTCTCTTATTGCACTGAACCGTACAGTTTTAGCTGCATGGAAACACTTGCATTATTAAATTAAAAATCCTTCTCTGATTTTGGCGTCCACTCGTTCGCATAACGAGTTGCACGTGTGTAACTTGAAAGTCAGTTCCCCGCTGGAAAGCATGCTTGTATTGCACATACGGAACATCTTGACTTTCCTTTTACGTCCTTTAATCAAGATATATTTGTTTGACAAGTCTAAAAGATATCGTGCTGTTCATGAGTCATATCGGATTTAATCCCTCTGATCTCCAAAGTAGTCAGTCTAATAGATATCTGACTTTTGATTACTGTAATAAACTTTCCTGACGCTTTCTCTCTCGGTTCTACTGAAATAGCTGGTTGCAATTTATTTCAGTCATTGGAGAAATCTATCACCAGGTAATTATTAACTGCAAGCACTAGATAAACTGGCGATGATAAAAACGAAACCGAATGCCACAGGAAGAGAACAGTTCCAAGCCTTTAAAACCATCTGCTGATTTTGACATTTGAAATCGACTGAATGAACCAAACGATGGGCGAAGTCGGTGGTGGAAAGTGCCGTGCAAAGAAAACAGTCAGTGCTTAGGCATGTTTGTTTTCGTCGCAGCTTAAAGGGATAGCTGGTTCTTACCCTGTTAATACTGAGGTAAGTTCTGTGACGAGTGCTGGAAGAAGATCCCTTATTTCGTTCAAACAGCTGGAAAAAGTAACAGTAGCGTCAACCAGACGCCAGCGAGTTTCATCGCATTATGGATCTCTCAGTAAAGAGAGACTACTTACATCCGTTTTAAATCATTTACATACGAGGGTTTCTGAAAGGTTATGTATTTTACTGATAACAAATTGCGAAAAAATCGTGATGAGAGATTCTCATTTTATCGATGAGAGCCGGAAAATGAGCGAAAAAAGAAACCGCCCTTATCTCGAAGAGGGAAAATTACTCAGTAATCTAACATACGGTAAGGGTACAGACATCCCTAGGCATTGAATGATTTCTCCTCCTTATTTCATTGCAGTTGATTGGAATTTGATAAAGGTTCCTGTAGAGTTACGGAATGTCTCGTGCTACTCCACTGCCGGGATTGAGCCTCGCATTTGAGAGGGTTCAAAGAGTTCCTGTAATCATGTTGACCTTACCCAGAATTCTGAAATCACTGAGTAAAAATTATGAACAAGTTATCTGTGCAGGATTAGCCAAATTAGAAATGAAGTCAGTGGCTTCTGCTTTACAAATAATTTGGTTTACAGCGTACAACTGACAAGAACAATAGCGTGCTAGCTATTATAAGTGGCTTGATCTTTGTCTGAAACGTGAAACACCTGACTTTGTTTTCATGCGTGGAGAAGTTGAAGCAATAACCGATATTCCAGCGACGTTAGTTTTCAGGAGATCGAGGATACGTTCTCATATTATTATGCTGTTGAATTAAACTGATCGAGACAACGGGGATGTCTAGTCGAAAAGTGATGCTAATCAGTGATAAAGAATTGAAAAACAACCTTAGCATTGATAGAATTAAGCGAGATTGTCGAAGTACCTCAAAAGAGTAGACACAGAAAGAGAGGAAGAATTCAGGGTTCCTCACACAGAGTTTTGATTCTTGCTTCTGTCGTTCCTATGTACGTAATAGTAAGCCTTTGAAACGTATATTTGACTCATCAGTTTGCTCATTAGAAAATGCCAACTACATCTTAGTAGCCGGGAGCTTTAAGAATTGAAACTTCATGCATAAGATCAGTATTTCCTCACGCAACCTTTAACACTCTAAAGTCATCGATCTGGCTGAATTAGCTGCACTTGCATCCACACACAAGAGAACTACACCCTTGAGTTTTCATACATCTCACGTTGAGTGTTTGTTTTGTGATTATCATTTTATTAAAACAATCCTATTGAGCTCATTCAAATGGTGACGAAAGCATTTACACATTCGTGTGGGTCAAATCACATAGCACACAACGCAAAAAACACTTGCACCCCTCCACGAATCTTTGAAATCTTGGGTATGAATTATAAGTTTCATTTTTGAAGGAGTATCCCACAGATATTTACTGATGAGCACTCTTTGGGCTCTTTAATAAGGAGTTTAGAGTAATGACTATCGATTACCAAGCCTTTTCTAAAACAATCATCCAATTTCTCCAAATTTCTAGCCATGGAGAAGTGGAATCCGTTACAAATGGCAAGTACTTTAGTGTAATACTCCTTCCTTTCAATCGATCGCTTTAAACCGCGATAGTTTTCTTATTTTTTTAAGAGTTGTTGGGTCTAATAGGCGTTTTTTAAGAAAAAAAGATTTGTATTTACCTGTAATTTAATGTTGTTGTCAACCCACATTACAAATCAACAATACCCAGCTGCGCAATGAGTAAAAAATCATCATTATGCGACGTGTACAAACAAGTTTTTCTCAGTCATTACCAAAATGAAAAGTTCCCATTGTTCAATTGCACCTCAGCATTCCCCTCGAAGGGCCCAATAAATTTTTCACGAATTTTGTCATGATTGATATTTATGATGTATCACCTGTCGGAATAATTTTCTAGCGGCAGGACTCTTCCGCTCTCTCGAGATCCTAACCAATAGTTACTGTAAGGGGCCGAGTTAAAGTTAGGGATATCCCTTTATCTGTTTGGTAAGTATTTTGACTTAAAATTCAGTTCAATTCATCCAATTTTTTCACGAGAGTTTGATTATAATTTACCATTATATTTTAAAACTGCGTGCGCGTCGAACTCGCTAAATACGGATTCAACGAAAGATTGTTTTTGATCAGTTCCAAACGAAGTTTCTTATTCATTGTGGTCAGTAGTTACCTTGAGGGGAGACATTCAGTCGGCATGACCACAAAAATGCTAGATTCGAGTAAAATTTCTCAGAACGTGGAGGGTAAACAAAAACACTTATGCCTCACGACGAGGTTTAATTTTTTAATTTGTGAATTCGTTTCGATACATGTCAAGCATTAGGTATGATTATAGATTAATAATTAATTACAAAAATACAAGAATATACACACACAAAAAGTCAAACTTTTACACTCTCTCTCTCTCTCTATATATATATATATATGTACCGTAACGAGCTTTTAGATTTTCATTCTATCTTATTTTTCTCTGTTCCCGCTATTCGTAGCTATATATGCGTTCACTTCAATGGCGCAAGTTAAAACAATCAGCGTAGCCTCTTTGTTGTAGTTTTATAGGTATCATAACAACACCTTGAAAATTGAAAGTGACTTTATATCAACGACACATGATATTGCAGAAAAGTGTCTAGGTTAGAATTTTTTTTTGTGTGCGTGTATGTATAATTAAAAAAAAAAGGTCATTGAAACAGCCTCGTTATTCTGATAGAACGTATCAGTTGACACGGTTTTCTCTTTTGGTGTCTGAAAGACCTTAATGAAATGTTACGAAAACTGTTACCATGGGTAACATGAAATCGTTTTGCGAATGGCCAGAGTTTTTCCCCGCCAAGCCACGTACCAGAAATTTGGGAAAATTTATTGCTTTTCACCTTAGTTATATGTTTCGCTCTTCTAACTTCCCATTTAGCACACAAAGAAAATTCCTGTGGCAAAACTGCACAAACATTGCGTGATTCCAATGAATTTTAACATTGGTTCAAACAAAACATTCTTCAATATATCTTACTGAACTGATAAAATGTAATGTTAAGCTTTACCAGAATCTTTGCTTCTTGTCTTTATCCGGGATAGAAAGGGGAAGGTTTTTTCAATAAGACGAGATAGAACCAACAGCAACATTTTCAGTCTTTTATTTAAAATTCTCAAGGCGAACTAGAACTAATTAATTACAACCCTTTTAATTTTGATAAAGAAAGAAATGCTAATATAGATTGCTTTACCAATTAAGGATGACTGCATGATGAGTGTTTTATTTTAATATATATTCTTAACAAACCGTGCTTTTACAGAAAGTTCTTGCTGTAAGTGTACTGAAATTGAGTTTTTTGGCTATTTCAAGTTTACCAATCGAAGTCACTGCTATTTCACTGATTCGACTGAACGCGGATGAACGCCTGTACAGTGCGCATGTTCGAGTGAATCTCTGAATTGTCATAAGGCGAATTTTTTACGAGCATTTCTCGCTCCTTAGTGATTATCCGACTCTCAAATTTAATATGACTTGGCGCCGATCAAAAGCGAAGGTTATTTTCAAATGTTAAATTTATACGCCACTTAAGTTTTTAGTTCAGGCATCGGATTCTTCGTCGACTTCGCCAAACATTGGATTATATTATTGAGCAACATTGCCAGAGGAAATTGGAACGGCCATTTAGCAGTTTGATATGATAAACTGTTTCGTTTAGCATACATTGATAATAACAGTTGCCGGAACCTTTAGCTCCGGTCCTAGAATTCAGAGGATATTATTGCTCGCACTACCAACCGAGTCACCAATCAGCATAGGTATGCAGAACGAGAAAATCGCGCTCCGCTTGGGAAGAGGAGAAAGAGGGTAGGTATCCACTATATAAGTTACAGTGGTTAAGATGCCCTAGGTTTAGTAAGGAGATATCAGATCGGTATGCTGATGTTCAGAAGGGGATTGGGTAAATAAGTTGTGACAAATTTGCATTGGTTTCAGTCTTAAAACAAAATGAAATACTTTACAATTGCCTATAAATTATGTTCGAATCTACGCTGGATACTCGCACCTCAGCTGAGTCAGACGGTTGACCGCAATTTATGCCTCTTATAATAGCTGCCTGATACTGGGCGAGCTTCGCTAACCAAAGCAAGGAGCCGGCCAAATTAATTGCTAATTGCATGTAAACGGGTTAATAATAATTTTGCGCACACATGTGAACTTAACAAGGCACATCTACTTATCTTGTTACAAAATGTATCGAAATGGCTTTTCATGTAACGATATCTCACACGGCTTTCCACGCTCGTTGTGTGAGAAAACCATCTCCTCAATAAATTAAGTCCGTCAGAATACTTTTGAGTGAGGAAACGCAAGTTCAGTGTTCTAATTATTACACAATTTTCGTCTGTAGCGTTTTGTATTGAAACAACGACTTCCTGATTGATGGATTAAGGTCAAAGCAAGGGGGAGGTAATAGCGCGGTTCACGTCTGAAAAGTGTCTGTTTATCTTAAGCCAAGCTCCATTAAGTCACCGTGAGGGTGCTTGTTACCTCAAGATCTCGAGACCTCTGAGAGGTGAAATTGATATGGATACGTACACAGTAGTTTTTTGCCCGTGCCCGTAGCATTTCATGAGTCCTAATTTTTCATTATGATTACGTTTGCTATTTCAAGTAGCGAGTTGGAACAACCAAAGTAATCGTTTAAGAACAGTTCTTGTCACACGCACATTGAGTTTTCGAGTTTAGCAGCTGCTGTTTCCAAACAGGGAAACATTAGTTGGAATCAGTGAGGTCGTAAGTGGGTCTTCTACCGTTTGGGTTTAGCACTCAGAAGTAATTTTATTGGATAACAATGACCTGAATTGATGTTTAGGTGCCAAACATTATAAGATTGTCAGCTATAGCTATAGCATGCCAGTTACACAAATGATTTGTTTCTGAAATCTTTCAGGGTCTCCCTCGAGCAATATTATGGAAAAACTGACCGACAAAAGAACCTGCTGAGTTAGTATATTTATTAGTGCCAAGTATAAAGTGGCTCCGAGCTGACTCGGGCACATTCTATAATCATTGTTTAATTGCTCCCCGAGTTTCACCTAACAATGAACTGAGTATTACTGTTTTCTGCGGCTAAAAAGCGCAGTTTGGCGCGATTCCTCAAAATTTTCGATGGGTACGTCAAATAACACGGGGATACTTAAAATTACCTCTACGGAAATGTTTTTGTCAGTAGACTTTAAAATTCGTAGAAATTTCACGAGTTGTTCTCTTGCCACCAGCAAAAGCGCGTGGAGAAGTGTCATCCTGTTTTAAGCTTTTAAAATATCAATATCTGTCCTCAATGACTCCAGAATAATTGTACACTTCATTATTAGTCCTTACAGAAAAAAATTTCTCTCGTTTTTTTTTCAAGCAGACTTTTAGAAAATTTCTCCCAATTAAGATTAATAATGTGCAAGTGAAATCAAGGATTAGCACCGAATTTATATCAGTACTCAATCATTTTCAGACATTATGTTGTTGTCAAGCTTTTCATGGTTAGTAAGCTGACAAAATATTCAGGCAGATTGTCAAGAATTTCAAAAATATTCTTGAGATTCTTTCAGTTTAATCTCCTATTTTCAAAACAGCTTTCAGGAGGTACTAAGGCTTAACTGCTGCTCTTATCAACCTGCTGTCGACATAACACACAACAAAAGAAGTTTTATATTGATAAATTTGAATGATTTTTCTATGGTGCATGCAACCTAAAAATTCACTGTATTAGAGTTAAAATTGTCTGGTTGATTTGCGGGAAACTCGAACAAGATATCTCTTATGATGGTCTGCAAATGATGTTTTCATCGCTCGTTCGTATTATCAAGGAAAACGTTAAAATACAACAAACCGAGTTGAGTGTGAAAAAGGACCCTTATTATGACTGGAAAACTGCCTTTTTGTTTCTTTGCTATTTTGTCTTCACCTTGATTAATAATGCAGGATATCTAATGGCATAACAGGTGTAGATATCTATTACGGCTGGTGCCTTTTTGAAAAGAACGCGACTCATACGGGCCTTGCGCGGAAACCTGTCCGTAGAGATTATTTTGCCTATTCACTTACACCCACGTGCCATAAAAAGACCACTTGTTCAATACCACACTTTGCAATCGATCTGCTCTGACCGCTGTTGTGCGCGCGCGCTTGAGAAGACCTGCACCAGTTTCAGTTCTGATTTCGACTGCTTTGGATTTATGCGGTACACGGTCGTGGATAAGAACTTTGCCATTAGATTTCAGGTAATAGAAAAAAATAACCATTAACAGAAACTTAAATACAGTGTAAATACCACCGTAAGTCGTATAGCGCGCGTTCTTCAAGGACGTTAGCAACAGCATCTGTAGGTAGGGCTTAATTATATACTAGGTTATTCATGGCTGCCGAAAAAAGTACAATTAATTAATAACTTTACTCACGACAGAAAGAGTAAACTGACATTAATCCTAAAAAAGCCATGAGCTTAGCTCTGGTGTAGAAGTCTAAACTCTCAATACATTTTTTGCCCAGCGGGTAAGTATAAATGAAATGTTTTGCATCAGCTTGACCCTATAGTGTTGATCTCCTCCGCACTTCTGGTGAAAGACTCACCGCCTGTCAGTAGCTGCGTTGAGCCTGGCCGATACCAACCAAAAATCAAATGTCTTTTATCACTGGGTGGTACTATCGATAGCATTTAGTTTCGCGGTATTTCTATTTAAACTCCAGTTGTGTTTCTTAATGTTTAGATGGCTCAGATTGCTAATCTACTAATTTTTCCATTGCCTCTAAAAGCATTCAATGACTCTAGTTTCTTCAAACGGGGACAAATGACATCCTGTACAAGCGTTCAAGACCATTAGCAAGCAGAACATGTCAAATAACTCGGCTATGATTTTCCATTTATCTGAATATTAACCCGCTGGTTCTCATTTGTCGAATTAAATGGTTCTTTCAAACAGGTTCACTTATTACGAATTCATTAGCAAATGGCGAGAATCTAAAAGGAATATAGGCTTTATTAATTTTCGCGCGAAACAGATGACGTCACGATGTTATTTTTACCAGAGGAAATCGGATTATCTACGCCTGCCAATATCATATCTTTTGTGCAAAGAACATGTCCTATCTGTTATTCGTTTTCGTTCCGTTTTATTTTTTTTTCCCTACTGTTTTCGAGAGGTTTTCAGCTTCGTGCGCGTGTTTGTCATCAAGACGGGGACATATTTAGTTATAAAACCATCCATTCCGTGAATAAAATAAATTCATTATTTTATAGATTACAATACTGACAAGATACGGCATTTTATCCCGTAACCCACAGGCTACAATCAATGTATTTAACACCTTTGAAAGGCCATGCTTTGTGCACATGGCGTTTCGCCATTGGCACACTGATGAGTACAATACAACTGATCAAGTTCCCCGGCCCGGCTTTTTCTAAGTCAAACTAGCGTAACAGGTAATGGGCCGATTTGATTTAAATATATTTCTCAGTCCTTTTGTAAATAATGCCACACCTGGCCTGTTTTTAATTTGCGGCGAGAACTGATATAAAAAAATTTATATCTATATAAAGCCGCGCGCATGTACCGCTTGACAAATTAATTTTGATCTTTCTTTCTAGTCATCAAATTATGACCGAGATGTTCGGCTCTAAAGATGACTTCAGTTGCCCGAAATTTTCAACGGCCGAGAGTTACATTGGAATTTTGTCAACTTATCGCGGAAGGATGCATCACTCCAAACTTGTGCGTAAAGGCCCGGATTCAACGGTGAGTTTGACCGAGAGAGTGAGAGCCGCAATTTTATTCCACTGCCGCTTATGTAAACACTATTGAATGCACACACCGTGTTAGTATTGTATGGCGATTAGAGATGTCAAATTGTGCCATTTTATACCTCGGAATCCCTCTTTGTCATGTGCGATATGAACTAACACAGTGGTGGATCAGGGAGGCAACCGATGGAATTGGCTTCGATGTAAAATTTTTCCTAGGAAGTTTTTACTTGAAGAGAATAGAAATGCTGGTCCATATGTTATCATTTTGAATGACCTCCACTGAGATCTAACGAGAAATGTGCGCTCGCGTTCATGTCAAATTATTTTCTCACGGTTTAATTCTGAGACTGTTACAAATATTATGAAGAAAAAAAATTAAGAATTAAGGCAAACTGGTCGTGATTAATAAAAAGCTGTGATCATTAGGAAAATGTTGGTCATGGCTATTAAGTTTGCTTATCCAAGCTGCGTCAGTAAGGAGCTCATCAAACTAAATTGTTTTGACGGCGTAAATTGAAATGTATCTTATATGGATTTCAGGCCGCAGAGGATGCCATAGAAAGTTATTAATTTGATTGGACACAACTTGAGCTAAAATACACCCTAATATTTGGTATTTCCTTTCCCCGTGGCTTTTTTAATATCAGTCACAGGCTGACAAACATAAGTGCTTCCGATGTTTACAAAAGAATATCATACTTTTTTTATTTTTCAAAGTTGTTGCATTTAATATGTACATTTCCCTGGTAACAATAAATTCGCCGATTGCAATGTAACGTACAATTTGTCAAATCCCTTTCGAAGACGACCTTTTGTTAGCATATTGACATATTTAAAGGGTATATAGATTCGAGCATTGAAGAGAGCTTGACTAATCTTCATAGCCAAGAGATTAACAATTTTGTCGCTGTTTATCTGACAGGAAAAAACAAGACAAATAAAAGATCGTTTCACCAAAATAGATACAAGGCCTAGCTTTGTATTCTAATTGGAGCATTCTGGCGTAACAAGTATTAATAGGAAAGAAGTTTTCTTATCGCACGGGTGGAAGCTTTCATTATTATTAGCGCGCGAAAACAGTCAAAGATAAGGATAGAGAGATATTACTTGATTAATTATCGCCAAGCTCTTGCATTTATAATTCGCAGCTGCTTTCAATAATTCTATTCTTGTTTGAGGACAGAAAAAGAAAACACAGTTACGCTTTTTGAATTAATCGAACTTCGTAAATTTCAACGAAAGAAAAAAATTAAGTTTCGATTTTATTTTGAAATTTGTGATCAGTGGATCGGTGGCGATGTTCGAATAGAGACGAGTGCGTATTCGCAGAGCCACCCATATCGCAAAAACAAAGATGATTAATTTTTTTATTTTATAAAGGCTGAGAAGCTGAAAATTAATAATACGGAAAGAACAACAACAATTTTTCGATTTTAGGACAAAATAAACCGAGATCCAGGGGAGACAAACCTTTTCAATTTCGTTTGTTGACAGTTTTTGAATGCATAACAAATAGAAATGCTCGACGATGGTTGATTGAAAGACGATCCTTTATTAGTTCGGGAAAGAATTAATTGTAATCTCCAAAAAACATTAATAAATACAATGATTAATTCCACTGGCGCGCCGAGTTTATGGTCACGTGGTCTAACTTAATTGGTGATAATTAATTACAGTGAGAAATCGAATCTGCTTGGCGGACATTGCGCATGTCATAATTGTTGATTTCAATGGAATGCCCCATCAAAGATGTGTCATTCGATGTTTGAACTCCAACTGGTCGAGTTATGTCTTCGCAAATTTTGTCGGCCAATACGGATCACTTCCAGGAAATAGGCTTTTTATGAAACCCCCGTGATTATTAAAATTAAACTTCTGTAGAGCGGAACGTTGGAGCCATGGAAAAGGGGTCAACTGAACCACAACAGCAGCGTAGCGTTGTAAGTCCGTGTTTTGTCGTCCCCTGATTTGCATTTTCATTTGATAGCTAATCTATTGATTAATTAAAATGGAAAGTGTTTATGATCTCGTAGCCTGAGGTCGCGTTTCTTTCATTCATCTCTTCCTGTGTTTGTAAAGTTGTAAAATGCTTTTGCAGTCCTCCGCCGATCGAGATGGACTGCGGACGGACCGTGACATCAAGCGGGAATCATCGTCGCCGCACACTTTCAAGCATCATCGCTCGTCGTTGTCGAGCGGTTCCGTGGAAAGCCGGATGGCGGAACTTGATGATATTCAACGGTCAATGGAAGTGGAGGAAACAGAGGAGGAAAGCTATGAAGAGGAGAGGTTTAAATCGAGAGAACATTACGATACGGACTCTGATAGTGTCTCTAGTGGGCGCGAAGCCGCATCATATCAACAAGGAGCTCGCGTGCAGAATCAACAGCCCCCTTCCCCGGTGGAAACTTACATCAACAACACTGTCAGCGGGGTAGACAGAATTCCTACTCACGAATGGACCTTTGAGGAACAGTTCAAGCAAGTAAGTGCTGCATGTTTCACCTTAACCCTCTGACTGTTTGATGTTCTCGAGCAGAAATCTAAGCCGCAAACATTTTTTGGTTTTACATCTTGAGGACCGTCATTAATCAACTTTGCTTCGTAAAAAATTGACACATCTCAAGCGAATATTAATAATTATTGTTCCAAACAAATCCAGCTTTCGCGGCTTTAATCGATTTATTCATTCCCATGTTGTATTCAAGTGAATTCCAGCGTTCAATGTCTCCGCGAGCACCATTTAACCCTATATATTTAGCGTCTTTGTCGACGGACGCTAATCTCTCTTTCTAAATCGTTCTTTAATAGAAAGTGAGGTATGGGTAGCGGTGCATATTTTGCCGGCGTGTTTGACACCACTATTTTGTTTCTTTGTGACATATTGACAACGAGCGTCTTTAATTCTGTAGCTTCGGCGGCCGCTCCAGGCGCGATCTTTGCCGTATTCTCGAACAACATAATAACAAGACTTAAAATGAAATGTAGGATTATAAGGGTGTGTAGAAGTTATGATACTGGCCTTGATAAAACGGTGATTTGGGAGTTTGACGCGCGAATATCGGCTTTATTGAATTAGTGGGTCATAGAATGTGTAGTTTTAATTAACCTATGATACAAATTTGCATACCTGGCTTATCACCTGGGCGAAATGAAATATTGTGTTTGTCATGAGAAATTGAAGCCAGGGGAATATTGAATTCGGTTTTATTAAATAGTAGATATGCTCTTAGTTACTTGTCCCTGAGAGGTGAATACCTTTTTCCTTGACTTTTACCTTTGATTATGCTCTAACTTGTTATTATCTGTAACCTACAAAGATACATGTAAGCTACACAACAATACTGCCTTCAATTAATATTTAATAATAAGCCAGAGTTAATATAGGTCCTTGGCAATTGGGAAGTTGGATTACAGCTCTTTTTAGGTGGCAGGTTGACCTGCCACCTGTCACTCATACAGCCTGTCATTTTTAGTCTCGCTGTATTTTTTGGCAAATACTGATTGGCCACCAAACTTTGGATATTGTGTGGTATGTCACCGCTTTAGAAATCATCTATAACCTTTATGAAGGCTATTTGACATGAGAAATCTATAGCAGATGGATAAGTTATAGCTGTCTTGGCGGAAAATATACTGGCAGTTATTAAATGTGGGCTCACTGAATAGGCAATTTTTTTCATTTTAATAGATATTGTAAATTATTGTCAGATACAACATCCTGTTTCTTTTCATGTACAAACAAGCCCCAGCTTCAATTTGACACTGTAATTAAAACTCTCAATACTACATGGAGAGTAACAACTTTCCTGGAGGTAATATGCCTGCTGTTTTTCTGTGTTCATTGATTGCAATTTGACATCTATCCAGTGAAATTTGAGGTGCTTGTATTCATGAATGCATTACTTTTATTTCAACATAATCCTCAAGTCATCTTTAATAAAGCTTTTAATCTTCTTAAGTATTTCTAACATATTCTTTGTGGTTCTTCTTTGATAAAATCAACAGGCATGTCTTTAAAATGGAGGCTATAGCTTATTGTTGCTGTGCTTCCAATAGCCCAACGCCGTTACATTATTTTATAGCTGGCAAGGAAAAAAATGGAGTCCCGCCATTTCTGGTGATTAATCTTTAAGCAGTTCTTGATTTCACTTCAAAAACGTACAGTTACATCTTTGAATCCCCCTCAAAAACAGTTTTTAAGCAGAAACATTATTTCTATGGGAAACTTTTGTTAGCGTCAATCCCCAGCACTGTTAAGTGTAATGTATCATCTCTAGTGTATCACACAATTGAATTTAACTGCTGTATGTGTTTCGTGATTTCTTAAAAGGAGTTGCTTTTTTGGGTTTACTTGTTACCAATTTTTGCACCATTTATCAAAGCTTCATTAACCAAGTCACCGGATATTTAGATGTTATGCAAGGAACGCATGTTACCTCAATCAAACTACATTTTCGAGAGCTATGATTTGTGTATGTTTCATTGATCTTGCATAGTTAATTTATTGAAGACTTCAAAAATTCTTGGTTTTTAGATGAAGAACCTTTACAGAATGATATCTGTGAAAAAAAAAACTTCTTAAAAAAACTCTTAATTCCAGCACTTGTGCAAAGTTGTTAGAAAACAGTTGTGAACATTACCTTTGGGTAAGATAAGAAGTATGGTTGAAGCAGTAAGGAGACAATATTATGATTCAGTTTTGTTATGATCAGATGGCTGCAATATTGCTTTTGCAGTTCAACTTGTTAGTGATGAAAACAAACTAAGTGGTGCTTAGGTTAAACATGCCTTTTCATCCAAGTTCAAAAATGCAAAATTCCCGTAAATATTAGTTTTTGAGAGAGTGTAGAAAGGTGATATGTTTTGTAACACAAATGCATATATTAGTTGTATGATAAATAACGAGTAGTCGGTTCAAGTACATTAGAATGAACTGCTTGTAATCAGAAAGAAGGAGTGAATGATTTTATAATAAGCTCAGGTAGTAAATCAATATTGATCATGTTGAGAATGCAAAGAACCGGAAGAATCTGATTTACGTATTGTTGCCGGCATGGCTCTGCTTTCTGCATATTAAGTTCTTTTTTTATTTTAATCGGTTCATTTGGCTGCAGTTATTTGTGAAATACCTTGTTTGTTATTATTTTTCAAGGTTGGTTTTACGGAATAGAGATGAACATTTTCTCTACAAAGTTCTCAAATGAGAATGATAAGGGAGATCACATCTTCATGAACAAATTTTAGAATCCATCTAAGTTCTAGCTTAGCATAACACCATTGATACAGTCCTTCAGATCGGCCAACTTTCAAACATCATGACAAGTGTATAAGGGTGTTCCTAACTTCTTTGTAAAGTGAGTTGTCAATATCAGTTTGCAAATATGTGTACAGTTCACATCTGCATTTATTCCACTGAATAAGATTGGAACTTAAAGAAGTAAAAGAATGTTCATTCCCTGATAGTTTTATATTAAAGGTTCCTTTAATTTTTTTATGGTTTGATTCTCCTAAGTTGATCTTTGTGGTTGTTATTGTTGACAGCTAGCCAAATAGTTCAAATTAGCACTAAGTTATGAGCACACTCACATATCCTGATAGGTAGCATAGTTACAAATATCAGCACAGCTTCTTGGCTACAATTTCAAAAGAGCCGCTTGTGACTTGTTGAATTTACAACCTACTTCAAAGTACTTAAGAGCAGTTTTCCGCTGAGTCTGTGGTGAAACTGATAACAATCTTGCTTGGAGTGATTTACAACAGTCAAAAGGTCACAATACAGATATAGACTAGTATGGCAAAGAAATTAAAAGGCCAGATTAAGTCAGGGAAAAAATGTATCCTGTGTCCACTAATGTCATTATTGTATTGGACTTTCAGCATTTTTGGGAAGTTTTAATTTTGTTAAATGAATTTGCAAAGCTTATTTTACCATTAATCTGCTGATTAGCTATATGATGCAAGTTGATGTCTGTGTGCAACTGACCATTAATTCTGATCACACCTGTCTGTGTCTATCAAGGCCCATTAGTGTGCTCAATGGTGTGACTGATTATAAAGATAAAGCTTGTCTTTTTCTCATACAGGTATAGGACTGACTGGAAGTACATTCGTAGCATTAATATACTTGAATGGAATGTTTTTGTAGATTTTCAGCCAGAAGGCACCATAGTGCAAGTCACTTATTCACTTGATAGCCCTCGTGAAAGGCAGTCAATAGAGGGACACAACAATGCGCAATGTCAGTAAACTTAAATTGCAAATGAAAAAAGGAAACTGAAAAGTTGCCCAGCTTAGTGCACACTTTTTTTTTAAAGATGCACATATCAGTGTCACCATTTGACACTTGATCATACACAATGAAATTAATCTTTTGCATAGGAAACATAATCTGCAAGCCTGAATAGCACAAACATCAGTGAAATATATTATTCATTTATTTGTTTTAATTTTTTGTCCAAAAACTTGCTTCAGACTTAAATCAGTTTCAAGGACTTAAGTTCCTGTCTTTTTGGTTTGTCTAGGGCCATGTGTATTTCCAGCTCGATGATTATGCTGGCCAACCAAAAGATAGCATTTAACAGCTTATTTCGTTAATTTTATTTTGGTAAAGTTTTAACTTTGGAGCATTCATTATAGTTAGTAAGAATTTCTTAAGACTGTCACACACTAGGCTCCTTGAGCAACTCAGTTGAAAGGTTTCTTGCATTGATGAAATAAAAAAAAATATTTGGAATTTTTCATTTTTGACATGACTGTGGTTAACAGTTTTGTAATTCCAAGAATTTATCAACAAAAGATGACATTGAAGTTTTTCTTATGAAAATGATTGCTGGCTGACCATGATTGATTGAAAGTGATTGGTCAAGTTTTGAGCCCTCAGAGAAGATCTGTAATTTTAGTCAATTGAAATGAAAACATTGTACAAATTTGAGTGCAAATCATTATTTTTTGCTGCTGGTAAAATTCTAAAACAGATCAAATCAGTGTAAGCACTTGAACAAGTTAATTAAGGATTACTACCACTTGAAAAAAATCCAATTTGATTGTCTGAGAATTCCAATTTAGGTATGGAACATCATATTCCAATTGAGTGCACCAGAACACCAAAAAAAGAAAAAAAATGTTGGCGCCAAGCACATTATAACTCTTAACAAACTTGACAAGGGTTACTGACATCTCCATTTGGAACATAACCATTGTTTGATATATTTCTAGTACATTTTTTCAAAAGGAACACTCTTATTTTGAAAATGTGATGCAAATACACTTGCATTATGGCTACTCTGGCTGGTTTGTTGGCACTTCACTCAAATAGTGATAGATAATCATTCAGATGAAATATGACATTATATAAAACAGTTGCTGGTGGGGTAAATATCAGAATATTACAAAAAAAAGCAGAGTTGAAAAGTGAAACTCAGGGCTTATTGTCTGCTAAAGTAAAGGATTAAATTCAGCCAGTCACTAGAGCTAAATATAACCATAGGACCTTTGTCTTTTTAGTATAGTGTGACACTGTGTGAAGTTATTAAAAAATAGGGCTTAAAATTGGACAGAATACTTGAACAGAGATCATACCAGAAACCTACATTGCGTGTTGAACTTAGATGTTTTCTTGGTACTCAAGAGATATTTTATCTCTTTATCTGTAGCATAAGTTAGATGCACTTTTAAAGGTGATATGCCTCAGATATGGATGTGGATGTAACACTATATTCCTCATTTTACCATTTTTGAATATGAGATTGTCAGCTCATTACCAAATAAATGATAAGGAACCTTGGATAACATTGCCCCTCAAAATGAAAATAAATGCAACTGTTCTGATTTCCCATGCTTAATGCTGTAAGCATTCAATATAGGCAAGACAAGCCACATTTTTGATGTGAAGTGCTTATCAGTAACCAAATATCACCTGTTAGCTTAATTAGAACAGACCTCTTTCAAAGCTGATGTGTTTTCTCTACCCTGAGCTCCTGCTGTGACCTGAAAGTTAAAAGGATAATGCTTTATCTAACATAAAGTTTGTCAAGATTTTCTATTTTGCAACAGTATTTGATGGCCCACTCTTGTTGTCATCTATCTGTACTTATGGTGATTGCTATAAACATTCCTGATATGACAACTGTATGTCACAGCATCTAAGCAATACCTTCTTGTTATTATATTTAATGATTTGATATCAAAATTCAAAGATGCTGGGGTCAGTATCATGTATGCTAGGTATGAGAAATGAAGCTTTGTAATATTTAATAAGTTGTGGTTGTTTTCTCTTCATTGTAAGAAACAAAAAAAAGCAAGAAGAATAAATTTTCCAATTGACAAAAATAAAGATGGCACAAAGTTAGGAATAAGGGCTGTTTTGATTTAATTTTTGTCTTTGGTGAGCAAAATTAGACAAAGTAATTCTCGGAATACAGTTTAAAAATTTAGATATAGTCTTATAAATCTGAGCACCTGTATCACCTGTTGTATGTAAGACTTATATACCATGGAATCCTTGTCATATACTGTTCTAGAATTAAGGAATGCCAACAAATTTGCCGAAGTTTATTTTTGCCCAATTTAGAGCTGTAAAACGTGATACAAAACTTAGGTTATACCAAGATCTTACAATCAACATAGCATGTATCTTATTAGGGAAAATCATAAAACAAATGCAAAGCAGGGTAGAAATCTTAATGTTGGCAAACATGTAGTGTCAGTACCAATCAAGTTTTCCTATATACTTTAGATTTGAAAAATAAAAGTGCCAGTCGTAAGTGCATAATACTTTTGTTATATCATGATGATTGTTAAATTATTATACTTGTGGCATACTTCTGACCGACTCATGGATAACGAAATGTTCTGGCTTAGCTTATCACATCGTTGGTTTCGTTTTATCAACCGACTTGATGATGTAAAGTGGCCACCATAAAGAGTATCTAAGTTGACGTTTCGAACGCTAAAACCAAATCATCTTGTTATACTCCCTCATCAACGCAGCACCACAATTTCGTTAGAAACTTACCCCCTTTATTCATTTATCTTATCGTTCGTTTTGTTTTGTTTTTTTCTATTTTTAAGCTGTACGAGTTGGGAACTGAGCCAGAAAGGAAAGAATTTTTGGACGATTTGTTTACGTTTATGCAGAAAAGAGGTAAGATAGTATGAAACTTCCTACCTAGTGGTCAGACGATGCTAGGAAACTCATCCATTTTTTTCAGTTTGTAAATAATTGCAGGAATTCTTCCTTAACTTTTAAGATTTATTTTATCTCTCTAGAAGTTTACGCGAGCTTATTAAATGCACACAATTTTGTATTAAGAGGGAGGCATTTCTAGCCAACGAACTACCGACTACTTAAAAATTTGATCTATCCACAAACTTATTTTTGAATTAGTGAACTTAAAAGTATCACTCAGGGAAGCAGGATTTTGTTACTAAGCATTAGATGATGAAGATGTCAACCTACCTGGCTATCTTGTTACAACCTAGAGTCACGTCAAAAGATCACAAAATGTTTGAATTTGTTTCTTCTTTAACATTGGCACTTAATGGCTTAAAAAAAAAAGATCCATTCAGTATTCTTTTCTAAATAGTGAGATTATACAGCAAATTTTACTGCCTCTTTTGTCGCCTGCGTCTGGATTCGAACCCTATGATTGGTTAATTCCTCGCTGTGAAGTCACGTAGTTTCGCAAATTTCCCGCTTTTTTGTGGTTACCGGCGAAAAACATTCAGTAGGTAACCTTTTACTTGTAACAGGGTAATATTCCTTTGATTCAAATGACACGCTTTTGTTTTTTAAATAGGTACTCCAGTAAACAGAGTTCCCATAATGGCTAAACAAACATTAGATTTATTCAAACTGTTCAAACTTGTCGTGGAAAAGGGAGGGCTTGTCGAGGTAAGTGATGCTGGAAATTTTCGTTTCAGTATTTAATACTATATGCTTTCGTGTTTTCTATGTGGTGGACTACGATTCATCGTCGAAATCGGTGTTGCTTATTCTTCTTTTTAGGTTATAAACAAGAAAATCTGGCGTGAGATTATCAAAGGACTTAGTCTGCCAGCATCAGTTACGAGTGCAGCTTTTACGCTTCGAACACAGTGAGTAAAGTTCCTCAAATATTACCTTTTTATTTATTTATTTTATTTTGAATTGTTGAAAAAGCGTCATTTACATAAACCGGTGCATATAATATTATTTTAAAGTTTTTGCATTTTACTCTCTCTCTCTCCTCTTGGAGAAATTTTGATAGAGTCTTGGATGCAACTACTGAATATTATTTATTAATTAAGACTTTTTATTATAGATACATGAAATATCTATATCCATATGAATGCTCGAAGAAGAAGCTATCCTCACCAGCCGAACTCCAAGCAGCGATTGACGGAAACCGTCGTGATAGCCGAAGATCATTTGGCTCGTTTCTGTCACAAGCCGTACCATCAGACGGCTCACATCCATACAATAGTCCAAGCCCTACAACAACACCGCCTGCCTTCACGCCTAGCAACACCTCTCCAGGACTTCCTCACAGGTCTAGTCCAGGCCCTTCAGCTTCCAACCATGACGTGAGTTATCCGTTCAAATTCAGTTTATGGTTTATAACCAATAACATAAGGGCAGACTTGATTTCTGGTGAAAAACATAAGAATGATAATAACTGAAAATAATTCTGTTAGCTTTTATAGACAGTTGTTGCTTATTTCGAGGTGTGCATGTAAAAAAATTGTAGGTAATGTTTGTATTTGTGATTGGAACAGACACATGAATGAACTTCACGCCATCTAATGATAAGCAATAGTCTCCTAACATATTTCCACAGTGAAAGTTACAAAAGGAATCATGTTGTGGTGCTTGTAAAACAAACTTACGTTAGCATTTAGAGTTGAGTCCTGAAAGCGAGTTTTTTTCCTTTTGGTTTGTTTGCTTTAACCAAAGCTTGTTCGCAAAATTGTACATAAAAGGTGCCGTCCTGAAATATGAAAATCTTCTTCCTCTAAAGGTGCATGTACCTCCATCAGTCCATGGTAACAATGGCGTTGCTATGCTTCACTCTCCGGGCGTTGTTCAATACAGTCCTAAGCGTTCGTCAAGCGTGACGGAGGTAACGTCACGAGGGGTTTCCTCGTCACCATCCGATGCATCGCCATGCGGTTCACCAGTCAAGAAATTTGCTGCTGTTAATGAACGAAGCAATAAACCGACTCCGACTCAGCTTCCCTGGACACACATTAAAATACAAACTCAACCCAAAGGTACTAAATCCTTTTTACCGTCTGGATTTCATTTTCCACTCCTGTTCTTCTTATACTTAAGTGTAAGTTTTGAAATAACCCAGAGCTTTTGCCGTCCTCAAGGCAGAAGAGGGTATTGCACATCGTAATTATTCAAATTTTAGGCTCAGCCTTGTGGTTATGAATGTTCTTTTCTATTCATATTCAGAACATTGTACGTTGTGTATATTTTTTTGAAGAAGCCGGAACATACCTGGCATAGTGTAGCGTAAAAGTGACAAGGAGTGGTAGACTACTTAATCGGTCAAAACTTGTGCGACCTAAAATTTCTCTTTTCTTTGTTCAGGTATGTCACAAGGCGGCCAGTTCCAGTTCCCTGATCCCGAACGATCATCACGCGGTCGCGAGCCGAGGCACTTACCGCTTACTCTTCTGGATCAAGTGAGCGACAACTCATTGCTGGTGTCCGTAGAGCTCAATGGCGTGGTCTACCAAGGGGTTTTGTTTGCTCGGCAAAATCGACCGGACTCGCCGAGAAGTAACGAAGACTACTAACTTAAGTATGGTGTTTCTACTCTTAAAATATGCAGACATTAGTGTAGGATTTAGAGCGGTTTTAAACTGACTTTTATAAAAATTAAATTACAGTGCGACTGCAACTTGAGTTACGCGTGGTAAAACATGCGATCGGCGTAAGACATGTAAATGGTGTGAAAGCTTGACCGTGTCTTATTTACATCATGCCAAATTCAATTGGCAGAAGCTACATCTTAATGAAATCATAAAAGCCATAACATGGTAGCAAGGAGCTGCTGTGTGTGTTTAATGCGTGTTAGTAAGTAGTGAGTAGAAAAAGAGTATTTCAAGTGACCACGTCCGCTTGGCGTCACTAGACGTGGGTAGCCATTTCACCCTACCCCCTTATTGAGTTGTTAAGCTACATATTCTACAATGATTAGGACCGTTAACACTCGTCTACTTCTTTTTAAGTCAGTGTAATTAGAATGGGAAATCGTGAGTCCTATCAGCCTCTCAATATCATCAGTTTATGATACTGCACGCAAGACAAGTATTATTCTAAAATTCAGTTACTTTTCAATTTATTATTTTTCGCCGAAACGTGGCGCATTGTATATTTATCTTCTCCGTACCCTTAGTTCTTTTGAAATGTTAACTTGTTCCGCAAACTCACCCCTAAACGAGAATTGGGTTAAATTTTACGTACAATGTGGCATTTTTATCGTTGTCTTGCGAATAAGCAGCAAGAACAAACAAGTTTGAGTGTTTTGAGACAAAACGTTGGATTGTGATATCTGGTTCAGATTATTTTTTTCTGCGAGTGAATTACATAAACCTGGAATATGATTTCAAATAAATCGGAAAAATGTTTGTCATATTTTGACTTTTTTGTACTTTGATATGAAATGTTGAGGAGAATTCCTCTTACTGAATATACTATAATTTTAATGTTTAAACTTAATTGTAAATCATTTGCCCTGTCGTATCTTTAAATAGGGCTCCTTCAGAGACCTAACGGCTATCTTTAAGGAATACATGCACCCACTGTAAATACTTGACTTGCGGTTATAATATTTTCCTCGCCTGGACATAAGCTGGTTATACCTAAATTCTATTCGTGAAACTATACTGTTGTTACCATAATTTTGGAGCGAAAAAGACATCACTTTGCTGTAAAATAATTTCTAGTTACTACGTCGAGGGTGTTACTGCTGTTATACCAGTTTTAAAACCAAGAAAAACATCTTTATTGCTCTCCCCTCTTAACAAATGCTGATCCACCGCAGTTTTCTATGGCATTTCTATCGTAAACTCTTTTTTCATTCATTTTTACGCTTTTTGGTCAATTTAAATGAGCAGTAATAACACCCTCGACAGTGTATCTTTCGAGCTTTTTCATCGGAACTACGCACAATGTATTTGGAGAAGGGTGTACATTTAAAAAATAAACTTAATTTACTTATACAGGGTTACTCTGGACTCATTTTGTTATTAGCTCCTAGGAGTTTGAATGCTTGTTATTATCTTTACGATTATCACTATAATAGTATTGCTACGTAGAGTATTCTAAGTTGGTCAGTGTTTTTTTATTGCGCAATATATTTAGCAGTGGCGTCAATTTACTTATTTTCCTGCGCTCATCGGAGTGCTGTTTCAAATATTATGAATTCGGTGTGTTTTCATTTATCTTTTATTGTTTAATGTAGTACTTTAGAAGAATTACCCAAGAGATCAACCTTCGTAACCGCGATGATAGTAATTAGATTCGTTTACATTTTAGATGGGAATTTACTCGTCCATATATCCAAGTTGATTAATTTTGTTCAAAGCACTTTATAGTGTTTTTAACCGTTATCATCATTATTATTATTATTTTAATATATACCGAATATCGCTGAATGCATCGATCCTATGTGAATATTTTTATAACTGAATTAATAATGAAGGATTGCGTATGTACACATGTACAAATAAAAGTAACAGACCTTAGACAGTTTTGTTTTTGACTACAAGTTTTAATTCTCTACTCTGTGTTCCAAATCTTCTACCCCACTTTGGAGTCCCTTTGGATGAATAGGTCTTTTCCATTTATCTCGTGTGCTCATCTAAAAGGAGGGGCCCGACTGCGTAAAAAGATTAAAACTAGGATTTGGGGACCACGGATCAAACAGAAAAAAGAATGAGATAGGGTTGCTTACAAAAAAGAAAAAAAAAACTATTTTGGGGGAAATGAAAGTCGAAAAATGGGAACAGAACAAAGAGAGAAAACTACAGAAAGTGATTATTTGTGACCTAAAAAAGAACGGCACAAAACCCGAAAGCAAAAAAGTTTAACCTGAAAGTAACCAAATGAACAACTTATCAACAACCTCGGGCGAGCGCATCTCACTTCACGTATACATAACAATGTACAACATTCAGCAGAGAACTCTGAACATACTCAATCAAAAATATAACATAAGCTGAAGTTAGTCACATTTCATTTGTACTTCTTAATTAATTTTGTTTCCATTTATATATCTATAGAGATTTTCCTCAAGCATATATTACAGTTCCATTTATGCTGGCTGTTTTTCGGTTCTTACTGTCGTCTTACAACAACAACAACAACAATAATAATAATAATAATACTAAAAATACCAATAATAATAATGCAGTTTCTCTGTGAATTTCCCTGTACAATTTCTTTGGTTTACTGTTGTGATTTAATTACTTTGAAGTTTCGGTATCCTCTTTTCCGTTGAGTCTTCTGCCGTCGTATATGGTAAAATTAATCAATTTCAAATCCATAAGGACTGGCTCGACCGGTAAATGTCGCCAAGCGTGTCTCACCTTTCTGGGAAAGTGAAGCGTGTTCGTCAAAATTTCTCTGAATGGTTCTCTTTCGCGCAGTTTAGCTAAGTAGGCGTTTTTCCAAATAGGAGTCGTAAACACCTCGGTGTTTTTTGGAGAAATTTCCCTTTTGTCGTCAGGGACCCTTGCCCCTCCGCGTGTACAACGGGAACGTGAAGTCACGCGAGGACATACGTCGCCTGAGGGGGTCCTACTGAGGCTTAGAATATAACTCATTCGGCTTGAATAGCCACTGTCGTTTGGAGAAGTTATCGTGCTTCGTTTCCTTGAGGAAATCGTCGTTGAAATAAATTCCTCGTCCTCTGTCTCATCGAAAAGCTCTTCTTCGCTGTCATTTTCTTCGAGTTTGCGATCATGCGAGGATATCACTTGGCTAAAAGGGTCCTTAAATTTTTCAGATCTTTTCAGTTCGCTAGGAAAACTGTCGCGGTGTTCTTTAAAAGCTTCCATTCTTTGCACAAGCTTCCAGCATTCCTTACACAGATTAGGGCCTAGTAATTCGCAAAAGTGTCGAGACGTTTTGTTTCCCACTCCCTCCCTTCGTTCACAGATAAGTTTGGAACGTACCTCTCCACACGCGCTAGGAACGCGTCTATAAATCTTCTTACTGCCCATCAGTCCGTCGCTAGGAGTGACTTTCATGCTATGTGTGACTTTTTCGGCTCTAAAGCGTGGATGGTGAAATATCCACTCGGGATCTACGACAGGGTCCTTCAGAGTAATCTCGCGAAATTCCATACAGCCATGAGACTTCTTGGGATGGCGAACTTCTTGCATAAATTGCCGTGTTTCGTTGTAGCGAGGTCGCCTTGAAGTTACCATCATTGTTTGACGGATCACGAGTTCCCTAGGCGGCCCAAAACACTAAGCAAAATGGCTTCGATTTAACTTTGCTTCCTGCACGTTTCCGACTTATTTACTTCTTTTCTTCTAAACAATCTCTCTCCGCTCGAATTAACAGTCAACAGAGAGACATGCTTGGCAACAGTCACAGCTGCTCAATTGACCTTTAATTCTCGCAAACAGAAGTTTCAAATTACAGAAGAGCCGCACAAGCGGAACGCTCCCCATAATCTGTCTTGATTGACAGATGTCATGGCTTGTGAGCACAAAATGAAGTTCCTCTCGTTCAGCGAGTGGTTTTGTATACGAGGATGCAGAGGCATGCAGACGTAGTCTTTTCATTAAATATTGATAATTTGGTTTTTAATGACACAAGGAAATACCTTCGCCAATAACTTATAAAGACAATCAGAATTTAGGATGAAAAAGCCTCTTCCCTATATTATGGCACTGATAATACAACGGAAATGACGACAGGAAGTTAATTTCAAGTCACGTTTTTATCGCAGACGCTTCAATAAGCCCCCTAGGGGCATTCAGTTTTTATGGCTTACAGATGCAATGCTTCCTAAAAACCATGAGGAAATACCAAGAACAAGTTTTTTTTCCAGATGCCAGAAGTTGAAATTTCTTTGGTTTAAGAACCTACGATAATCAAAACGGAAAATAATATAGGCTTTCAATTTTCAGTAGTGGTACACTGGCTATATTTTTATGTTGGGGTTTTAGTTTGAGGGATAAAAAATGATATAGAAGATTTAATGAAAAAATATAATGCTTGGAAGATCTTATCAAAGAGCAAGCCTCTAAAAATTTGCACCAAGACAGGTTCCTGTTACTTGAGACTTTTCAGAGTTCTGAGAGAAGACTTACAAAAACCTAGAAGAAGCTAAACACCTCCTACAACCCGTTCAGATTTTTCTAGTCTCCATTCGGAGAGAAAACCATAGTAGTTCTTGTTTGGGGAGAAGAAAAGTGGGGGAGGGGGGTTTGGGGTTGATGGCTCAAGTTATTAAGGATGACCAAGATATTGCAAAAAAAAAAAACATAAACAGAAGCCTACTATTTGTACATGTTTATTATTTTTCTGCGCAAAATTTGGCCCTTTAGGATCTCATGCCACCACTGCCTCCACCAGGACGGAAACTCTGTGTAGCATTGAGTGGCTGAGTGACTTGGAGATTAGAAATGTTGCCAAAGTCCTACAATGAAAAAGAGTATATTCTATTAAAAGAAATTACTATCATTGCCCACATGGAGTGCAAAACTAGTAATTCCTAAACTAAACATAGAGGAATGAACTAACCAAGATCAATCAAGCACTCATATGAATTATAAAACAGAAGTATTTTTGAAACACAACAACTAAAATAAAGCAGTTTGAGTCAAACCTAATCCTTCACACTTCAAAGAATGATCAATGCTTTAATTCTCCACAAAGGTAAGACACAAATCAAACATACAGGGAATGGCAACAAAAAGTCTGAGCTTGATGAGTTGGAAAAATGAAGCATAGAAATCTTAGCATTCAATACTTGCTTTATCCTAATCAATGAAGAGAATTATTTAACGGCAGGATGGTTAATAAAACAATGTAAGTTACCGTATTCACTTGTGTATAAGTCGACCTTTCACAACCAAGAAATCAGCCCAAAAAAACACCATTGACTTGTACAAAAGTCATACACAAAGACCTGACCCAAGCAATCCATGAAATTAGCATTACAATTGCCTGAAGTCCATTAGGTAAACAGAGTTTACAAAATCAGTTCTAATTGTGTTCGAGTTTTGTCTGTTTTCAGCACATTCTTTGTCAACAAAAAAGTTTGAAAAAATAAAATTTTATGTGAATTAAACACAAAGCTACCAGAGCTGATTTCTATTGTGTCTTTTGATCTGTAGAGCAGAAATTTTCTCTTACAGCTTCGCTGCTGTTTATAGCACTGAACTTTAGTTTTCATTGAATGATTTCAGTTGCTTAGTGACCTAGCAAATGCTGTTGTCTTGTGCGACCTTGTTTGTTACACGTGATCCTTCAAAGCTCTTTGGTGTTCATTTGGTCTACTAGATCTCCTTTCAATCTCAACATTAAGATAAAGGTTTGTTGAATGTAAGAAGATTCATTTCAATGCGATTTACAATATACGGTAAAATATTTCTCCAGTAAATCAAAATCCTCATGTATGCTTAAATCGTTGGAAAATAAACAAGTGCTAATAAACTTCACAACACACCATTACATTTTCCTCTACAGTTTTTTCAATTCATTCTCAGAAATAAGAGATTAGCTTTTTGGGAAATTTCTATGCAAAGTTTATAAGGATCTTAAGGCGAATAAAGCGAAGTAAACCTCACCAACGACTCTAACAGCTTCAGACGCGAACGAGTTATTGTCTGACAACAACACCGTAAAGACTCATCATGTCAATCGGTCTTATTTATTTAAGTCAAGACGCTTGGTAAAAAGTCAACGCACAAATATATTTTTTGGTCTTACTACTCGTGTTAAATGCAATCGAAAGTGACGGTTTTCTGTGGAGAGCCTCGAGGCGATTAAAGACCTTGTTTTCTGGCGCACAGCTGTTTTCAAACGAGGCGCTCATTTTTTAAAACCAACATGTTTACCTAACACGAGGATCCCTCTTTGCAAAGGCGCCGAATTCGTGTAACTATGTTGATAATACAAGATACACTGATCAAAGCAATGATTTCTAGTTTTTGCAAGAGCATGTATTTGAGTTATTTTCGTTTTCAATCAAATGCGTGGCAAGATGAGGGTGTGATATTTTTTCACTCACAAGTCTCACAACGAAGAAGGTGCAAGGTTTTTTATTTACTTTTGAAAAAAAAAAGCAGGTCTTGCTTAAAAGCAAGTCTCTCCCATTAAAAACTATCAGAGTTTTACAGCAGATTCTAACAATCTTTGTTAAAAGTAAGGAGCTATCAACAGCTTCTCCAAATTTTCGGAGAGAGCAGGCGCTGGCGCACAGCTGTTTTCTAGTTTTCAATCAAACGCGCAGCAAGATGAGGGTGTGATATTTTTACTCACAAGTCTCACAATGGAGAAGTTACGAATTTTTTTTTTGTTTTATATTCTCTTTCGGAGAAAAAAAACAGGTACAGATAACTTTTGTAGCGCGAAATTTGATTGCCCAGTAATTTGGAAGATGAATCTGACAGCGTCAATGACGAATATACACGTAACCTGTTGAGCAAAAAAAAAAAAAAGAAACAAGCAGGACATGACGATGCGAAAAAAATCTCAGCTCCTGCTAAAAAATTGTGGGAGGAGATTATTCAGTTTTTCGTGCTTACGAAGCGCATTGTTCTAAATTTTCTGTCCAATGTTTTTTTACTAAATATCGTTTAATTTTCTGTATGTTTAGCTTCTATAAGTTGTATTGGATTGACGACCAACTCGCTGACGTCTCTACTCAATTTTATATGTCGGCGAGTTGGTGTCGGCGAGTTGGTCCGTCGGTGAGTTGTCCGTAAACCAATGAGAATATGAACAGGAAAAAAAAAAAACAGTCTGAACAATCTTATGAACATAAGAGTGGGCTAATACATTCTTACCAGCCACAATCTCCATTTTAGCTTGCAAAATGTGCCACAATGCCCAACAAATTGATAATAATGGAACTGTTTGCGCAGTCTTAGTGTTAAAGTTGAACTTACCAATACTTTTAACATTTCTTTGGTATCTGGGTCAACTTCAATGATATCTTGCTCAATAGCAGACACCTAACACAAGTGAAAAATCACTGAGTAAGCCTCAAGATTCCTTCCAAGCAAAAAGCTTGAGTATCACAAAACAAAACATCAATATAACTCAAAAGAATGAATATGATTTTCAAGTCAAACAAACATATCTAGCAAGAATTGGCTCACCCTGCCAGTATACCCCTATTTAGGAAAAAGCCTTTTATTCCCCTGTTATCAATTAAATGTAACATATATAAATACATGTTCTCTGGAAAATAAGACTAAACTCCTTTCTAAGATGGGAACACATGCAGTGAGAGAAGAAAATTTGGATACTGATTTCAACTTGTACCATGAAAAATGTCCCTTCTATAACTCCACCCTCTAAATTTTCTAAAGAGTATGTCTAATCATTAGCCACATGCAGACTGTTAGTTTCAAATTTCTCTCACCTCAGGAACATAATTGTCCCTTCGTTCACGTTCTTCCTCTTGCAGTTTGATAGAAATACCACGAACAGGACCCTTCTGAATACGCTTCATGAGATGGGTAACAAATCTGTCCCACAACAGACAAAAGAGTCACACCAGTAAAGAGAACAGTCACTTTTACTTCTGGTGCAGGTGCAAAAGTGAGTGTATGATACAATTTAAAAAGCAGATACACTATACCAACATTATTGCTATGAAGGTGAGAATTAAATTTATTAGTTCCAATAACCACAAGACCCCCCTTCCCAAAAACAAATACATAAATCTTACAACAAATTTACTATACATATCAAAATAATTTTTTGGGAAAATGGCAGAGAGTTTCTTCTCAGTGTTGGTCAATACAATAGCATACACAACAAATTGGGAATGTGAATGAAAAAATTGTTCATTATATATACACAACCAATTGGAACACTATGATTTGAGTCCTATGAAATGATGCACACTTTTCTGGTAAGTTCAAAACATAACACACAGCAGTGTAGAATGCATCTCAGACTCCACAATATAGCAAACACAGTCTTACCCAGCAATTTTGTTCTTAAGCTTCTTGCTTGGAATTATCGCAATGTCATCACAAACGCGCTTGTTGGTGTGGAAATCAAGAGTCAGACGTGGATAATATTTCTCAATGATAACCCTTGCGGCCTTTTTCACAGTCTTAGTCCTTACTCGGCCCTGAAGGGGGAGACAACACTGGTAGTTAACACAAAACTGTAATATGGCATGGAATGACACAAAACTACCATAAAAATTATGCATGCTACAGCTGTAAATGTAATTGCCAATGATCACAATTAGAATTAACAAGAGAAACTACTTGGGTGCCGAACAACAATTTAACCTTAGCTTCCTTAGGATTTGATGCACAGATTTGATTTCACCAACTGCCATTTGTTTAGAGTCAATACCGGGTACAACTCATCGACAAAATTTCGGCTACTAAAAAGATCATTCAGTCCGAACCTTTCCAGAAAGGTCCGATGCTTGCACGTTAAGTGAAATTTAACAAATGCAATGCGAATACATAAAATCTGTAAACCTTCATCAAAGAGAGTGCTGCCACATTTAAGGCGTACGATGTAAATCGAATGAGAAAATGATCTTGCTAAAAAATTTGTGATTTGACAATGTCAAAATTTCAAGTAAATAAACCTGATCAACATAGATAATGAATTAACTTTAACCAACGACACCTAAATTTGCCGTAGCATAGGAAAATAGTGTTCCTTTAATAGTTATTTGGCTTCGTGCTATCAAAAGGTTGGTGAAATGCAACACAACTTTAATCACATGTGCTGAGTACCAATGGCTAAGAAAATCAACCAGTTAGAGAGAATGGTTACGTATCTTTAAAATAATTATTAATTCGAAAAGATAGAGGGAAATTCAACAACGATGATTCTGGATTGTTGTCAAAAGTTTAGCAACCCACCATCTTGAATCGACGAGAAGGAGAGAGGAAGATACCAGGATGCTTTGCGAGTTTGGCGTATCTGGAGACCGCTGATCAACATCCGAAATTTGCGGACTCTGTAAGATTTCATCTGATTTTAATTCTGGCCAAATTAAAGTTCCACCGATAGTACAAAGGAACTGGTGAAAATTTTATTGTATTTTTATTTGTATCTACTCGACGAGAATGACTTAGTAGTTTGCTTTAAAAGGAAAATACCAAAAGACAAAATTTAATAGGCCATGACAAAGTTAGGATGGTTGTGGGGTGTAATCTTGTCAAACGCTTACACATACCCACTTATTTCCTGATTCCTACTGTGTCGAAAATTGGTTGGGGAATTGACGAGGTAGTAAACTGGGAAATTTAAGGCCATGTACCTGTTTGGGAAGCGGAAAACAAGTCGTAACAACAGGATTTTCTGTAACACTACCTCAAGATTAAATGAGCAGTAACATCTTGAGGATTATAACGTTTTCTCCAGTCAGAACATTAAGCCAGATCAAACGTTTCCAACAGTTTTGGTTCAAACACAGAAGCCCCCGTGGCTAGCAAATCCATCGTCTCCTCAAGAAATACGGGATCTGTACAAGACAATAATCGTCGACATTTTTCGCACAAATCTCAGTCACACTATTAATGTTAACATCACGCGATGACGTAAGCTCTTTGTGAGTACACACATCCTTTTATCGAATCTAGTCATTATTCAAATAGATTGGTGCAAACGTGCGTCCTTGTCTGTAGTTGATACGCAGTACAGTTTCAGGAGTGACTCAAGTGTTTTATTTCTTCATCTTCATTGCATTACATGGAAGAAATACGAACTCGTTTTGATAAGTCCAGTGATTACGGTATTTTAAAGATGATCTCAAAATTTTAGATTTGCCCACGAAGCTTCGCTTCTCGGCCAAATATTTATTTTCCGGACAGTATCTCAGCCGCAGATATTATCAGCCAACATACCAGCTGCCTGAAGGGGTTCATTTACTTGATGTCACGACAACGACAAACGGAAATATTCCACCTTTAATTCCAATATTTACACTCACATAATAGCATTTTTCACAAAATTTATTCTACAGATTTTTGGCATCCTTCTCTTGCCCTAATCAGGCCAATGGCCTTTACTTACAATAAATACATTTATTGAGGGTGTTCGATAAGGCCATACTTTCATGTAACTATCAATCTGATTTGAGCATTCTGCAACTTCGACCAATCCCAGAGCGAGAAAGTAAGCAGTACTTCACAATCTGGGATCGCGTTCAACACTCAGTTGAAACCTGTAGCTTTGATATCCCCATTTATATATACACTTAAGTATTGTTGAATATAACACGTGGAATTTCGAACACACGATTGTCTTAAGAAAGTATTATACTGTAGACTTGATCTTCTTCCTAATAATTTACCTGATTTATAAATTATTATTTTCTTTTAAAATTCAAGGAATTTAAGGAGTCAAGTCAGGGTTGGCATGTTTCAGCTAACAGTCCTTCCCAGTCGTTGCAAGCTCGAGGGTTCATGAAGTGTTTCAGTCTCCAAGTAGCACCGCGTTGTTTGTTAGCCCAGGTCACTATGGATACAGAGGTTCCTTGTCCATAACGTTTCCAGGTGTAGGTACATCACAGGTGATCGGTAACATTACCCCGTTGACAAGGCAAGAGAAGAATCACTCGGTGAAATGTCGTACCTGGTGCTACTCCCAAAGAGCTGCGTAGTTACCATAATAGACGAGAGAAAGTGGCCCTCCGGCCGCGAAGAGCTTGGTACCAGTTGGATCATAACAGTGGGTGTAGACAGCATTGCTCCGACAGACAAGTGCATGTTCCAACACATAATCATCCAATGGATCCTGAAACTCTTCCCGCTAAAAACAGCAAACAAAAGAAAATTAGTTAAGAAGAATATCCACGTTTCCGATCGACTTCGGATGCTCCCGTCAAATTTTAGACGATCCCGTGTCGCTAAGCGTACTTTAGCCCAATATTGGACTGAAACGGCCGATCTCAGACACTTCCATCGGATTTCGAACAGTTTTGACCCGTTTCTGATGCTTCTGTCCGACTTCTGACGCTTACGTCTGATTTCGCGGCCTGCTCACTAAGTCTCACAACCAGTCTGTTCGTTTCCTAGCTCTACCAACCCCAATGTGTTTGTTTTTTTGTGTCTGTGCCCAACTTGAAGCGGTTTTCTATAAATTTAAGCCTCTTTTAAATTTAAGCTTGCAACAGAGAACATTGTCGACTTTCTTACCAGCCAGCCTTTTCCTGATTTAAAGCAGATCATTGTGCTCTCTGCGTTTCTGAGGAATTTATAAGCTCTCATATCGAAGAAAAATAGAGACCCGCATCCGGTACCAACAGTCAGCAATAGATCTCGGAAACTCAATGAACGCACACCTATGAAAGAAATTTGTGCTTTTATCAACTATTTGCAATGACCAAAGAATTTTTTTTCAATTTCACAGTGTTTGAGCAAGGTAAAAAACAAAAGAACAAAGCAGTAGGCAAGCCAAAGCAGTAATATTGATCAGTGCTTCGAGACTCGATTGCCTTGATTAAGCAGCCTGGAAAGAAAGGCAGGTTTCCAGAACCCCTTCCAAACTTAAGGTTTCTTTCCCACCCCTCCTCGACTCACCTGCTCCTGGGTCACGTGATCCTATGTATCCTACAGCAGTCCCAGACCTTGGATCATAAAATGAAACATGTGACTGTGAACCAACTGCAAATAAATTGTTGTCTCTCTCCAGTGCAAGACATACTGTTTCCATTGGATACTTCAGTGAGTAAGTACTTCTCTTAAGTAAAACAAAAAAAGAGGAAGATGTTGTAAATTATGGCATGGACAATACCTGCTCAGACAAAGGTCAATTACAAGGAGTCATTAGAACTCTGACTGAGAACATCACTCTAAAATAACTGAAATCATATCAAATAAATTGGTGCAATAATTTCAAAAAGGACCCACCACTTGGCAGTTGTTCATGTCCCAGAGATGTACATAGCCACGTGAAGATAAGGAAATAAGAGTCTGAGAAAATAAGACATGAATTATTGACTTTTATTGATCCATAGCAAAGATTGCTTAGGATTAACCCTTAAATTTCCAGAAATGATTAACATGTAACTTCTTCCTACAATATCCATACATTATCCACAAAACAGGTATTGAGAATACACAAACTTATCAGGTAGAGGTTGTTCTCTTGATTTAACACCAAATTCTTGTAACTAAGTCAAAAGGAATTGTGTAGCAGCTAGAGGAAAGAATTAGCAATCAGACTTTGGGATTTAAAGGGTTAAAGAATCTCAGACCACTTAAGCTTAGTATCAGTAACCCCACTTTTCCTCAAGGGATGGTATGGCCATCTAAACCGTTACCCATGTAAATCTTTGGTTAGAGAGAGGCAATATCAATTGGTGGTCCTACCCAAGAGACATCACACTAATCTACAAAGGGCTCAAAGTTCAAAATCCAAAGTTCAGCGTAATTACCATTAGGCTTCTGCAGATTGCACAAAACTATTTGCAATTATATTTTTCCTCAAACTGACAATATCAGCTTTTGCAACTCATAATGCAAGACTTGACTCCTCTCTATTTTCTGAAACTTGATACAAGTGCTGAACAGCCTTTGGAAGGGAGCTACACCAAGTTTTTGCCTTTTCACTATCATAACAATTTTTGTTACTTCTATTTACTTTGCAATACCTATCAAATCAAAATCACCTGGGAGTTTCTATCATAAACAATATCCCTGATCTTGTCTTTACCAAACAAATGGGGTAAAGTACTTTGGAGTTTGCTTGCAGGATGCTTGATAATCAGTTTTAACTGACTTCTGTCTCCTGACTGACTGGCGGGATCTTGAATACACCACAAGGCAATGCTACCATCTCTTGATCCTAAAAAAACAGTTCATATTGTAGTCATGGAAACTCTCCTTAGGCTTCTGAAGTAAGCAGAAAGCTCCACTGATGACTGTGATGTTGACAAATAAAATGTAATGATGGCAGCTCAGAAAGACAAAAAATTACAGAAATTACTTGTTCTATTAAATTTAAGAGCCACCTTAACTGTTGCAATATACTACACAAATAAATGAAAAAAGTGAGCTATCTGATTATGAGCAATATTTGTCCTATTTTTCTAATGCAAAATTTGTCATAAATTTACCTGTTGCTAAATGAAAATCATCAATCCATTCCACAGAAAACACCCAGTCAGTGTGTCCCTTGAAGATAAGTAAAATGTAACAATATCATTATTCCAAAGATTGAGGTCATATCCATTATGATAACTGTGAATAATACCTAAATATCATAGCTTCACTACCCATATTGTCACTACTATACAACAAAGGGATATCTTGGATCCCACCTATTTTCCATGCTCAGGACTGTCTGGTTTTTTTGGCCCAAAATGAAAAGAGATAGTCAGAATACATACCTCTCCAACACAGACTGGATCAAATGTTGGCAGTCTGTAGACTGCTAGATGATTTGGATTTTGACCACTTGTGGCTAATAATGTTTTTGTAGGACTTATTTCAATGCTATGTATTCCACAGTTGAATTCAGGAACCTCGCCACCAGGACTACCCTCTAAAACTGGTATAGAGAGAATCCAATCCGAAAACATGTCCAACACAAGAAGCTAAAAAAAAGAGAAAGAAGTCTTAAATATGAATTCCTGAAAAGAATGTGATAACTATAGTAACTGCAAAAGTAAGACCCCAAAGGGTCAGGCTAGAAAACCTTCTAAATCCACAATGGTCTTTAGAAACTAATACACTTTTCCAACTGAGCTTCACACATCAAGCTAGATAGCAACCAAATTCAACATGAGCAACACTGACTGTGTCTAGAAAGAGAAACATTGTTATATATTAAATGATCAAAGTAGTCATCACTGAGAGTAATTGCAGTTTGTTTTCTTTCATTCACATCTTAACCAACTATGTTTTATGTGATAAGCTTAATACAACCCATATTTTGATTGATTCCTACTTATGATCAATCAGAGGACAGACACAAAGATGAGATCAACATTAACAACATTTTGCTTTTTAATCATATGAAACATGTAGATCCAATTTCAGCATGGATTTTTACACTGTAATAGATCACAGAACAACCCAAAAGGTGGTAAGAACATCAGTGACATACTCTGCTGTACCCTGTGTGCAACCATTTCGTTCTCACCACATTTTAATGTAATCTGAGATAGATTTCTGTACAGACACACAGAAACAAGCAATCTATCTGTTAACTACAGAGACAAATATGTGATAATTGCCCGGCAGCCTTTTTTGAAAACTGATCCCTCAAGATGGTAACCAAAAAAAAATGGGGCACTTACAATGAGACATTGTAAGAACCTATACTGATCAAACAGGAAAGCATCCTGTCATCCTCTGAATAATTCTTCTAATAACTAATGATGGGGTAAGTGCAATATTAATTATGGTAATAGGACCAAGTAGAGTCCAATTTGGTCTGTAATCATATGAGTGATAAACAAAATCAGATGACTGTCATGCGGGAGTCCAATTTGTTAATTACAAGTATGATTACAGACAGAATTGGATGACACAAAGAACTGTTACCAATTAATCAAAACTATGACAAAATTTGAGAAAGAAACTAGAAATCGGTCGTATGTTTCATAAAAAAATCAACAGTTAACTTGGTGAAATGTGAGACAACAGTGTGCTCATAACGTGTTCTGTCCACTTACATAGGCATGATGTGTTAACCGTCCCTTTAACTGTCCTATTACATTGTCCAATTACAAGCATGATGCATACACTGTCCTATTAGAGCTCAAATCAGGCTGGTGATGACCAATCACATTCGAGAATTTTGTCATAGTTTTGATTAAAGGTGTAATAAGGTTATTATTGAGAAAATTATCATCAGTTGGTTGTCTCACCTCGTTTGATTTTGTGCCACAGACCACTTTCTTGTCGTCCAACCATCGTGATGCAAATACTTTATCTGTTCTTCCTAATGAAATTTCCCTTTGTTTTAATAAGTTCGGGATCCGTCTAGTTTTGATCTCAGTCACAAGCGGCTCTTTAAGAGACTTAGTAGTGATTTGACGCGTTCTAACATGGTTGAATAAAGACATCTTACGACTAAGAGATCGTTACCATAACAAATGCTTTGCCAAGCATCCAAAATGACGACGAATGACACACATGACCAATGTAAGGCCTCTACAGATTCTGTTAAAAAAATTATCATCTGATCCTTGAGGATACAGACGAAAATCGAGGCCTTAAGACTAACCCGTCAGCTCACATAACCAAGCCAAACTGACAACGATAACTAATTTTGAGATCGAAGAAAAACGACAAAACCCACAACCTTGAAACGCTTCACGAGAATAACAGTCGACCGGTAAAAACAAATCCTTGGTACCAAAACTCTCCAACGATGTAGATCTGTGTAAAGCAGAAGTTTTTTTCTACACTGTTTCCACTGAGTCGCAAAAGATGAGCCAAAGAGCTCGTCAAAAAGGGTAAGTTATTCAACACGCACAACAACGAATATTTGAAGGTGATCAGGGAGCAGAACGCGTCAAACTGTCGTCGCCAGCCTAATGAGACGTTAATAAAATGGCATCGAGAAATGGTTCTTCGCCGGCATAAAACCCATAATTAACTCACGAGATAATTTCTCCAAAACAATCAATATATGCCGTCGCACATTTAGCAGTCTTCGTTTTAAAGCCATGCGCAAATTGCATTCTGTTTATTAATTTATTAGCTCTTTCAATTCTTTCGGAGAAAGGTACCTAGCCTTTTCACTCAATGCCCTCATTCCGTTGTTGACCAAATGCAATCGAAATATGTCGGTAATTACTTGAAAAAGAGCACGAGAGTCGACAGAACACGGGGTGAATGAAATAATCCCTTAAAAAACGATGGAAACGTTGAATTGCTTAAATTTGCCTCTAAGGTCCTTACAGTGTCCATTGACGGGGGATGCTTTTCACAGTGTTCGCAACAGACTACACAAAGGCGATTTATCTTTCACTTAACGTAAATCATCAACTTTTGTACTGTTAAAGCTCCGACGTGTTGCAAAACGTGACGTCTAAGTCGGCATTTCGGTTACCTTCCCTATTTCCTAGGCCTGCCTATTTCCCAATCTCCAGCCCCTCCCAGGGGGGCCGGGGGGGGGTTCATGTTCCCTTGATCCCTTAATCTTTTTAGATTTTATCTCTTGTTCCCCATTAATAAAACCCCTTGTTCCCAAAAATGTTTTTTAGCTCATGTTCCCTTTATCCCGAAAATTTTTGCGCTGTTCCCTTGATCCCCAAAAATGTTTATCATTGTTCCCCATATTTGTTTGCAAGTTTTACCTTTCTATTCATAGTAAAAAAATCGCCTTATCTTCAGATAAATTTAGCCCAAGTTCAAAGCTCCATCTCTCCGTGGGTTTTTCCTGCCCATTGTGGTATATTGCTCCAGTAACTGGTACAATATTGTGATCGTTTCTCGAACTGTGTCAGTTTCCGCCACCTTGAATTAAACTAACAATCCCAAGATTCCTTGTACAGCTCATAACAATAATCATCTCAAAAATAATCTCGCCTGACACTCAAGAACGTAAGAAATTTTATATTTTAGGGGCTCGGAAAGTTAAAAAAATATATTATTGAAAGTAGATCGGTGTTCCCTTGTTCCCAACAATCTACTCAAGAGTTCCTTTGTTCTCTGAAAATAATTTGAAAAATATCCCTGTTCCCTAAAAATAAATGTTCCAGTTCCCTTGTTCCCTAAAACCCTTGGGAGGGGCTCAGTTTGTAAAGTTCGCTGGCGGCATGGGAAACAGATGTTAAGAAGGATCGCCAGTTTTTTTCGCTATTCGCAACTGTCAAGAAATGAGGAAATTATTTCTCGCATTATTATATATAACCGTGGCGAAAGTTGAAGCTTTTCAAGAATTAAACGCAAGTTTGAATCCTTCCCGTTAAAGAAAAAAAAGAGAGCTTAACCAGATTACCGACCGTGGATAGTCTTTCAATACAATAACTAATAGGTTACTGCTTTGAGAGCTGTAGGTATCAAATTTGACCACAAAGCCTCTTCGGCTCGCCAAGTGACATGAGGGTCAGGTATCTGATTTCCTGTCAGGCGTTTGGGTTTCCTGACGTTCAATGAAGCTATGCAAAAATCAACATAGCTTAGAGCGTTTTGAGTTCACGCCTTTGGAGCATTGGAGTGAGAAGAATTAGCTCAGAGCCTCTCAGCTTAAGATCTTTGTTTCAGGGGCCGTAAAAAACTTGCCTCTAGCAGACAGACGCCCCAAGTCGCGGGTTTCTCTCACTACACGAAAGTACAACTTACTATTGTTTGAAACCACAAAAGGCTTGTAGATGGCTGGGGGCTGCTTAATAGCTCTTCTGTGTGTGTTACTGCCGAGCAATTCTTTAGCTCTTGCTCAACAGCTCAATGCCACTGAAGGCCGAGGCCAAACTGTAGAAGGTGGTCCTACGAGACGACAACAAATACTAACTGGGTAAGTCAAATAATCTAACACATGCCTAACAAAACAATTCTCTTCCCAATTGATATTATTTCGATAAAAACATGCTTTTCACGTTCATAGCCCTATAAATGCGTTTTGTTTGAACACTGTGTTGGATAAATGTGCTTGATGGAAAATCTAAGCTGGCTGGCGCGCATTCGTTGAATTGTGTTCAAAGTTCTTAACGCACTCGTAAATTACTTCCAGCATCGCCAAACTCGTGGCATGTGCTTACGCTCTCGTTTGGAGTGCTATAATCAAGCAAAAAACGAACGCCAGCGGTGCATTTGTTATTGATTTATAATTAGAAATTTGCACGGGGATTTCTCGTTATCAAGGCTTGATTCATAGACGTGCTACAGTAGATGACAGATTTCGCTCTGATGTGGAATCTTGTCAGTTGATCGTGAGTTTATCAAATGTCGATTGGTTTTATCCCTGATGGCTTCATTTAATAACAATGAAATCCAATGATACTTTGATAATTCTTTCAGGCCAAATGTGTGCGGCAGTCGGATCAATCCCCAATGCTGTCCGGGATGGCAACAAAGGGCTTCCGTTGGGTTGTGTATAGTGCGTAAGTGTTGATCGCTTTCTTGGTGAGAAAAATAATTTTCTACTAAAAACTCGGAATTAGGCTTTGTTTTGTAACGTCAATATAAATCTTCCAATCTTCCTTCTCCTCCCTTTCCTATTGTAATCTTACCAGCTAAGTTTTAATTCTCCGTGCGTGTATAACTTAAAGCTATATTTAGATTACCAAAAATGTTAAATTGCATCATAAAATCAAGTCTTTATATCATGTAATAAGATTTTCAAGAGAATTCCCGATAAGTGCGGTGAAAATCGCGCCCTTTCTTAGTTTCACCTTTTAGTTTACCAAGGGAAGCGAATTTTTTTATGCCTAACTAATCATTAATTCAACCACAGCGTGTCAGAGGGAGTTTAAATTAACACATATCTAATATCCCAGGGCTGTTTAAAGATGACATAGAATACAATCAAAGAACATTTTGCATACCGTCAAAAATTCAATTTTTGTTCAAGAATTAAAGGTCAAGGTCTTTTTCCCTTTCTGTATTTTGATATACGCATTAGGGTCAAAGAGAAGCGAGTGGAGGGAGATGTGGTTGGGGGTTTAAGTAGTCATCCAACATTTCAAAAAAAAGATCTGAGCAGCTCTTACCGGCAGCTTACTTACGTTTTTGAATTTGACGATAGAATTTAAGTGATCGAGATACTCAATGAACACATGTTTTTCCCCCTTTATCCCTTCCCATTAAACTTCGTTTCCATGCTGTCCTTGTCACCTGGTTGCTTGCGTCGTGGTAGCGACTGAGGACGAGTTAGTTGGCAAATCGTTTTGGTCGATTGTTAGCTGGAATCTTTCCGTGCGTCCATGTATTCTGTGTGTGTACTAGGATAGTGTTGCAATTTTTCGATCTTTTAGAACACCGCGCGCTTGCGCCTACTCGGCGAAAGCGTTCGGTTAACTCTCAGAAGTGATCAATATTTGACTTCTCCCCAAAATATCTGTACATTATTCAGCAAACAAGTGATGAGAATGCTCAAACTTATCAGGTAGAAGTTAGCCTTATCTAACACCAAATTCTCCTAACTTATTTACAGGAAAATGTTTAGCAGGTTGAGGGGAGAATTAACAATCAGATCTTTGAAGTTAAAGGGTTATTGGTCGTGATGGTGAAACTGAATTTTAATTTTCGAAATTTCCTTATCTGCAACATGCCCAACTTGAAGGATCTCCATTATTGAGGCTTGGAAAACGATTGCATTGCTAGTCGAGGGATCCCCCTCTCTCCTATCGCCATAAGTTATAATTGAGTTCTTCCGCACGTCTGAAATATTGTCAAAATAGTATCAGAAAACATATTCTTCAGAGTTGAATCAATTCAACAAGAACAGTTATGCTTTGGTCCGATTTTTAGTTTTGCTTTACGATTTTCCCATGTGTAAAGGAAGTGATTCCATCCTGGGTTCTAAGTGGTCTCGTAACCAAAAGATATAAGCTGCATTCGTAGGCTTAAAATTAAAAAAATAGTTAACTCCTTTTGTTTTACCAATATTTAACAAATTTCCCTCTAAATTAAGGTAGCCAATGGTTAGAAGAAGTTCGTCCGTCGTGGTGTACTAATTTTTACGGAACGTCTAGTCTCCTTAACTTACAATTAACAATTTCATTTTTGATTGATCGACTTGAATCAATCTTCATTACCTTCATGTTCACTTAACCGCATTTATAAACACTCATCCTGCCTTCAAAGTAACGAAGACCCCCGGTTCTAACCATAAAATTCCTTGAGGTATCTACAAAATCAGCCCACATTAGAGTTAAAGGATTAATGTTTACTTTGAAACAGCTTGTATGACCTCATCCTCGTAAATATTACACCCTAAAATTGTAATAATAAAACATACAAATAAAATTTAAAGAGACAGAAAACCAATATTACACGATGCGTTTTGCGTTTAAGTTGAAATAAAAAATATTATGGTGTCCCTGTTTTAGCAATGTGTCGGTATGGCTGTGGTACTGGAGTTTGTTTCAGACCTGGCGTTTGTCGATGTCCAAATGGCGCGTTTAGTCCGTCATGCAGTGGGGTCCAGGTACAAGGTGAGTTAATCGACTTGTTTGCGATAACTGTCATTAAGCTTTAAGCCAATAAACTGACTGCTCCACACAATCAGCCATGGAATCGTTTCTTAAAAGTCCAGCTAACGGATCCAAAGCCATACTTTGAGATCTTAAGGAATAGCACTGCTAGTCTCAACGATTAAAACAGCGCATGCTATATCGTTTGAATTTCAAAACTATTCATCTTTTGATATTGAATTTAAACAATAAAAAGGACGCTGTTCCTTTTAACAAAAAAATTATCAGAAATACGTACAAACTTAAAATGTTAAAACTGTGTTTACATACTATCATCCGAACACACTAATCGACAAGTTGAAACGCTTTTACTAATGTATATCAGTTGTTTCATTATAGACTTGAAACATCCGACAGAGGCCCTGATTTTAAGCTTTATTGACTTAGTATTTGTAATAACATGATTTCGAGTGCAATTTGGTGTTAATAAGCACGAGCAAATTTTTCAAAGACAGCAAAATTGCACGAGCCCGTAGGGCAAGTGCAATTTGTAGTCTTTGAAAAATTTACAAGTGTTTATTACACCAAATTGCACTCGAACTGAATCATGTTATTACTTATATAATATTTATGAAAAAAAAAACATCACAGAAAGTTAAGACAGACGAAATTTTGAAAGCGTGCGCGCACTCTTTTTTGTATTCGTTTTATATTTTTGACTCGAGTTAAATCAGAATGCATTCGTTCTCAGCTAATCACAAGCGCGAAATTTTTCATGTACATTATTAAATCCTAAATTCAGTTTGATTGTAAGGTTTTTCCTTGGAATTCTTTCAGGCGGACAATGTAACGTATTATGTTTTAATGGTGGAACTTGTAACAAAGATAACTGCACCTGTAAAAATGGATTCACTGGAAAGTTCTGTCAGTCACGTATGTAGATCCTTTCGTCACTTCTCGATTTAATTCATGTTATTTGTTTTTGGGATGTGCGATGGCCTTACGGTTGATGCGATGGATTCCTGGTCGAGAGGTCTGGGTTCGAGACTCGGCCAGGTCATTTTGTTGTATTCTTAAGCAAAACACGTTACTTTCACAGTGCCTTTACTGAAATCCTTAGTCTAAACCATAGCCTTAAACCCTTGACTAAATTTTCTTCTTTTCCAGCCATTTGTCAGGAGCAGTGTCTCAATGGAGGTCGTTGTGTTGGACCTGACAAGTGCGCATGTCCTTATGGATTTACTGGAAACCGCTGTCAGCAAGGTATCGACTTAATATGAAAAATTTTTTGAGGTATGATTTCCTGAGCTAATTTCATGAAGCTTACCGTGAATTTGATTATTCTTTAGATTACAGGGTTGGTCCTTGTTATACCAAAGTTAGAAACCGGATGTGTCATAACCAATTACGGGGTGTGGTCTGCACAAGACTCACATGCTGCGCAACTATTGGACAAGCGTGGGGGAACCCGTGTGAACGTTGTCCTAGCAAACCAGGTGTGTTCTTCACTCTTTGTAGCTTAACTCTCAAGCGAAGGGTCTAGGCGAGACTCCTCTTTTAAGTCTTCTAACTGTTAAGATAAAACTGAAGATAACACAAACATTATCTTATAAAATATAATCTAGGTATTGACCTTAGGTGCTCTGACCTCGAAATGACTCCCGACTCGGAGAGGAATTGGGATTAGGGGTTCTTTCAGGTGTCTAACACTGAGTCAGTAACAAGATCTAAAATGTAGTTGAAGCCTGTCAGTTACATTTTTGTACATTGTAAAACTTACTTATATGGTATGATAGTTGATGATGAACTTTATTTACTTTCTCTATGAAATAGAACCCTGTGATAGAGGATATCTCCCAAATTTTCGGAGCAAGGCATGCCAAGGTATTTTGTTATCATTTTATATTAAAAATTATTGCGCCATGGTTTTTAATTTTTTCTTAAAACGAGAAAATGTTGATGCAAAACTACAAAACCTCACACTATCTTATGCTTTTTTAATCAGACATCGATGAATGTAAAGCTATCCCAAAGATCTGTACAGGTGGAAGATGTATCAACACTATTGGGAGCTACCATTGCGAATGTCCCGCGGGAAAAAAACTTAACACAGACTCTCAGAAATGCACTGGTAGGTGTAATTTGCCTTTGGATGCCTGGTGAAATAACGATAGAATAGAAATAGAGTTTTTGGGCACAAGTTTCTTTTTGATTACTTTCTGGCCGTGAACCACGACATACCAATTAATGACGAAGATCACAATTAAAGCGAGTGATATGCTAAAACGTTTTTACACTGATAGAAACATTGCATAGACCAGGATTTCATATCCATATTCATTCCTCCCGTTTTCACTCTCTTCTTTTTGGAAACTCGATAACCTTAGATTTAACATCTCACCGTGATCAGGTTAATAACATTCCGTTTGATTCCAGACATGGATGAATGCACCGAGATTCCAGGCATCTGTGCAAATGGCCGATGCGAGAACACCGACGGTAGTTTTCGATGTGTTTGCAAAGAAGGATTCATTCTGAGCGAGGACAAGAGCTTTTGTATAAGTAAGATACATTGTTCATCCTTTCCCATAATCCGTGCACAGTTCTCCTAGACATGGCTTCCACTGCTCCGAGGAGATTCCCGCCAATTATGGATTTTATAATTTGAGGATGGTCACAAAATATGTTAATTTGAAATAATCTTTGAATTTTTTCAGGCAAAAAATCCGGGTATTGTTATCAACGAGTAGTGAATGACTACTGTGTTGACCAGTCCTCTTCAAACACAACTAAACATGGCTGCTGCTGCTCCAAGGAGAGTCCTGCTGGCTGGGGATCACTCTGTGAACGGTGTCCTTCCCGACAGACACGTGAGTTGCACGTGACTAACTCTTGATCGCTTGTCATCAGGAAGAACTCATTTTTCCTTAGATAAAAATTTTTACTCTAAGGTGAATTCATAACTTGAACACGTAATGAGGTATAACGCAACTTTACTCTGACTAATCAGATTATCCAATATCCTTCCCTGACTTTTACTCGAGAAAAGCGCAGCAGTCAACCATATAATTTTTTCTCCCATCTATTTGTAGCGGAATACTCAGAATTGTGTCCAAATGTTTCTATTCCAACTCCCAAGCCTCCAGGTATGTCATCACCCAAATATACTTGAAATGATAAAATCCGTTGAAATGGTATATTTTTTCTGTTATACATCGTTACATCCTCGCAAATCTTGTTTATCAGATCAACTGAGTCTGATGTGTGGAGTTTCGTGCACGCTTATTGTAGTATAGCAAGTGTTCACACCATACGAATCACGGTTGTTTTGCACAATCTTTACTCTTGCTTACATATGTCTTTTTGTTCTGTACCTGTTTCCCACGTTTGGACCAGTTTTGCTAACGCCATCAAGAAGGGCTTAATAATTTCGAATTCGTGGTGCATTTTCCTTTAGTTACGGCAGACCATTCTAGTCACAAATGATTTTTCAGTCACTCCTCGATGAGGTTCGTAAACCTATGAACAAAGCCTCGTCAGTGAGTGAACTAACGCTAGAAGCCCACCGTTGCAGAATTCCCCTCTACTTTTTGCTTGAGAAGAGTGCTCCACGGAATCAATGTTGATTCCTAACATAAACTACTTTTTATTCTATTTTTCCCCTGGAAGTGGACGAGTGTAAAAGACAAGGGAACGCATGTCTTAATGGCAGATGTATCAACGTTCCAAGCGGCTTCCTGTGCTTGTGCAATACAGGATATGTACTTGGACGAGACAATAGGTGTCTCGGTAAGTGTGTCGCAAAAACAAACCTTTCCCATTATAAACCGAGGAGCAATAAATTTTAATTCTGCATGAGGAAGAGGCCTTTTTGGGAAAACTGAAATGTTGTCCCCACAGTGTCGGGTGGAACACTTTGGGTGGTAAAATCTCCAAAGATTCGAGCATGTCTGCCATCATTTGCCATCATGATGGCCTTTAGTGCTGGATGCTATCTTGGCCAAGAGGGTTATGAGCGTTGCACGAGCCATGGAGAGGTATATACACATTGCGAAAAAAGCCTTTTCCTATCAACACTATCCCACTATACTAGAAAATTATACATATAATATGTAGAGAAAAAAGAATACCAGTCTCTAAAATGTTTCTGTCGATTAAAGTGGTCTGTAAGTTTCTGTTGGTAAAGTCCAGGATTTCCACGTTTCACCAATGGCTGAAAAATTGTTGTTTTGCAGATGTAGACGAGTGTTCAGCGAATTCGCTGCTATGTAGAAATGGGCTTTGTATTAACATGAACGGTACTTACAGATGTGAGTGTAACCCCGGCTTCCAGGTGTCTTCTGACGGGAAAAGCTGTTCTCGAGGTTAGTATGCTACTCCCGTTCGAACATTCCTTAGCACAGAAATCTCTCTAACTCTCAAGACTTGATGCCAATCCAGGAAGTGGTTATCTCCGAAAGAGATTCACGTTACACCTTTTTTTAAACAGTTCTCTTGTTTCGCAGGTGTCGACCCGTGCTCTCAGTCGGGTGTTTGTGAGAACGGCGCTTGTGTGAACACAAGAGATGGCTTCACTTGTCAATGTCGTAGCGGATACACATTGACGTCTGACAAAAGAACATGCACAGGTGAACACGGTTCATTTCATTCGACTTAACCATTACTGTGCTGTAGAGGAACGTCAACATTTGTTACATGTTACCATTACAGAAGGATTCTTGCAGATGAATCTCGTGAAATTCTTACCATGTTAAGCGGAAATCACTGTAAGACAGAGATCGTTACAATTAAATCAGACTGCTGTCAACTGGGCAGCCTTTTGCGCAGGCTCTCGCCTTAACTCTCTTTATCGTTTGCAGTGATCGCATCGTTCTCTTGTAGCTTCGTTCCATAGTCGTTGCTAAGATATTTATTTCGTAGCCACAATTACTCACACGTGGCTTCTGAACATATTTTGACCTGTCATTCAATGTTATTGGTTGCCATCTCTTTTTGGCAGATATCGATGAGTGCAAATCCCAGTCCGTCTGCAGTAACGGCCAGTGTACTAACTACCCCGGAGGTTATGAATGTTCGTGTGATACTGGGTTTGAACCAAGCTCTGACATGCGCCATTGCAACGGTGAGTATACTTCAGGAGCTCTGAAATTCGCTATCATCCCATAATATATATTTTTTGCCAAACGATTCTTCAAAAAATGGAAATAAAGTTTAAATATGTGATTGCTGTTATTCTACAGACAAAGACGAATGTCTTACTCCGCGATTCTGTGTCGACGGAAAGTGCGAGAACAGTCGTGGATCATACCGCTGTACATGCCACAGAGGGTTCCAAAATACAGCAGATCCAAGAGTTTGCATAGGTAGTCACTTGCATCATTTTAATTTTGAAATAATTTCTATTAAAGTTTTTGTTAAGATATGTTATTCGATAGCGATTTATCTTGTCGTTTCGTCTTTGGAGAAGTACCTTAGTTCCACCAGGTGGGAAAAAAGGATAGAAATTCTGCTAAAACATAAAGACATTGAGACGTCATTAGTTTGTGTAATTCAATATCATTAATGATAAAATGAGTAGCATGGGATTAGAATGAACTGTTAAAGTAATCTTCTCAGTGTTGTAACATTTCAGATATCGATGAGTGCCTACAGGATAACATTTGTAAGAATGGTCGCTGTGTGAATGAGCCAGGTAGCTTCAAATGCACTTGTGAACGTGGTTTCACCCCAAGTGCTGATGGGAAAGCTTGCATAGGTAAGATCACGTGCAGTCTCTTACTCAGTCAAGTAAGAAAGAGAGGATAAAGCTCTCTTGAGCTCATATCAATTTTATAAAAAACTACCAGAGGTAATCGTGCACAAGCCAGAGCTTCGGTTCTCTGTCTTTGGACGGCCTGGAAAGGCTGCGACGCTTCTGTCTCCAACAGTGCAAAGTCTTAGACTCGGAATGGGTATTTAGCATGATAGAGCATAAATTCAATTCAGTGCTGTGGTGCATTTGAAATCGAAACAAATTTAAGCCCTCGCACGGGCTCCTAGAAAACTGGAAGAGTTTAGCGAAAGAAAGAAGAGTTTCTTTGAAACAAATTATTTCGTGCCCAAACAACCCAAAATGTCAATTTTTTCAGTTCTTGCCGTGACACCACAGACGACGATAAACGTCTCCCAATCATTTGAGGATGGCGCGCGATTAGAAATAAAATTTTGTGGCCAATTTGGGATTTTGGCCACTAGTGGCCGATTTTGTATTTTGGATACAAATGACCGATTTTGGATTTTGGACACAAGTGGCCGATTTTGTATTTTAGCCATTAGCGGCTGATTTTGGATTCTGCCCACCAGTGGTCGACCTTGGGTTTCGGCCACTAGTGGCCCATTTGGGATTTTGGCCACTAGTGGCCGACTTTGGATTTTGGCCACTAGTGGGCGATTTTGGATTTTGGATACTAGTGGCCCATTTTGGATTTTGGCCACTAGTGGGCGATTTTTGATTTTGGACACTAGTGGGCGATCTTGGATTTTGGCCACTAATGGCCCATTTTAGATTTTGGCCACTAGTGGCCGATTTTTGATTTTGGACACTAGTGCGCGAGCATGGATTTTGGCCACTAGAGGCCGATTTTGGATTGTGGCCACCAGTGGCCGATTTTGGATTTTGGACACTAGTGGGCGATCTTGGATTTTGGCCACTAGTGGCCGATCTTGGATTTTGGCCACTAGTGACCGATTTTTGGATTTTGGACGTTAGTGGGCGATTCTGGATTTTTGCCATTAGCGGCTGATTTTGTATTTTGGACACTAGTGGCCGATCTTGGATTTTTGCCACTAGATGCCAATCTTGGATTTTTGACACTTGTGGCCGACTTTGGATTTTGGCCACTAGTGGCCGTTTTTGGAATTTGGATACAAGTGGCCGATTTTAGATTTTGTGGCCGAGTTTGGTCACTAGATGCCGATCTTGGTTTTTTGACACTTGTGGCCGCTTTTGTATTCTGGACGCTAGTGGCCGACTTTGGATTTTGGCCACTAGTGACAGATTCTGGATAAAAGTGGCCGATTTTAGATTTTGTTCGCCAGTGGCTGATTTTGTATTTGGACACTAGTTGGCGAATTCGGATTTTGGACTCCAGTGGCCTATTTATATTTTGGCCAGTAGCGGACGTTTTTGGATTCTTGACACTAGTGGCCAATTTCGGATGTAGGACATCAGTGTCACATTTTTTGTCTTCGACATAATTGTTTGATTATTGTGTTTATTTGTTTGTGCCTCCTATTTAATAGGCAGTGAACCACTATTTTATTCCTAGCTGATAGCCACCAGCCCAAGATTTTAGTTTATGCTTTGACACTACAGAAGACAGCAGAAAACGATAAACCTCTAATAATCATTTTAGGATGGCGCGTCATTTGAAACACATTATTTCCTTGCTGAAACATCTTGATAGGTGTGAAGACTCAGAGGGAAAATGTTTGTTTGAAGGGAGAGCATTTTACCGTCTTAATCAGCAAAGTATTCCCAGTAGATCTGAAGATGTAACTTTTTCGGTTCTTGCTGTGACCCCAGAAAAGACGATAAACATCTCCGAAAATTCTCAATTCTCATTCTCACCACGAATGAGTAATTTTAATCAAAACTTTTCCTCGTTGAAATATCCCATTAGGTGTGATTTGCACCTCATGGAAACTTTCAGGAAATTGTTTGAATCAGAGAATTATGCTTAAGAGACCCGCTAAATTTGCGAAGCGAGCAAGCTGTGAAATACGATACCTTCAGTTTACAGGGTGACTCCAGTAAACGGATGATGGAATGGCAGAATTCCGGAATATCCTAAAACGTGGAACGCCTCATTTTATGAAACAAAGTCTTTGCAATAAAAATAAGAAAATTGTTTAAAATTAACATGGAAAAATCTAAAGAAGTAGAGTTTAATTATAATTGGTGCTTAGAGTACAGGTGAACCGTTAGGCTTTAGAGCTATCCCCTCTCGATCATTATATAACTATTGTTCATTATGGGTACTGTTAATTTGATAATTTGTTAGTATTTAATTATTGGTTGAATTTCAATTTGTCACTATGTTCTTGAATTATCTTTCTCTTGTGGAACGGGGTAATCATAATATGTGGTATGCGGCAGGTTTTCCGTTTTGTATCTGAATTAAAATCTTTTGCAACATAACCTTCTAGCGTCATTATATAGCCTCTAGTTCTTTTCATTGCTATAAAAAACTGTGCTGTACTAGTAGCTACACGTAGTCTTAGACTGCCTATTTTTAACAACACAATTGCTCTGGAATAGATATAACTAGATATCACACAAAGTCTGACTGTCAAAACATTTTGCGAATAATCTAGGAAGGTTTTAACTTTGCCATCGTTGTAATTGTTTAGATACAACGCTTGGTCGCTGTTACGCCAAGGTAGAAAGCAGCCGGTGTTCTCAGCCCCTGATGAGATTCCTTACGCTATCGCAGTGCTGTTGTGGCATGGAGAATGGTGGTCAGCGGGGATGGGATGATCCATGTACACCGTGTCCTCTGAAGGGTACAGGTAGGATTGATTTGCTCTTTACTTCGCGATTGAAGATAAGAAGTCGCATTGCTTTAAGTAGGGGCTTTGCGGTCGCATGTCCGCAAGGTTGTTCTTTGTCCGCTGTTCCCAAGCTGAATGTGAATTTGGAGTTTTGATTCTTATAAAAGGGGTAAATGGCAGATGTTGATTGTGTTTTGTCTTGTTTACAGAGAGTTACAACCGAGTTTGTTGTAAAGGACCCGGAATGACTTGCGGTGGAGATGGTAAGGCCACATGGATGTGCAATTTCGTTGTTAAAAGTGACGTGGAGGGATGGGGGGGGGGAGTCCTTATACTGGTTTATTACTTTCATTTGGAAGTATGCCACTTGTTTCCTTATAATAATTATAATTTCCGACTGATAAGAGGAGGTGTGGTCAAATATAACTTACGACCCCTTCCCCCATCTCTCTCCTTTAGTTACGCCTTTGCCTCGAATTATTGCAAAAAATCCGTTTTCCGTGACAACGTTAGCTCTTTTTGCATGCCAAAAATTATCTTTCTTATTCGCCTAGCCAGTAATGATAGGGTTGATTTAACTAGTTTTGGGCAAACATCTGTTTTTGTTTCTAACTATCTTACTATTAAAAACTGACTTATGGCGTCCTTATTTTATCCATAATACTTAGAAAATTAATCTTCAAACGGTTAAGAATATATGAAAGTCATATATTTAAACTGCGGATAAAGACGTGAACGAAAGTGATCCTCACAGTAACGTGCACTACTTAAGCAGTAGTGAAAATAAGCCTGAAAAAAATTTAGGTCTGTACGGGATTTGAACCCATGACCTCTGCGATACCAGTGCAGTGCTCTACCAACTGAGCTAACAAGCCAACTGGGAGCTGGTCATTATGTTGGTTCCAAATAAACCCGTGAAGTTTTTTTTTTAGATGTTGATGAGTGTGTGAATAACGCTGGCATGAAGACAAATGTGTGTACCAACGGACAGTGTCAAAACACGATGAAGGATTACATCTGTGTTTGCAACCCAGGCTACCGCAGCGATGTTACTAAAAAGCTATGCAACGGTTAGAGATAAACTATATACTCTTGGGTGTCATTAAAGGGAGTTTAATACTTGAGCAGTTTTTAACTTAAAGACAGACAGCAGGGTAACTGACAGACAAAGAAAGAGTTTGATATTGGACAGAGGTATGCACAGACAGACTGACAGAAGAGCTAACAAAGAAAGACTGAAAGGCTGACAGGATGGCACACTGACACACTGAAAGGCTGACAGATTGACATTCACTCTGGCGTTATATTCTGGTTATATTTCCCACCGAAAAAGCACCACAGTTTCTTTAGAAACCTACCCATTTATTAATCTGACAGACTGATAGTTGACATACTGACATGAAGAGGGACATTTAGCTAAATTTTCGTGGAGATGTGGTTCGTTAAACGGCATTGATCGATGATGGAAACATCATTATGTGCGCAGTAGGGATGTAACACGCTTTTAAGAATAGACACCTGATACAGGCTCCTCAAATATGTTCGCTTTCTGTTAACTTATGCCTCATGAAGTTATACAAAACAATATTGTTGATCATCAAAATTATTAGGTCTCCAATGTTTTCTTTTTAGACATCGACGAGTGCACAGAGGACCCAAGACTTTGCCAAGGTGGAAGCTGTCAAAACTTAGCTGGCACTTTCTCCTGTGATTGCCCCAAAGGATTCTCTTTAAATACTCAATCTAGAATCTGCGAAGGTAAAGATTTGTTTGTGCAAGTCCAATTTTCTTCCCCTTTTGATTTTGCATACAAGCTTTTCGATTGTTTCCGTTGCAGTAATGAAAATGTCGTAGTGAGTAAAATCAAGCTCTACATTTAAGAGTACGTGAAATTTTAACGAGTGTTCTACTTAGTAACCTTTCATACAACTCATGTCTAATGACGCTAGCCGCTTTACGAGACAAATCGCTGAGAAAATTACACAGCATGGGGCTTTTCCATCCTATCTAAGTTTAAATTAGATCCCTTTGAAAGCCCTAGAATGTAGAACGGCCATCATAAGAGAGCGATTCTCCTTCCCTTAAAAAAGTCTCATACTTTTCCTATCTATGATCGATGATTGATCGATTGTCGTTTAACCAAACCCAGATAAATAACAACTGCCGATCAGAACGAAAATTGACTTCGCAAAGGGCCGGTAAGAACCCATAAGAAAATCCCTACGACGACCAGCTCGTGATTATTTTGAAATTTGCACTTGATTGGTTGAGGATAGCCAGAGTATTCTAGGCCAATCAAACAGGGCAGACAGTGAAGAAAGACTAATTAATCACCGGAACTGCTCCTAACTGACCTCCTATACTTAAACCACGCTATTTATTCATTTTCAGATATTAATGAATGCGCCTTCGAGGGTCAGTGTATTGCTGGAACGTGTCAAAATACTTTTGGTAGTTTCCGATGTCAGTGTCCTCGTTATTACGAATTAGATGGATCGGGCAGGATTTGCAAAGGTATCCCTAAAAATTGAATATAAATGATTTGCAAACCAGAAGGCTATAAAATTGAGAAGTTTGTCTTCTGGCACCCCTTTATGGAAAATTGGCAATCTAAAAGTTTTCCATGGTCATCTATTTGGTTCCCTCTTCATAAATGCGCCTCCATGCCTTTGGTCTGTAAATTAAAAACAAACATGAAGTCGACTTCGTTTGAAAAGATGATAAAAAACCTTTCAACTTTACAACTACTACATTCTAATGCAATAGTTTTTGGGGGTTACGCGATCTTCCTCGACAAGCTACGGCTATAATTTTGTCCAGTCATTAACCATTAAACTCTGTTATTCGTGTAAATGTGACTTTGTTATTGAAAACTTTCAGACAAAAGAACAGCGCAATGTTGGACAAAAATCATGAACAATCGCTGCGAGGAATCCATCAATGGCGACGTTTCATTAGAAATGTGTTGTAACACCATAGGTAAAGGCTGGGGAAGTCCTTGTGAAGAATGTCCTCCCAGGAAAGGAGGTAAGCGATATTTTGTTTTGGTAGCGTCGAGTTGCACATCCTGGTCTCAGTCTGCACTTGCATTCCTTTCTCAGTTTTCTCTCTTCCTTTTTTCTTTTTCTTCCTCTCGTTATTGTGCAACACGTGGGTTTGATGCATAAGCAGATTGGATCTGTGCTACAGATCCTCAACTAGGCAGCCTTATGTTATTCTTGAGTGAAGTGGCGCAGATGAAACGAGAAATTTCGTCCACTTGTACCTCTGCACCCCAACTGACCGCCTGATCACAGACTTTCTTCCGTACCATTAAATCCCATGAGCTATCGAGCACCACCATCTCACAATTTAAGCGCAAATATTAAAAACGAGTGATGAAACTCTTTTTTGCAGATGAGCGGTGTGCTTTAGGGTACGCCATTCAAGACGAACCAAGATGTACAGGTAACTAATGGGAGAGCTATTTCTCGAGAAGTATGAGTCTATATGGAATTGAGAGAGCAGCCATCACTGCATGTGATGGGTTACGTAACGATATCAAATCAACAAATTAATTAGTAGTGATACCTATCATGATTGACAGTAACACTGAGCCACTTCTTTGTGGACTCCTTAACTTTTTCATTTCTTTTGCCTTATCTCTAAAGAAGTAAAAATTTTTTATTGCAATAAAAGTTTGATTCCTATAATATCTGGGCTCATCAAATAAAACCAAAGAAACGTTTCTTCAACTGATGGGCGAAAGGTTGTTTAACTAAGTCTTATGAAATATGTGCGCCCTTCTGTGATGGTAGATGTCTTTGTATTTGTGGTTTGCAGACATCGACGAGTGTACCCAGTTCCCCGGCTTGTGTAAGAATGGAATCTGTCGTAACACTCTTGGTAGCTTTGTTTGCGAGTGTTCTACAGGCCTGACTTTGGACTTCACACAAAAAAACTGCGTGGGTAAGCATAGGTTTGGTCCGTCAATGTTATGAAAAGATGAAAACTGCTGGCTTATACCTCTTGCAAAAAAACCCATCTCGTATGATCTCATTTTTTTACCTTTCCTGTTTTGATGAGTTATGTGGGCGTTGATTTCAGCAATTTCCTAGAACTGATTTCCTTTTGATAGCTATGAATTAAAGAATAAAAACGTCCATCAACCGGCGGCTGAAGAAACGACTGCCCAGTTAGCTCAGCGACACTGATCGCTGGTGCAGAAGTTGGGTCTATCTGAGTGTACATTATTATGCGATCGTAAAGATCATGGTAATCATTCAAACCATCTTCTTAGCGATCACAGCGACCTATAAAAACAAATCCCTTGTTTTTAGACATAAAGCATGATAAATTTCGTTGATGTTACCAAGATTAATGACAATTATGATTTTCTGTCGGTCTTCTCCCAGATCTTCGGGAGGACGTGTGTTACGGTTCTGTCTCCTCTAGTGGCTGTGAAAGGCCATACCGAGGAAGGTACAAAAAAGTAGACTGCTGCTGTTCCAAGGTGGGATCGGGTTGGGGTAATCCATGCCAAGAATGCCCATTAGAAAACACAGGTAAATAAATACGGACAAGGAAATATCAGGCCACGATGGTGAACGTTCTATAAATACCTCATCCCTTCCAAATTATGATTTGATTTCAAGTCACTGTCTCCCAAGTGTCTCTCTCGTGTGTTGTTTACTTATTTTCGGCGTGGCGAGTCAACTGACGTCCCTTGAGTTTCCGAGGTTGAAGGAGCAAAATCTTAGACATGTGAAACAAGCCGTTTCTAGATTGCTCTGAGAAGGGCTAACGCTCGAAACGTCAGCCTTTAAACTCTTTACGGTGGCTAATTTACGTTTTCAACTCGGTTGTTAACACTAAATTACCTGTTATACTCTTCCATCGACGCAGCAGCAAAGTTTCTTCCAGAAACTTACTCCCTTTATTCATTTCTAGGTTCTCCTATTGGGAGTGATCTGTGACTAATTTGCGCGGGATTTCCTTTATAGTAACAAAATCGAGACGCAAATTTCTGAAGTCGATGTTCTCTTGGAATAATTAAGCGTAGTATGTTAACGAGAAATCTTATTGTATTCTCATAATATTTTAAACAGTTTACTGTACAGTTTCATTAAAAGAAGCGACTCTTTGAAATAAAGGCTACCCTAGAGTGACACAGAATTTCCAACAAATATCCAGATGCTACTCCTACTCGGAAAGTAACGCGGCTTCTCCATGTAATCTACATTTTCGAACTGGAGAGAACTCAGATTCAGGGTGAAGTACCTGATATCCCCTTTTTTTCTCGATGTTTTCATGTGGAAGAAATCAATAGAGAAACCGTGCCGGGACCCCAGCGGATGGGTTGTAACTGCAACTATGTTGTTTCATTTAGATCCGTTTGAAGAACTATGCGGCAATCGAAGAAAGGGATTCAAGACTGTGGATAGTCAGACCGGACCGAGAGTTGAAGGTTTTTCATATCGTGAAAAAGCCAGGCATTTTAATTCATTTTATTTATTTTCGTTTTACCATTCCGTTATTCCATTGTGAGCTTATCACTACCGTTTCCGCTCTTATTTTAGATGTAAACGAATGTGCGATTCAAGGCATTTGTAACAACGGACAATGTGTGAACGCACAGGGAGGATTCCAGTGCGAATGTACATCAGGGTACGCCTTGGACAGTGAGGGAAAGGACTGCATAGGTAAGGAATACTTTTTCATACCCTCAGCTCGATTTTTTTCTAGAAAAGAATTTTCCTAACATCTTCAAGTAGTTGGTGCTATGGTAACAAAAATTGAGTTTACGATTTCCTCATGCAAGACGACTGCCTTTCGCGCATGAAGAAGCTCTTTAAATCACTAATTTACTTGATCTATTCCTCAATCAAATTCAAGTATTTTTTTATTTATATGCACCATACTTTAAAGATTTAAACTTCCATTTCATTCTTCCAAAAGGTCTTGATAAAATTGTCCCCGCGGGCTTTTCTCTCTCCTGCAAGAAAAGCCGCTTGTCGAGGGATAGTCTTAGACTGTTTGCTTAAGTGTCAAAGCCTTATGTTAAATTTCAAATAAAGATAGCACTGAAAACAAGTTCTTTGAGTAACATACGTCCATATTGCCGTTTTGCAGATATCGATGAATGCCGGATATCTGCGGGGTTGTGTGGCAATGGAACTTGTACCAACATCGCTGGAAGCTTTCGCTGTGACTGCTTTACTGGATTTGAGAATGCTCCAATGATGATGGAGGTCTGTATTGGTAAGTGCTAAGAAATTCGATCACCTTCCGACTCTCTTAACAATGTAATTCTGGGCTTCCTCAGAATTGCAGTTTGCCACCCATTGGTTTTGCGAAGCTTCTCAGGGCCTCTTGAATCACATAGAGATTTATGCGTTGTGGTAAGTTGAACAGGGAAATCAGGCCATTGGTCGGGTACGTAATATATGGGTCGTCAGTGTTGAATATAGCACGCATATATTGAAGGTAAAGGAATCCCGTCGGTTGAAGGTAATTTCCAAAAAAGGCACTTCTTATTTCTTGATAAGGCTTTTAAAATACTAATGTTACTTTCAAAATTTTGACGCCGCGCACTGTGATGCAGTTCATTGGCTGAATGTAATGCACTGGACAGTGAATTTTTTTTTCTTCAGACATCGATGAATGTGAGCGGAAACCTTGTACGGACGGTACATGCGTGAATACTGAAGGAAGCTACAAGTGCATTTGTCCCAACGGAATGGAGCTTATGAAGGATAATGTGACGTGCGAAGGTTAGTTTTATTTTCAACATCCTTATGCTCATTGTTGACCGCGATGGATTTGCTTCGTACCCTACACGGAGGTTTTACTTGGTAAAAAATACATAGTCTCATCGATTGCGAGTGGCGAAGAAGGTAGAGAGATGATAGCTGGAGGGTGTCAGAAATAATCAACATGTAATTTACTCTAACAAAATAAATACATTTCCCAGAAAACTGATTCTGAGACAGGACAGTAAAACGTGTTGACGGGAGGGTCTTGATAAAACGCCGAATTCTCCTAACTAATTTACAAGGAAATGAATGACAACACAATTGAGAAGTACAATTGGGATCTTGGAAACGAGCGGGTAAAGTGAATCCCGTCGGATTTATATTTTAGTGAATGAGCTGACGATGCAGGCGTGTAGAAATCACAATGATACATCTCGTTGACTTTGCTAGAGAGCAACCACCAACTTGTTAACGCGCAACTTTATTTTCAGACGAAAATGAATGTTCAGATCCAAACAAATGCCGTAATGGTGTTTGTCAAAACTTCCACGGAGGCTATCAGTGTTTGTGTGACTCCGGTTTCGTGGTCACGGAGGATATGAAGGCGTGTATAGGTCAGTATCATACTGTTATGTATGTTCCGGTCAATAGGCTGATCCCAGCTATGGAGTCGAGTAATGCTCAGTGACAACAGGAACAACGTGCGTCATAAGAACGTTGGGTCACATTTGAAAATCGCCAATGGCTGCGAAGGAGATTTTTTTTAAATAAATGTTTTGCCAATCACCCGAGTAGAGATACTCAACAGCCGATAGAAAGCATTAAGCTGATGTTCTAAGTAATATTATAAATTTATGTGATTGAGCTATTTCGTCTGCATTAATATACTACACTGTTTTAGATTACCAAGATTGCATATGATAGTCTCAACTTAATGTGTTAATGTTCACAGATATCGATGAATGTCAAGTGGATAACGGGAACTGCCAGGAAGTTTGTAACAACACTCTTGGTAGCTTTGTGTGTGACTGTAGAGCTGGCTTCACGTTGCAGCCTGACGGAGTCACATGTGGAGGTACGGCACATGCGTAACGATTCTCAGAGAAAACCCTAACTTTTTATAATCACAAATTGACTGGGTTCAATTGCACAATGATCGTTGTCGAATAGCGACCTATTTATTTTCCCGTTCAAATTTCTTGTATTTTAACAAACTTCTTAGCATTTCTTTGTCTTCCGAAGATGCTCTTGGAAATGGCACTGACAACACAGGTACCCCAAATATGTCATTCAAACAACAATGACGCTTACGCGTGCTCTCATATATTTTTGAAAAAAGGCAATTACACTTGCGTGCTGAACCACCAAATACCTTTCTCCAGGATTCCTGAGTGCTACTCCGAGTTGATGAATGCGTGTTCACCATACCTTTGATTACAGATATCGACGAGTGTTCGCTTGGTGTGGACATTTGCGGGACGAATAACACATGCACGAACTCTGAAGGCGGGTACTATTGCACCTGTGGCCCTGGATATGTGCCTGCTGTTGACAGGAGATCCTGCATTGGTAGGCTAAACTTATAAGCTGTCTTATATCTAATTTATGTTTAAAAAATGTCGTAAAAAATCGATTTAATGAAGAGAGACGACTTAGTTAAGATTACAAATACTTCATTTAAAGATGCAGTTAAGATTTCATTAGCGCAATTGTTCGAATGATATCATAGTATAGTTTTGCTCTATTTTTACTTTCAGACTTGGATGAATGTCAAAACGATCCTGAGCTTTGTACTAACGGTGTCTGTCGAAACACTCAAGGCTCGTTTGAATGTATCTGTGGCAAGGGATACGTTTTGGCCAAAGGGACAACTGCATGTATTGGTAGGTGCCACGCCTTAAAAGGGGCTTGGCTATGACTAGTCTGTTTTGCAGACTCTTTACTGTTCTTGTTGATATTAATGCTGTTTTTTTTCCAAGTGAGTGAGGGGAAGATGTCACGCAACACTTATCCAAAGCCTTGCGTGACATACCTAAAGATGGCTGCAAAGGAGACCATTCCACGCCTATCTAATATTGAGAAATTCAGCAAACTCTTTCCTCCTATTGGTTCTTTTTAATGCGTGTCAGTGTTCTCCATCCTTAGTTAACTTAATCTATCTGTTTCTCTTCAGATGTTGATGAATGTGTTATAGATCTGGCTCAGTGTGGTAGCAATGCTGACTGTAGTAATACTATTGGCAGTTATACATGCGATTGTAAACCTGGATTCGCCGGAAGTGGTAACGAATGCATAGGTGAGTGTCTAGAGTGAAAGAAACCTTTTCGTCAGCCTATTATGTTTAGTGCAAATCTACCAGCGAACTATCCCAAATGCTTCAATTTGATAGGCTACGCCACCCGCCGTTGGGTGCAAATGATCCATTTTTTTCCTCATTTTATTCCTTCATTTAAACTAAGTCGTTTTCCATTAATTTTTTCATTTTATGACCCTCCCTTTACATCATCTTTCTTCACCGCACAGATATCAACGAGTGCGTCACAGGAGCTGCCAGGTGTCATTTCAATAGCACGTGTGTCAACTCTCCAGGCTCTTTCAGTTGTGTTTGTGGGCCAGGTTACACAGGAGATGGTTCTTTTTGTAACGGTAGGCTATAATGATATTTAGTTACTCTCTTATACTAAATTCATATCCATCAAGGAGACTTCCGGTAGATTACGAACGGATACACAGTTCCAAATTTGTACTTGAAGTATTATTAAATGTATCCACGCGGTAGTATTTCTGAAGTAAGAAGTATTTTCAAAAAGGCGTATTTCCCAGATATAGCAACAATGAGTATACGTGCCTCATTCTACAATTGAGAGCGATGCAGAATAAAAGAGCAAAGCATGTCTCAGTTATACGAGTACTTCTTCAAAAACCCCTTTCCACACGTGAAACTTCCTTTCAAGTGGAACTAAGCACTCGAAGATGCAACTCATTAATACTTTGCAAGACGCGGCAGATTGAGAATGCGCTCTGCAAGCGTCGAAATTTTACTAACTTGGCCCATGATGTCGCGATTTTCAGATATCGACGAATGTCTACTGGAAGATAATCTTTGTGATCACGGACAGTGCACTAATAAAGCTGGCTCATATGAATGCGAGTGTGAGCTTGGATATATACCAGCTGAAGATAAAAAGAGCTGTGTTGGTAAGTTACTCTATCAACTGATTTCCATATCGGTTACTTACGAATAGCGCAGTACTGGGACCAACTCCATTTCAACTACAGCAAATGTAGGCTCGATTCCCAAGCCGCTGCCGGGAAATGAGCCCGCGCTCCTCCTGTTAACTGGAACATTTACAACACTATTGGGAAGTTTGCCTAAGTTCTCAGGAGAATTCTACTAGAGCCGGAGAGTTGTTTTCTAAGATCCCTCCAGCTCCTTAATAAAGCCTTCCGTGCTCTAATGCCTTTTCACTTTTTCTCCTAGATATCGATGAATGCAGAATGTTTCCATTGTGTAAAAATGGCCGCTGTGAAAATATGCCAGGGATGTTTCGTTGTATTTGTGATGATGGATTTCAGCTAGATAAACAAGGCACGAACTGCACAGGTATTGATAAAGACTGTTCAAAACCGACTTGCTGAACACTGAGAAATTACTTCGTCATGAAAAATATGGTAAATACGTCTTCTTTTCCTTTTTTCAGATATCGATGAATGCTCCGTGACAGGAATGTGCATTAACGGTCGCTGCGTGAACGAAATGGGTACATACCGCTGTGAATGTGATGGCGACTTTATGCCTAACCCCGCGGGCTCAGGATGTATCGGTAAAAAAAAAGATTCCTCTTCAAATTGTAAATGCATGCTAAACTCAGTTTAGCATTTTATTCTTGAAATTGTGCTCTTTCGAGACATATTGGTTTATGATTACCAGATTCCAGGTCAGTATTTCCGCAGACCTCTTTCGTAAGCTCTTTCTTGTTTCCGAAAAGAGGAAAGGAAGCCCTTGAGTACGAAGTTGTTTTTGTGCTTGTTTTGAAAGATTAAGGGCAGTGATCCTGTCAGTTTTGGATAACCCAATAGATTGTCCAGTGAATATTAAAAAAAACGTTTAAAACAATGCTGGTAGTCTATTTTTTATTCTCCTTTCACAGATATGCGAAAAGGAAAGTGCCATTTAAGTGTTGTGAATGACACTTGTATGAACCCGCTGTCCCCAGCTCATCGCGCGGTGTGCTGTTGCACGTCAGGAAAGGCCTGGGGAGAACCGTGCGAACCGTGTCCTCAGAAGGGGACTGGTAAGAATGAGACTTTGTCTTATTTTTAGAAACATGGTGAAAAAGTTCCAGAGTGACTGAGGTATCCTTTTTCAGCTAATTATGTAACTTAGAAGTTTGCGCGATAAAGCAATCGATGCTTTTAAGGGAGGTTCAGTTATCTTAAGCGTAAAAATCTATCTTTGATTTCGCTCTTGTTTTCGCGTATTGGCGCTTTATTTCATTATTACTCTAACAATTCCATATTCATCCTCCCTTTCAGAGGAGTTTCTGCGGCTGTGCCCCGGTGGGATAGGATTTGTTCCAGATCCTTTCACTCTTGTCATTAAGGGTAGGTTCTTTATAATCTGTTTTTTTCTTAATATAATATTCGTTTGACGCGTTTTGTTTTTTAATCATCTCATAGATGTGGACGAATGCCGGGAACTCCCGGGGGTATGTAGTCAAGGGCGATGTTTAAACACTCTTGGAAGCTTTGATTGCTTCTGTCCTAAAGGATTCAAACACGACATTTCTTCTGGAAAATGCATTGGTAAGATGAAGTCTAATTTCAATTGATCGTTCAGTTTCTCCTTTATATTCCATTTCCATCATTTTAGTTATCCCTCTTACTCCAACGGTTCATATTCGCAATTATTTTCCTCGTTGAAAGCTTATCTTGACCCTTCACACCCTGATATCAGTATACATGTTCTCCATACTATTCATTATATGTTTCCTAAGGTGCTGAAAACGAGAATTTGTTTACCAATCAAGATCCTCTTTAGTTAGTGATGATTTCCTTTGTTCTCGTGACTTTTATGCTTGATTCAGGGGTGATATAGGAAGAAAAATTAGATACTGGTCACTCTCAGTGGTTTAAGGGTTAATAAGCTTCTGTTTTCTTTAGATGTTGACGAGTGCAAAGAACTGATCTTCATTTGTGGTCTTGATGGGATATGCATCAACACAAATGGAAGTTATGAGTGTGTCTGCCCCGAAGGACAAAAACCAAACCCGAACGATAAACGTTGTGAAGGTAAGTGACGTGGCTAAAGGTTTTCGCACTGTTTCCTCTCAATTTTTCATTCCACCAGCTAATATCAGTACCTTTTTTTCTTTTTTTTGGTATTTCGTAATTGATCTACAAAACGAAACAACTCAGGCGGTTTTCCTTTTGTTTGAATTTCCTTGTGGAAACAATGTGCCCAGTTGAAGGAGCGAGACAGTTCCAGGAAATGGCATTACTGGGTTTTGTCGAACTGGCCTCTTTGAATAAACTCAGTTTTCCCTTTCCTGCGCGGAACACCTGCAAACCTTGCCAAAGTTTTGACCGACGAATAACGTAGACGATCTGTTAAACCAATTATCAACCCTTCTGGGATTGAAAACATGTTAAGACCACAACGCATACAGCTGCAGGCCCACGGAATAGACTTTCGTTCCCCACTTCCGTTAGAAATGATCAACTTTCTTATTTTAGCTGAGCCGGATAAATACACAGCGCGCCGAGTATTTTGATTTAATCAAAAATTTTAAAAAAAATAACAGTTGTTGCCTTTGTTTTAGACAATCGACCGCAAGAGTGTTTCATGGAAGTGGAGAACGAGGCGTCTTCAAATCCTGTTTGCAAGGGCAAGTTTTCTAAGAACGTGACGAGGGGCGATTGTTGTTGCACTGGAGTGGGGGCGGCGTTTGGCTCAGAGTGCAAGCAGTGTCCAAAGAAAGATTCAAGTAAGATTCAATTACAAATTTTTCTGAATACTTTATGACTCTTTTGAATATACTGAGAGAAATTGGTTTCATCATCAAGCTCTGAGCAGCCATTTTCCCATGACCAAGCTAGTTCTGTGGTACTGTAGGACCTACATAACCCATATTATAACAGTCCTTCACGCTTTTTGAAATAAGGCTTGAGAATTCATTTCCTTCCTCTGTATTCACTTTCCACAGTCGAATGGACAGCCTTGTGCCTGTCCATAACACGCGTGACACCAACTACGGGTATTGAAATAACTCATCCCACTTCCGAACCCTCCGGGGTTGTTCGCCCTTCTGAAGGGGTAACGGCCCCATCAACGACAGTCAAACCTGTGACACAACCGCGTAGAGGTAAGAGATGGATAACCTCGTATAGAAGATACAAGAGCCACTTGAATAACGATTCATATCTACCTAAAAAGACAATTTCCGAATTTTTTTCGGTGAAAATTTGAACTTTCGGCTTTTAATCTGAAGCCTTTAAAAACTAAGATATAAATGCATGGGGGGATATGTTTCTAAAGAAACTTTGGTGCTGCGTCGGTGGGAGAGTATAGCAGGTAATTTAGTGTTAGCAACTGAGTTGAAAACGTAAATTGGCCACCGTAAAGAGTAAAAAAGCTGACGTTTCGAGGAAGAAGACTAGGCGACAGATTCCGAGAACACCTTCGCGACCTGGAAAGAAATGACAAGAGATAAAATGCATAAATGCATGGAATCGAGAGTACTTGCCAAATGAAAGTTGAAAATAATGTTAAAACGATAGAAAATGGCAAAAAAGTTCTATTTTTTAAATAGTACAATATCGTTGTGGAAAAGGCTTGTGGCTTGCTATGTTTTAAGCGTTTCTGGTATTATCAACTTCTCTTACATCTATGTCCTAAAAGTATTAATTATATATATATTAGTTTTAATTTTCATTTTAGCTTTCATAAGATATCGGAGATTCGCTACCTCTTGATTTTGATTTGATTGTTTAGGAGTATTTTTAAATTATTGAATTCTCTGTTGCAGTCGTGGATGAGTGCGAACTGTTTCCAGAACTTTGTTTGTACGGAGAATGCATCGACACGCGAGACAGCTACAGATGTGAATGCCCGCTTGGTTACAAGCTTGGCCCAAGAGGTGTAATGTGTAAAGGTAAATATGATATTTCGATTAGCTTTTCATCCTTCTGGGTGAGTTTCAAGTTGTTGCTAGAGCACTGGAAGGATCAAAAGGCTCCAATTGCAACCGTGGCCTGTTCCCTTATTGGCTGGTAAGAGGTCCGAAGAGACCAATGACGAGCAATCTTTATCGCCTGACGAAAATCGCTGAAGATGATATCCCAAAAAACACCGCCAAATTGACCACATCTGGAAAAATCGAAAAACATCTCGATTACTTCGTTCTCTTATGATTCTCCTTTTAAGCTCACAGGTTTATCAGTGACTGCATTGTTTTTCCTTCTAAATAGATGTGGATGAATGCAAGATGTCTCCGTGTAAGAATGGTACTTGTCTAAACACCTTCGGCAGTTTCCTATGCACTTGTCTAAAGGGATTTAAACTCGACATTACAAGACTGGCCTGTGTAGGTAAGTAAAGTCTGTCAGAGCTAATTTTTTAGCTTCTCGTTTCTTATCCATACTCTAGACCTAGCCTACTTAAAGGTCTCTTCTCCAAACCTTGCCACCTATCACCTTGTCAATTCTTTCTATTCTTATTTTCCCTTTTCTACCCTCTTCCCATCCACCTCTCTCCTCCCCTCTTTTCCTGTTTTCACAGGCGATAATTCCTTTCTTTTCTCTGAGCTTCTTTTCCTTCTAAAAAACTTTACCACAGCCGAAAACTGGTCTTTGTGGTCTTAATGTATCAATAGCTGATCCTCGTAGCGTGTGAGGCGCTTTCAAAGCGCCTCTCACAAGCTTTTGATAAGTGTAGCGGTGATTGTGTGAGACAAGCAAAAGCAGATGAGTTTTCTGCTTCTTACAGAGGCCCCAGCTAATTTTCCGCGCAGGTGACTAATTTGAAAATACCCTTTAATAACCTGCTAACCTACGAACGGTGCGGTTTTTTTATCCAATATCTTACAAGATCTAGACGAATGTCTTGAGCCAGGATACTGTGAACATGGGCGATGCGAAAACTCTATCGGTGGCTTTAATTGCCAGTGTAACAGAGGCTATCAGATCACAACTGACGGAAAGACGTGTGTAGGTAGGTGGATAAAATACTGATAAAATCTTGGTGTACTGCCATTTATAGCTTACATTGCCACTTGTGCAGTTGTAATTTCAGAATATCATCGAGAAAGTCAATCACAAATAAACTGGTGCAGGATCCGCCTGTTCAATTCGAAAAGGCTTAAAATACTGGACGTACTGTTAATATCGCTCACCTGCGAGTAGGTGTATCTAAATTTGGGTGCTTTCCAACTTGTACGAATAATTTAATTAATTAATATTTCATTTACGCTTTAAATTAAGTTTGTGATAAGTATAACGACGACTAAGTCGCAGTTATCACTGAAATTTTCTTCATTTTCTTCTAGATGTAGACGAGTGCTCGCAGGTCAGCGGTATTTGCGTCAACGGGACATGCGTCAACACACAGGGATCTTTTCGTTGTAATTGCTTCAATGGCTTTAGGCTCGACAGTCGAGGCTACTGTAAAGGTGAGTTGTAAATATTACAACAGATAACGGATGGTCTCTATGTCTCCATGTTCTGCAATGCTTGAACTTGAAAAAATAACGTAAGAAGAAAGAAATGGAAGAAAAAGTGGGAAAAAAGAAATGGGAAAAAAGAAATGGGAAAAAAGAAATGGGAAAAAAGAAATGGGAAAAAAGAAATGGGAAAAAAGAAATGGAAAAAAGAAATGGGAAAAAAGAAATGGGAAAAAAGAAACGGGAAAAAATGGGAAAAAAGAAATGGAAAAGGAAGAAAGAATGGACAAAAACAAATTTCATGCTCTAGTAATAATGGTTATTTCTGAGGTACTTGGTATGAGTTATGTGGGGCCCTTAACCTATCACATATTGTTGCTCGAACGAGATTGGTCTAGAGCCGACATCTGGCTGAAAATCGCAAGAGCTAAAACCAAAGAATGTTCGAGGTTTGCAGTTACAAATAATATTCGCAAACAAATATTGGAGCAAATTTCACGCTAAATGGAGGTTATTGGGACCATTTAGCTCTTGAACACTAAATTAAACTTTTACGTAACTGACATTATATTGCTACTGTTAACCTATAAATTGGTTTACCAATTTTTAATTATCTGTTTTCATCCTTCTCTCGTTAAGTTTTTTTCTGGTTCATTTTCAGATATTGATGAATGCTCAGCTGTGGTCGGTGTATGTCAAAATGGACGCTGTATTAATTCTATTGGCGGCTTCAGTTGTGATTGTATCCCAGGATACACCGTCACCCCTGACAAAATGCGATGCAGAGGTTGGTGGCATGTTATTCACGTGCCTTGAGCGATGCTTCTCGTGTCATTGAACGTGACAGGAGTGCATGGCTGTATTCTATTTCCCACAATCTGTGCGTGTTTCTTGTAAATCTGTTAAAACCTTGAAATCCTGAGATATTTCGGCATCTTTATTGCGTTTTGACCGATTAAATCAGACATGTAGGCAAACCACATGTTAATTACCGTTGTTGAGTAGTTACTCACCAGTTACTCACGACTGAATAACCTCTTTACGCAATAACATCCTAAAAATGTTTGACGCTCTCGCTTTCCTGATTCTAAACGATTTACAAAATATCAGCACCTTTTTGTTTATCTTCCAAAGTTGTGTTTGCTTCTTGAACCGTTCATTTGGTAAATGCAATCTTCAGTTACTGTGATGCAAAAATATACCCAGTGTTTTATTTCCTCAGATATCGACGAGTGTACAGAGGTGCCAGGATTTTGCGAGAATGGTATCTGTACCAATACCATCGGCGGCTCACGGTGCGAGTGCACCACAGGGTTTAGACTGAACCGTGCAGGAAATGCTTGTCTCGGTGAGGATCTGCTTTGTCACTTTTGTTTTGTCTTCTCAAGGGTATTGTTTTGTTATCGGTGCTGTTTTGGAAAAATCTTCAGGTCCAAGAAAAACTTAGGGAAGAAACTGGTTATAGTCACATCGATATGCGCATGGGACATGGATTTTCGCAACGTTTCTGTATTATTCACGCCATGAGTTTCAAAGAGCTACTCACACGTTAGGTGGTTTACTTTCTTCTGATTTATTTATTTAATTTATTTATTTAGATGTGAATGAATGCGATGAAAATCCAAACTATTGTCAAGTTGGTGGTCAGTGTGTGAACACAGTGGGAAGCTACCGCTGTCTTTGTAATAAAGGTTACGAAGTTGGTAACGGTGGAAGCCACTGTATTGGTGAGGGCCTTAGAATGCTCTTGTACTTCAGTAATACGAAATTATCCATTCATCCATCTATCATTTCCTCTATTTCTCCTCTTCTCTCCCTCTTTTCATTGGCATTTATTCATTCATCATCTATCCGATGGTCCTTTCATCTTTTCCTTCCATCCATTTATCCTCTCTTCTCTCTTTTTTCTCCTCATTCAATTTTCCATCCATTCATTCATTCCATTCATCATCTTTCTGAGTCATTCATTGATAAGTTATTCTCGCCTCGTAATTACTTTACACCGTATGATTATCTACTTGACTTTTATTCGTGTTATACCGTTTTATACCAGTCAATTTGTTTCAATGTCGATTCAACAGATGTGCGGGTGGGTTACTGCTTCGAAAAGTTTGACGAGGAAGGTTGCACTAAACCTAATGGACGCGAGATGAGAAAAGCCATGTGCTGTTGTACCGTTGGAGCCGGCTGGGGTGACCCATGTGAACTGTGCCCGCAGAAAAATACTTGTGAGTATACTGCTATCGTGCATCACATCGTGGTTAGTAATTTTCTAGAAATATGAAAGACAGTCTGCGTTTCCAAGGAAATGTTTGGAAAACTCACGTAGTGGAAACTGTGGAAAACCTCTAAGTTACAGAACATCGAGCAATTTTCTCTATCCCTTATTTCAAAGGATTCAAATGGTTACGGAAGTTGAGTAATTCTTATTTGGGCTACGAACTTCAAAGATTGGAAATCTTCAAAAATCATCTGGATTGAATGACTAAAAATTTTTCTCAGAACGTTTAACTCCTATTTATGTGCCATGGTTCGGTAATTTTACTAACCCATTTCAGGTTTTTGTAGACTTCGATAGGAATGAGGAACGACTGATTTTAATAAAGTGAAATGGTGGGATACTTCTTAAAGTTAGAGCTATACAAAAACTTTGCGCATTGCTTTTGAATCATTTGCTTCCAAGTGGATGTTTACCCATGCGGAAGTGATGTTAGATATGCGGGACACATTTGTTTCAAGAAAATCACAGCTGAGCGCAGTGAGGCAAAGCTGATGGAATCCTTCGACTTCCCATTTGAAATTTACACTCTAAGGCGCTCACGTTGTTTTTCAGCTGCCTTTACCCAGTTGTGTCCCAATGGTGTTGGATTTGTGATGGACAGGCACGGTGTTACAGGTGAGATACAGTACATAGGCGAAGGCAGTTTTTACTGCTTTTGTCCAAAACAAAACAATTCTATTCGCTTTCCTGCTGGAGCATTTAGCAATGTCGGCTCACAGGTATTCTGGGTTTTGCTGCCTGTATCCTTTTTTGTGCAGTTCTTAACATTGCACTGCCTTTTGTTTTCGCTGTTACAGACGTGAATGAATGTCTCCACATCGCAAATCTTTGCGAAAATGGAGAATGCATCAACAATGATGGAAGCTATCGGTGCAAATGCAAAATGGGATATCAGCTTGATGAAACTGGAAAGAAGTGCGTCGGTGAGTAATTTTGTTATACCTTAGCTTTGTCAAGTGCTATGTTTTTTATGACACTAGAAGGATTGACCGAGCTGCTAAGTAACGCATTACAAGAAACCAGTGTTGTTGAGGATGATGACGACAACAATCATAAAATGACGAATAAGAATGGCTAGAGCGATAATGGTGATGATGATAATGACGAAAACGACGACAGGCCTGTTTCGTAACATCCAGTCAATTAGCTCTTTTGTATTGTTTTGTTTTTATCTCCGCATTAGATGAAGATGAATGTGACATGCCCGGTGTCTGTGGTAATGGTCTTTGCGTCAATACAGAAGGCTCTTACACATGCAATTGTCCAAAGGGCTATGCACCAGGCCGCTTCTCACCACGTTGTTCTGGTAAGGACTGGGTTCCAGGTTACGTGAAACACTTTATCAATGAGTAACTGCCTCTTGTGTTTTTTTGTAACGTACTTCTGTTCTTTCTACGTTTAACGCATATTTTTGGTTCTCTATAACTGAAAAAATTGTGCTCTAATTTTAAAACCTGCTTTAATTCCATAGATGTCAATGAGTGTGTACAAAACAACGATCTTTGCGCGTTCCGTTGTGTGAATCAGCCGGGAAGCTACCGATGTATCTGTCCTCGAGGATTCGACTTGGCCCCAGACAAGATTCATTGCAGAGGTAAAGGAAGGCCTCATCAATGGCACACATCACGTGTTCAGATATAATCATGAAGTCGAGGCTTATTTGTATCTTATTGGAAAAGATGAGATAAACAACCAAAGCAAGATGGAACAAAAGCCTTCCTTCGGTTGTCTTTGTTTTTTTCTGTAACAAGTTGCAAGCAGACTTGTTTCCAATAGACGTTGAAGGTTGAAACCTGTTTTCCAAATATGCGTAAAAACGTCGTTATTGTAGCTCAGTATGGCTCATTTCTGTTACTATTCTAAAACCAATCAGCTTAAAACATGCCGAGGAAGCTTTTCTCATTCAAAACCATGAGCGTTATCGTAAGAAAATTGGAGATTTTAATTAATTTTAAATAATCAAAAGAAAACTAGAAGAACTTGGAGTTGTTGCAAATTTGAACACGATTGTTTTAATCTGCTTTTTCCTTCTCTGTAGATATCAATGAATGCAGAGAAAACACCAGATTGTGTCCGTTCGATTGTAAGAATTTTATCGGCGGTTTTAAGTGCAGGTGTCCCGCGGGATTCAGAGGAAATGGTCAGATATGTGAAGGTAAGCTGAATTGTTACATTGACGAATAATTGATATATTTAACTTACACCCAAACATTGCACGCACGTTACACCCATAAGTAAAAAGATGTCATATCACGAGGAAAAAACAGCTACACATCGTCTGTAAAGGAAATTAATGATTTAGGAAACGGGAAGGCTTCGAGTGAGGGACATCACGTAACTTGGAGAGCGCGGATGAACGTCATATCTGTCAAAAATTGACTCATTTCGAAATGTAGAGTACTGACTTCTACCAAATTGGTGGAATCTGTATATCGTGCTGCATGGCCTAACAGGTAAGTTTAGTTTAAGACAGATGATTTTCTACGGCTGCCTGAATTTTCAGGGGTTTAGAACCAAGCATCAAAGAGATAAATCGACGTCAATTATTTGACAAATATTTTCACTGACTTTTCCCTTAGATATCAATGAATGCCGGGAAAAGTTGGATATTTGTCAAAATGGCGCGTGCAGAAACCTCGCGGGGACTTACATCTGCGACTGTGACTCGGGGTATCAGCGGACTGCGGATGGAAAGGAGTGTGAAGGTCAAATCGCTCATTGTGATTTAAAAAAACTGCTTGGAATTTACTAACGATGGACCGGCATCTTATTCTGAGGATTTGTTTGTTTGTTTTTTGTCTGCTTGCTTGCTAGTTTTGTTTTTAACGCGTTGAGAAACTTGTTGGAATGAGAGAGTACTTTATTCCCTTTTAGATACGCGAAAGGGACTTTGCTTCGCTGTCGTAAGGAACAACATGTGTGAAGCCGTCACAAAGGAAATGATGCAGGTCCGAAAGAAAGAATGCTGTTGTACGGCCGGGAAAGCCTGGGGCACAAACTGCCAACTGTGTCCGAGGAAAGGAACTGGTAAGTTGTTTCTTTGGGCATCTTCATAGCAATCTTTAATTTTTTATGTCTTTCCTGAAAATTAATTTACCTTTCGTACTGTTCCGCAGCTGAATATGGTAACCTATGCCGAACCATGGCACGACAAAAAAACAACATGACCCGTAAGTTTTATTTCATTTTTTTATAGTGACTGTCAACGGTGTTAACGTGATTTTTAATATTTTTTTTCTATCATTTGTTCTATTTCTACTTTTTTGTTCTCCAAGCCAATTCTTTTATTTTGGTCTAAAAGTCTGCTTCATAAAGGAGAAAGTGCAGTGGTCATTAACTGCGAAAAAATAGTCTTTAAGGGATTTCAATAATAATTTTGACTGAACTAATACAACTTACAAGAAAACAGTATTTTTTGGCTGCGTATAGCAGCGTAGAGAGTTTCTAAAGCAGACGTTCCTCCGACGGAGGACAAACGCTCGAAACGTCAGAGCTCACTCCCTTTGCGCGCAGAAGCATTTGTTAACAAGTAACAAGTCAAGATGTAAAACATTTGTGTATGCATTCGAACTTCGAATGATACGTTGATTAAACTCGTTTCATTTCAAATTATTATTTCATAGATTTATGTGAGATGATCCCAGGCCTTTGTCAGAATGGGAAGTGTATGAATATTCGTGGGGGATACCGCTGTATGTGTAACGTGGGCTACAAACTAACCATGGATGCGAAGCGATGCTTAGGTAAGGGAAAGGTCGTTTTCATGTTCTATCACCGGCCTTACTTTCCGGTGAAAAGTAAAATATGAAGTGTACAATGTGAAATGTGAAATGTGTAGTGTGAGGTGCAAAGTGTGAAATGTGAAATGTGAAGTGTGAGATTGTGTAATTTTTGTATGGATCGTCACCTCTCTTCCGTGTCAGCTGTCACTATTACCACAATTACCTCATTTTGAATTTGTATACGAGTTTTGGTAACAAATTCTTTCAGTGTTCGGCTATGTCACATCGATTTAAGTGTTATCGTGTTTCAATCAACAGATATCGATGAGTGCGCTAAAGATTCCAGTATTTGTCAGTTTACTTGTGCAAACACTGATGGTTCTTACAAATGTAGCTGTCCCATTGGATATGTGCTGCGAGCCGACCAGAAAACATGTACAGGTCAGTGACACAAACCCAGCTCATGTAGATGTACCTCACCTGTCACGGTGAGTTAGAAAATTTTATCCACCTAAAATCTAAATCGTAGTTTAGAAAAAATTGTTAAACATGTAAAACGTGTTACCAAAGAAAAGAGGTTTATATCAGGTGCATGTAGAGCACGTTCTGGAGATTTTAGAGTTCTAATTTTCGTTCTTTTTTTTCCCATCAGATGAAGACGAATGTACTACGGATCGACATAACTGTCAGCACAACTGTATCAATGTCCCCGGCAGCTTCCGCTGTGGCTGTCCTGATGGATTCATGAAAAATGGAATTACGTGTGTTGGTGAGTCAAATATGTTGAGATGTATCCTGTTCCGTTTGTGTTGTTACCCGCTCTTACCTCGCTGGTGCACAGACATCTGTCAACTAAAATAATAATAATGATGATAACAAAAAACGGGCGCGTAATGGAGGATGGGAATTTTTGTCTTAAGTCACTTAGCATAGCAGAGCGTTGTGATTGCTGATAAGCAAACCATATATATGGGATCCAGTATTCAATTTTCCACCCATCACTGGACGTCTTTGTGTTTAGTTCTTCAAGTTCTCAACAATCTGTAAATAGCTACCTCTCACCAATTGGGATTTCAAGATTTATCTGCTATATTTAGAAACCCAAGGGGGTGGGGGGGGGGGAAGGATAGAGGCATAGGGTGTGTTTAGTACCCCGTGGTACGCAAAAACGTGAGGTTTACCTTTGGCATTTTTTTTTTTTAGACAAAGACGAATGTATGACAGATAACAACATCTGTGGATTTGGAAGGTGTGAGAACTTGCCGGGATCTTACAGATGCGTGTGTAATCGTGGTTATACGTATGATGATAAGACCAAGAAATGCGTTGGTACGAAAAACAGTGATTATTACTTTGTTGAGGTTACGGTCGTCTAAGGAAACCGATTTATTTTGGATTAGGTGATTTAATGGCGAATGAAAGCGCTTTGGCTGTAGCATAAACGAGAAATGCTGCACCAGAATAAGTCCTGTGCAATATGTGAGGAATTTTGAGACCATTCCATGGCCAGTCAAAGTGTTTATCTACCGAAGTCTTATGATGCATGATAGAAGTCTCAAATTTGATCAATTTTTACTCTAATCGTCGTGAATTGACTTGGTGCTGCCGTAATTGCCCTTTCAGAACTAGTCAGCAGCTGAAAATACGTTCCCTCGAAGTTTGAATACAAAAGTCGACATTTATGTTACTAAAATTTATCATATTTTTTTTGTTCAGGAAATAACAGATGTACTGGAAATGCGTGTCAATATGGTTGCTTCAACCTCGGGGGTGGATATCGATGTGGATGTCCCCCCGGATACACGCAGGATTTTTACTTCAACCAGTGTGTTGGTAAGTTTAATCATCTTTCGCCATAAAAAATGGCGATAAACCTCGTTTGCTTTTACGAAGAACAATGAAACAGATCCACAGTTATCTCTTGTTACATTTTTTTTTCTTTTCCTTCTCTGCTTTCTTTGCTTCTATTTTTCGCACTGAAACGAGGACGTAATTCCTATAATACTAAAGAATCCACTATTCCCTTCACATTGTGCGACACTGCAGGCTCTTATGTCCAGTGGCGTTACTTATTTCTGAAAATATTTTTTGTCGCAGATATCAACGAGTGTCGGAGCAGACTTACTTGTGGACAGGCGCAGTGTAGGAATACATTAGGAGCATATTACTGTACATGTCATCACGGATATGTGCTTAATCCAGATGGCCGATCGTGCCAAGGTAAGGCAAATGTTCGTCCCTAGCGCTATCATGGCATTTTAAGCTGCCATTAACTTCCTTTTTATCAGCGTTGTTGAAACGTTGTTGCTAATCAGACGGGCTGAGCAGCCGTTCCTTCTTTCATGGTGGATATCCAAATGGGGAAAAATACATTACATTAGTTTTGAATAACAAATAAAGGCAGTCTTCACTCTTGGTTAATATTAGAACCAAAGCGTTATTTTAGGTTGTAATTTTGAGTGCGATATCAAACCAGTCTGAAACGCACTCAAGATTGTTAAAGCATCGTCCCGAGAATTTGTCGGTCCACCTATCTACATTCCTTTTCATAAACAAATTTTGGTATTTTTGACCTAAAGTAATTTTCGTGCTCCTGACTAAATATCAAAAGAATTTGTTCGTTAAGTATGTTATAGCCTCTCCTGCATGGATAATTCCTTTCTTTCTTGTTTGCTTCATCATTATTCATAAAAGTTTAAAATTAAAGATCTTTTTTCCTTTCAGATATGAACGAGTGTGCCTTGGGACTGAGCCCTTGTAGCTTTGGATGCGACAACAAGCAAGGTGGATTCAGCTGCCGCTGCCCACATAGTTATCAACCTATAGGGGGAGGGTGAGTACTCTATTCATTATCATGTGGGGGAGGGGTAAGAAAAACGTAAATGTGTCGTTTTCTGTTTAAAAAAAAAAAAAATCAGTTCTTACCTTGCCGTGCCTTCATTTTGGAAACCTGGGAAAAACTTCAGTTTTGTTCGGGCTGCCTCAATTGTGTTTTTTTTTGCAAATATTGTAAAGGTTAAAACCAAATTCTTAAATCTTCCCTTCTGTTTGTTTCCAGACACTGCTTGTCGCCCTATGGAGAAGCCTGTTACGAGTGTGCGCTGTCCAAAGGGGACGACGAAGACAAAGGTGTGCCTCTTGTGGAGCGAAACCAAACCGGCAGTCAGACTCAGTCTTCCGCACCATATCATGTTGTACCAGCGAGCAGCGGAAGCTATGGACAGCACCTTCCTTATGGTAGAAACCAAGGTTATGGTCAACATCAACTAGGACAGCGTCAAATCCAATTTGGTGGTCAGGCACAAACTTACAATCAACAAAACTATGGCCAACAAAACTGGCAAGCGGCACCACCGAATAACGGCTTTCAATTTTCGTACACACCTTCAGGGAAGCAGAGGAAACGACGATCCATTGGGCATCGAATGGAAAAATTCACCTTACAAATTCCCACCAACATCAGCTCAGCTAAGCCGATCCTAACGCTAGTGCCAGTACTCGCGGAATTAAACGGAACCTTCAAATATGTCATTGTTCATGGAAACACGAGCTTGTTTAAAGTGGAACAACGCAAAGGAGTCTCGTTTCTTTTTGTTAAAACACCGTTCCATCGAAAAGGCGTCTTCCGTGTGTGGATTAAAGGTGCCATGCGCGAGAAAGTGACAAAGGAAATGGTTTCCAAGGAGACGGGGACGATGGCAACGCATGGACAAGAAACAAGAAAGAGCAATGAGAACAAACTTGGAAAAGAAAACGGAACTAAGAAACAACAACACACGCTGGGATATCACGAAGCCAAAAGGTTTTCACTTCGTCTTACCATCAAGGCCGTATAGACACATTACACTGCTTAGGCCTTTTTTCATTTTTAGTTTCTTTCTTTTGTTGATAATGTGTTTTATTTTGTAAAAAGATATTGGCCATGCATTTTTTTATGTTCCAAGTTATATCTAAAGTCCATCTTGCGCTGTAAAGAGACGCATTTTTTGCGTGGTATAGACAACAACCGTAAAATTAAAAGCTTTGAAGAAGTATTTAAGATTATAAACTGCGGAGGTGTTATTGCATGATATCCTGTTTATTTTAAGTTACCCTCCATACGGCTGCTTCATATATGAAGGGAATTTGCATTTTCAAGATCATTATTTTGTCAACACTTGTTTGCTAAATATTTTACCCATCGAAATTGTGCGAAAAAGGTATGTGTCTGGGAATTAAAAGCTTGCGATTTCACTTCACGAACAAATTATGATAAAAGGAAAATACACTTTGCCTAGTTATTTTTCAATGAATAAAACAAACGAGAAATATTCCGCAATTTACTAAAATTACTAAAACGCCTCATATTTCCATATCTTATAAAAAATATACGTCAGTCGTTGAAAACAGTGCACTAAAATGCATTCATCAAAAGAAACCGAAGATGAAAGTTTGAGCGAAAGTTGAGGTGGAAATTCCTTTCCGAAAAACTACATAACACAAGACCCGTTTCTTTCGAAGAGTGCATTAGATGGAGATGAGGCGACAGAGAGACATTTATATTTGACTTCCTAGCGATCGACCTTATGTTCGGTTAAGTTCTTTTAAGTTCAATTAACTTTGACATTAATTGGCAGCTGTATGGGTAGTTTTATTAATCTATATTATCATAAGCACTTCCTACGCTTCAGAGGATTCTCAATTCATTAGCCTGTTGTATCCACGGAGACTTCCACGAGTTACATCTTCGTCTTTTTACAGATAAGGCGAAATAGTTAGAAGAATAACAAGGGTTGGTTCGCTGTTGAGGCAAGTTTTGATGCAGAATCGAACCATCCAGTCGTAAGGCAAGAAAACTACATCGGCAAACGACGACTTCTAAAGCATTTCTCTCGGCCGGTGTTTTTCAATCAATAGTTTTAAACCCGACCTCTTAAATGGAATACAAACAGCCCTTTAAACTTTAAGCGAATTTTTGTTCTGCATAAAACATTCTTCAGATCAGGACGTAGTGGCGGTTTAGAGTCTTTTTCAACCACAGGCCTCAAGAACAAGAAAAGACCTGTCTGACGGAATTATCAAAAAACTGTGTGGGGAACTGTCTTAATCCTCTTAGCAGTAGTAGCAGTAGCCCTCCTCAGAGAAAATGCCTACCACTGCATTCTTGGATCAGTATTCTCCCGAGGCGGACAACTCTTCAAGCTTTAACGAAATTACGGAAGAAACGACAAATTTGAATACAGCTGAACGAAACAGTAAGGCCGTGTTCTACTGTTGCTTGTTCCTTCTCGGCTCCTTAGGAAATGCAATGGTTATTTTGGTATTGAAAGGAAAGCGAAAACGAACCATTAATGATTATTTTATTTTAAACTTGGCAGTAGCAGACTTAACTTTCTTGTGGCTGTCACTTCCTTTCTATACGTACGAACTTTTTCAGCCGTTTAACAAGAATTTATTGTATTGTAAACTAATTTGGCCGATGATGTCAGTTACTTCATCAGTCAGTGTTTTCACCTTAACGTCCATGGCAGTCGAACGGTGTCGAGGAATCACAAACCCTTTGCAACCGAGAATCAAGCCGCAAGCCACATTGATATGGATTTTCCTTATCTGGATCTTTGCCTTCTTTACTTTAGTTCCGTTGATGATCGTGGCGCGGTCGGAAGGTGTGTTCTGTGCGGAAAATTGGCCGAAGAACTATTATCATCAAGCGTACACTGCTGTTTTATTCGCTCTTCAATATGGCATCCCCTTGTTTGTAATCGCCACAGCATACTTTAGAATCGCTATTTTTCTTATCAGATCTCGGTTACCGATGCTAACAACGATCAACTCTAAGGGGGAGGTTATCAGGCACAAAAAGAGAAGAGAAAATGTTCAGATAATCCGTACACTGGCTGTTATTGTGATTTTGTTCATGGCCTGCATGTTTCCCAATCAAATCGCTTGGATGCTGTTTGATTTTGGCGGTGCCTCGCACAAGAAGCTGTCCGACGCATTTTGGACATGCGCAGAGGCGTTCATGTTTTTACACGCTTGTATAAACCCAATAGTGTACGGTTCTCTTACTCGGCAGTTTTGTCGAGGATACATCCGATTCTTCCGACACATTTTCTGCTTCTGCAAAGTGAACGTCGATTACCCAATTGGTATTTCTCACAACCAGACAGAAGACAGAGATTTGCGTCCAAAGCGAAAAGTCGGAGTACTTCATGGTTTTCCTAAACTCAGTGAAAACTCGATGATCAGTGGCTGTCAGGAAACAAAACTATAATATTTAGCTTGGATTGTAAGCGAACTGCCTTTAAAATCAAAGTGCTCTTTGAGCAAACTCGTGAATTGACACATGATTTTTTGGATTATGTTTAATGTTATCTGGTTTTGGGAATTTTTGTGGTTGATTGTCATATCTAGAGTACGAGCAGTAGTTCAGTGTTCGCAGCAAAGAAACAAAGTAAAGTTGGGATAAGAAGGCATTACAATTGAAATGATCATGCTGTTACATTTGACAAGGGTGGATGATGTCATGTGTTTTAAACGTATATCATTTTTGTTACTGGTTCAAAAGAAAAGGTTGGAAGTAAATGTGGGTGAAAAGTGAAATTTACTGTCTATCATTGTAAATATTAGAAAACCAAGGCAATACTGTTTTAATGAAAACATTTACGATTCCCTCTTTATCAAATGAGACAAACGGGAACGAGTTTTGAGTGATATAACTAAGCCAAGACTGCCACCGTCATTTTGGATCTCCGCCTGGGTAGATTTTAGTCACGTGCTAGGCAACGTATAATCAAGAACAAGATAGAATTTCATTTCAGGCCTATTTATCAATTTTGTGGTGTATAACTTTCGCATTTTAGTACGTAATATTTATTTTGAATCTTCAAATTGTCTTGAAATTTAAAAGAAAATTGTTCTTTAAAAATTCACTGAAAATCGGCAGCTAAAATTGTTTGTTTAGGTGTTATTTGATTTTCGTGATAACTTGTAATTCCGTCAGTCGCCGGCATCTTTTATTGCTTCACACAGGAAAAACACACGATACGAAACATAATGATCGATTTTGTTCTCAATCCCACGCCATAACAGAAAAAGCTTTTGAACATCTGTAAACTCTGAACGCTTCGCAGTAAGTGATATTTTCAATGAATCTTCGGATTGTTTTCAAGTTCAAGGATTGTAAATTACAATTTTATGAAAAACGAAGGTTGTTCTGTTATTTTAGTGTGAATCCTTGCATGCCTGCCAGTCGCTGGCGCCGCTTGTTGAAACTAAAACGAAAAAAAAAAAACTCTTTTAAGATTATCATTGGCATCTTTTTCACCCCACCACCATTCTTAGCAACAAAAGTCGCCATTTCGTTTGTTTATTGCTTGCCAAAAACTATCAAATGCACTCAAAAGCCTAAAATCGAAAAAACGTTTACAGGAATCGATCGATCGAGCGAGCGAGCGAGCGAATGCCATTCTCCACATCGTATCTACAACTCGCACTTGCGCATGCGCGCAATTCACGAGTTAAAAATGAAGTATATTTTGAATTAAGCGTATTACAATAAACGAATGTAAAGAAGTCTTTCAACAAGCTCGTGGTTTAAAAAAAGGAGGGAACCAATAAACTTCGAGAGTTTCTTTTCCATAGGGAAACACTGAATACCTTGTTAGCGGAAAGAAAAAAGAGAAAATTTAATGGAGTTATGCGATACCTTGGTTTTCTTGGGACATCGATCGCGAGAGATCCGAGAATCACCTTTCAATACATGCTAGCTCTAGATATGAGCACCACCGTCAGAGTCATAAGAAACGAGACTGGCGTTTTTTTTTCTTTCCCTATTTCAATAAAAATGAAACGCTTCTTTCCCCTCGGTCTTTCGATTTGTTCTCTGAATGTGCATGTGACGATGAAATAGAACCTTTGTTCAAACTCGGAATTCAAAATGCTCGGTCAGTGTTTCTGATTTGATTATGCCCCAGCTCAATTAAAGCATACAAGGTAAGATCGGACACCCGGGATATAAACATCTCGACTCACAAAAACCCCTTAAATGAAGATATGTTGCATTTGGTGTTTGGTAAATAAAGTTCCTACGCTAAATAACGAACAACTACACTTTTTTCACGACTATCTCAAAATTGAGTTCTCCTCAAGACTTCAAATTTTATAAAAAGAAATTGGTATTAGCTCCTATCACTTGCATCAAGAAACCATCCATCATTTACGATGAGTGTGATGCTGCCAAACTCAACACCTGGCTGCGGAAGGTGCTCGCCCCAGTGCAGGCGGGTTTCAGGGATTTTCAGCAGAATATTCCACAATTACGAGAAGAATGTCTTGGGATACGCCTTGTTGTACGTCCACCAGTAGGGATCGTCTCGCACCATGTCTTGCTGGTATGACATGCTCAGCCAGAATGAAGAGCTCTTAGCACCGTAAATCTCAATGGCAAAGTTGTTAGCCGCTTTTTGATTCTTCGAGAACAGCTTTTGTTTGGAGCTTCCCCACCATGTTTGACATTGGTCAATTGGAACCCAGATCTCTGTAAATTCCACCCTGATGATAGAGTCTACCTGGACCTCGTTGTCCATGGACAGATCATAAAACCAAAGGATAAAGGGGGTAAGTTCTAAAGAAATTGTAGTGCTGTGTCGGTTGAAGAGTATCACTATTAATAGGTAATAAACAATATGGACAGTGGGCTGAGATGCAAGGGTCTGATTGAAGTTGGACGTCCTCAATTTTGCACAAATCCTATACACTTTTTTTATTATGAGCAGAAATTCATGACGTCAAACTCTTGATGCGCAGATGGAGTTAAAATTAAGGTGAAGCAGGCAACAAACCTGAGGAATATGATCGCCAACGGAAATTTCCGATATCTGACATGCCAAATACCGGCGATTTGTTTTTCGCCATTCGTAGCGATTGGCGAAAATCACGATCGCTGCACTATTTTTCCATCAAACAAAAAAAAATCATCCTAAAACCTTCAGTGAAGCTATGTGACAATGATAACTAATGAAAGCGTTTTCAAAGTATTATTCTGTACAGAATGTCGGAAAAGTGTGTAGCTGTAGAATAATCAAGAGCAGATATCTACGCCTTTGTCACGCGCTCCTTTACAACTCCTTGATCCACCGACTTGTAAACACTTGATCTTCCTATCCTGTGCGCTTAAAATCCATGATTTCTTCCCTATAATGTAAATTTCCTTTTTTAATTACAGTTATAAATGAATTTCTGTGTATGACATGGAAATATTATATGTTGAGCTCGACTCTGATGTCTCAGTGTTTAGACTCCAGAAATTAGCTTAACATTTGCGTCAACCATTGCAAACACTAGATTTAAACTCATCCGGCAAAAGTGACTTAAATTCAATACACGTCATGGAAATTTGAGCGAAATGAAATTCCTATCCGAGACAAAAACGTAAAAGCTACCCTTTTCTTTTCCTCTCAATTAATCTACACTATTTTTACAAGTAATGGGTTTACGAGCTCCCTTTTTTGACGAAAACGGAAATTAGCGAAATGTCAAAACAAAAGTCAGCAAACTTCTTTAGTCAAATGGAAATATTATAGGCGTTTGTAAATACAGAAACACCTTCTGTATTCAAACCAACCAGCTTATTTTGTGGCCACTTCTCTGTGGCTTTCAGAGTAAAATGTTATGATTGGAATTATACTTGGCTCAATTTCAAAGTTTTATTTGTAATTCATTTGCCTCGATTTTTGAAAATTTTTTTTCATCTACCTTACTAATTACTGATCTTTCTATTTCCGCAGCGTAAGATCCTTTTTTAGGTGAAAGGAAACTTTTATGTCAAAATTTAAACGTATTAATCAACCTTCAGGAAGTTCAGTTAAAATCTACCTGTCAGTATTACTTAACCATCGACCTTTCATTTGCTACAGTTCTTTGTAAACATGACAACTATCATTTACCGGAGAAAATATTCTAAGATTACTTCGAGAGTATTAAGGTGGTTTTATTTATTTTTGTTCTCATCAGCACTTCGGAATCCCCCGCTTCAGATGATTTCTCAGTTCATTGGTCTCCTGCATCCATAGAAACTTTCACGTACGACTTACATCGTTGTCTTTTCAAAGATGAGGCTTAAAATGATAAGTTGGCTATCAAGCTTTGGTCAACATTGCCGTACGTTTTGATCTATAGCCAAGCCTTTCAGTCCGACGTACGGCAAGCAAACTAAATTAGCGTGCGAAGAATTTCTATGCATTCGTTATGCTGGGCTTCTTAAATCAATAGTTTATCTCTGTAGCTTCCGTGGAGGGTAACAAATACTCTACAATACGAGGAACGTTTCCTTGCAGGAAAAATTTTTTAGATAACGACTTTGTCGTGATTTTGAGTCCTTTTTTTTTAACATAGCCTGGAAGCAGGTGAGGGTAAAAAAAAAAAAATTCTTTAAATGAAGCATTAGAGGTCTGAGTAAGGAAACGTTTCAGTTCTTCAAGTCAAGCGAACCTCTTTGGGAGAATATGTCTCGCGTTGCATTCTTGGAACAGTATTATCCCGCGGCGAGTGAATCGATCGACAACTCTTCAAGCTTTAACGAAACTACGAAAGAAACGACAAATGTGAATACAGCTGAACGAAACAGTAAGGCCGTGTTCTACTGTTGCTTGTTCCTTCTCGGCTCCTTAGGAAATGCAATGGTCATTCTGGTATTGAAAAGAAAGCGAAAACGAACCATTAATGATTATTTCGTTTTAAACTTAGCAGTAGCAGACTTAACTTTCCTGTGGCTTTCGCTTCCTTTCTATACGTACGACCTTTTTCAGCCGTTTAACAAGAATTTATTGTACTGTAAACTAATTTGGCCAATGATGTCGGTTACTTTATCAGTCAGTGTTTTCACCTTAATGTCCATGGCAGTCGAACGGTGTCGAGGAATCACAAACCCTTTGCAACCGCGGATCAAGCTGCAAGCCACATTGATATGGATTTTTCTTATCTGGATCTTTGCCTTTGTCACGATTGTTCCGTTGATGATCGTGGCGCGGTCGGACGGCGTGTTATGTGCAGAAAATTGGCCGAAGAACTACTATCGTCAAGCTTTCACTGTAGTCTTATGCATTCTTCAATATGGCATCCCTCTGTTTGTAATCGTCCTAGCATACCTGAGAATCGCTTTTTGTCTTATCAGGTCTCGGTTACCGATGCTGACAACGATCAATGCTAAAGGCGAGGTAATCAGGCACAAAACGAGAAGCGAAAATGTCCAGATAATCCGGACACTGGCTGTTATTGTGATTTTGTTCATGGCCTGCATGCTTCCCAATCAAATCGCCTGGTTGTTGTTTGACTTTGGCGGTGACTCGTACAAGGAGCTGTCCGACGCATTTTGGACCTGCGCAGAAGCGCTAATATACCTACACGCATGCGTGAACTCGATTGTATACGGTTCTCTCACTCGACAGTTTCGTCGAGGATACGTCCGATTCTTCCGACACATTTTCTGTTTCGGTAAAACCAACGTCGATTACTCAACTGGTGTTACTGAAAATCACACAGGAGACAAACATTTGCGACCAAAGCGAAAAGCTGGCGTACTTTATGGCTCTCTTAAATTCAGAAAAATCAGTGAAAACACTAGAACGACACGCTTGATAGTGAATTCCTCTCCGATTATGTCCACAAGTGAAGAAAGTATCAATCAGTTAGCAAGCCCCTCGCCTGGCTCTTCCCCAGTCCCTGGTTCAGCCGGCATAGAGATGTTATTAAGAAGAACTCAGGCAAAGGAAACTCTGTTGAAATTGGCCTTTACTAACCTGGGTATGGACACGTCTGATGACGATAGTTGCCAGGAAACTAAACTGTAACCCGTTTAGCTTTGACTCTAAGCGAATTGTCCTATCTGTACGAGTTACAATTAATGCATTTATAGATGTCTTTCAAAAAGGTTGCGGTTTCTTTGAAAAGGCAAGCAATTCAGAGAGTTTCTTATCTACATGGATGAGGTCTTTGAATAATTAACTCGTGGAAAACAAACAATTTGAGTGGAGTTACGCCATGCCTTGATATCCTCGGAACGTTGATCAAGAGAGATCTGAGAGCTTACAAAGGCCCCTTTCTTTTAATCAATGGTAGTACTAATTAACTGCACCGCCGCTTTTTAAAATGTCAAATATAGAGATACAGTTATTAGAAACGGGAATATAGTTTTTTTTGCTCTCACTTTTCAGTGAAGGGCATGGAAAGATATTTTTGATGAAACACGCCTTTGCCCACGATCACTTCGATTTGTTCCATGAATGTGCAGCAATGTACACTGAGAATATTAGATCAAACTTGGAATCCTAACATGCTGCAGCAGCCAGTGTTTCAAATTTAATTACACACAGTTCAAAAACATTGCAGTTGTACAGGGTAAGATTGAATTTCTAGGACATAAACGTCTCACCTTACAAAAATCCCTTAAGCTCAGGCACGTAGCACTCGGTATTTGGTAAATGATGTTTCAAGGTTAAATTACGAACAATTACAATTTCTTTCACGATTATCTCAAAGTTTGAGTTCTCCTCAAGACTTCAAATCCTATCAACAAAACATTTCGTTAAAAAAAAGAACGCCTGGAAGTACAAGAATAGTATGTCTGAATAAATCTTGATCAGTGTTTGGTTACTTATACTCTCAGGTAATTACACTGCAAACGATTGCAGTTTTTATCTAAAGCACCTCAAAGTTCATGTTCTCGTCAAGACCACAGTCACAAAAAAACTAAAGTTTCAAATGGGTCCAGATCATTTGCATTTCTACCAGTTTTTCAAATGACACTCTATTGAGTCTTGGGTTTTATGCCGAGGATACCACGCCAATAATCGGTCATGAACACTTGGTCGGGGTCATGTTGTTCTCGCAGCTTTAACCAATCATCCATCTTAGGGTAAACACTCTTCAGATAATCTGCGTTGAATGTGGTGTTTCCACACTTTTGACCAGGCAGTGGAAGGTACTTGCCCCAGTGCAGGCGAGTTCCAGGGATTTCCAGCAGAATATCCCAGAAGTACGAGAAGAACGTCCTAGCGTCGCCCTTGTTGTAGGTCCACCAGTAGGGATCGACTCGCACCATGTCTTGTTGGTATGACATGCTCAGCCAGAATGGAGAGCTCTTAGCGCCATAGATCTCAGTGGCAAAGTTGTTGGCCGCTTTTTGATTCTCAGAGAACAGCTTTTGGAGCTTGTCCATCACGGTTTGACATTGGCTGATTGGAACCCAGATCTCTGTGAAGTCCACCCTAATGATGGTGTCCACATGGGCTTCGTTGTCCATAGGCAGAGCATGATACCACATGTCGTAGAACTTGGTCGGTTTGTCGTTTAGGGGGACAAATTGACTCAACATCAAGCCAATGAGCTCGTACTCCAGTGCTGTTGGATCTTTCTTTTGCAGGATGAAATTGCAGATGGACAGTGCAATGGCTGCCATACCAGCTGCTAATATGTTGGACAAAATGGAGTTGTATTGTACAAGATTATTGTTTTCGAAGGATTGTTGACCAACCCATTCCTGAACACGCATCACTTCCTTTTGTGGAAACCAGTTTACTCGCATGTATTCGTTTTCTTCAAGACTTTCCCTGAGCTTGCTCTGCCCCTCGTTGTTGGGTCCAAGCATGGAGTCAGCAAACTTGTGGTTGGACTCTGACCCTTTGATAAACTGCATCGGTGGAAGACGGAATGTTACTCGGGTAATGACACCAAACAGCCCCATGGAAACACCTACCGCACACCAAAGATCAGTTCCACGTTCGGCCCTTTGAACTTGTGCATTGCCGTCCACAAACTCGATCTCTTGGATGACATCAGCAAAGCCGTGCTTTAAGCTTCCGCCTGCAGAGCCAGTCATGATAAAGCCACCAACGGACTGGTGGATGATTCCTCCCAGCTCAGGAAAGCCATACCCTTGAACTGCCACCTGATAGCAAGCTGAATTAGGGTCCAAGGGATCTTTGCCAAGATAGCAGCCTCCTCCGATACGACAATACAACCATTTCTTGCCATCTTCTTCGGCTGTGTGCAGTATTTCTACTTTTCGAAGATCATCCTTTAGGACCAGTGTGATGCCATCCTCAGGATAAATGGCCGCGTTTACGGAGTGTTCCGATCCAACGACACGGAGGACTTTCTTCTCCCTCTTAGCTCTTTTAACTGCATCTATAACGTCTTGAGTATTGGAGACGGAGGATCGAACATATTCTTCGGGCACAATGGGACCTCCAGGAGCTACAATACTTTTTGCCTCATCTTCCATAAGATGCACCATTATTGGGTCCAACAAATTTAATCCCGACGAGAGATCGACAATAGGAGTGACGACCTTACTAAAGAATGCTTTGGCCGCACTAGCCCTATCAGCCTCTGAAACTGAAGAAAAAAATTGAAAAATCCATGAGATTTTATTGCGTCATATAGTAGAACAGAACTATTAGTTATCATTAGAGTTATTTCGTACATATTGGCAATAAAATTTCTTAGGTAATATAGTGTTAACAACTGAGTTGAAAACGTAAATTGGACACCGTAAAGAGTAAAAAGGTTGACGTTTCGAGCGTTGGCCCTTCGTCAGAGATCGCCAATTTGACGTTGTCGATAAGAGTTCAGACATGCTGCTCGCGTCAATGTGTCACGATCTTGATCACGTACTGAAAGAATCGTTTTGTTTGAGGTCGATATCGTAGTAAAAGTTTGACCACTGTAATGACGAATATCGTTGTTGATAAGAGTACAGACCACGCTAAACCTCTTTCGATTTGTTAATTCTTCTCAGCGGCTGCAGAGGAATATTTTTTCTCTGCAAGCTCACCTTTTACCTAGGATGCTTCGCTTGATTGCGCAAAGTATTAATGCTAACTCCAACATCTCTCGACCAAAAGAAGTTGAAGCATATCAAACTTCATGCTTCATCAGTGGATTTAGAGTGGATAACTAGTGTCCCTTAGTAACATATATATTTGGTTTTCCATCAAACGGAAAAATCATCTTAATACCCTTAGGCTACGTAACAATAACAAATGATGACGGGGTTTGTAAAGTATCATCTCATTTGGTCACAGGCAGCCCAAGCTCTAGCTGTGAGATGTTCATCTTGCAAAATAACAGTAATGGCGGAATTATTAGAGTTTGTACGGGAATATTTAAGACCGCTCTAAGAAATATAAATATATATATAAAAAGCTTTTCTTATGTACGTAGAAAACCTTGAAATGGACAACTTGCTAAAATGGGTTCTTTTCATCAAAGTAAGCGGTCAGATAACAAGTGATACGCTGTGGAGGTAATGTGAGGTACTTTTACTGAGAATTTGACGTATTTTTTAATTCGTTGAAGCGGTGGTAAATATTCCCATGCAAACTCTCATAATTCCGCCATGACTGTTATTGAGCAAGATGATGATCTCACAGCTGGAGCTTGGACCGCCTGTGGTTAGAGCGGTCGCAAATATTCCCATACAAACTCTTATAATTACGCCTTGACTTTTATTGCGCAAGATGATCATCTCACAGCTGGAGCTTGGGCTGCCTGTGATTTGGTATGTCGGAAAAGCACGTAGCTAAGATATGCTCCATTTACGTGATATAAGAGAAAGGCAGTCTTGAAACCATTGCGGAGAACGCTTATCAAAATAACATTAAAACTAAAGATTAACAAGCAAATTGAAATCGGAGGCTTTTATCCACTTTGTATTTGAGATTATCGGGGAAAATATCAATACCAGAACTGTTCTTGCTCTGCAAACATGGCCGCAGCTATCATTTTTCGAGAATCAAGGAGTCGAGTGTACTTCTTTGTAGCCTGGGTAAAATGTTGTGTCAAGATCTAACGTCTACCTGTGACCATTTTGAAGAACCAAGTTCTCTACCAACTGATTGTTGTTACGTACCAGCACACTACTCTGAGTGTCAATCCGAAGAGGCGACGATTGAATGTTCCTAATCTCATTTTAGCAGCATTTTAGAGGCGACTGGATTGTAAACCCCTGGCTAAACGATCAAGCAAATTCATTCGACATCTTGTTTGATGCACTTAACGTGGGTGGGCAAAACTAGATATCGATGAGAACAAACATCGAACACAGTGCGTATTTCCGCCGAAATCAAGCAAGAGACCTCATGCAACTAACGGTTTTGACCGGTTCTCTTTTCCCTTTTATGCTAGCTTTATGGCTAAACAGCAAATATTTTCACGCGAGGATAAAAGATTGGTTGCAAATGTTTGATCAAGATCAATCTTGGAAAGTCAATGAATTACAATGTAGAGAAAGCAGAGGCTTCGATGCAATATCGGTTTGCTAGGTTATTTTTCTATTTCCACTAAAAAGTTGGCAGGATCCTGTGCAACTATTGCATTGATTATCGAAAAAAGTTATAGTTGAGTCCCAGGCCAGTTAATTCAATCAAACAACACCGATGCATCTTTGAAAATGTTAGGCTTCTCACCTGCTTTTGCAGCCATTGTTTGGATGAACAAAGCTGTCGGCTTACTGTTAACGATACACACTCAGATTCAGTCCGAAAAAGTCTGCACGTACAGTAAAAGCACTGAAGTAACCTTTATCTACACCCTTTGAATTTCGACCAATAGCAGGTGAAGGGTTCAATTTCCTAAACAGGTTTTTGTTTTATAAAACGTTTGATTGGCCAAAAAGTCACAGAGCTGAACTGAATTAAACTGCTGCAAGTAATTTGCATAATTTGTTTTTGTTCAGGAAACATGCGTGAGAAGACAGAAGTTGTTTTTCGGGGTAAATGGGCTAACTACATGCACGACTATAATGTGAATAGAATAAGAGAGGTGGTAAGTTCTGAGCTCGGTAAAGAAATACAGAAAGATGTTTTTTGTCATGTCTCGAGCGTGGAACAAAGAAAACATTCTGAGTCCCCATGAGGAATCGAACGTCAGACTTTCGGATTCCGCGCTCCGATGCTCTTCCACTGAGCCACAGAGACTCTACGTTAAGCGAGATCTGTGATCATTATCCAGTTTTTATGGTTCCTTGCTGGGAATGGATCTTACAAATAAAAAATAGGCACAAACGGGAAAGACCCCAAACACTTCTTATAGTGAGCAGAAATTTATGACGTCAAACCCTTGATGTGCAGTTGAAGTGCAAACAATTGAATAATGAAACAACCTCTTATAAAGGATTCCTTTTTTCCCCCGCGTACATAAAATATACTTTATTAATCTGTCTGCCTTCAGGATGTTAGACGCCAGTATAAACGTACATATAATCACTTCTACGTTGATTTAGAACTGATTTTCTATTGAATCTTTTTGTAGAGTGACTGCACTCAGTGAACGACTATTAATAGCCATTTAACGAAGTCGACATCGAGCAGGTGTGTGACGTCTAATTGAAGTGAATCTTCATTTCAAAATACACAAATGTATCCATTTGTGTATTTTGTGTATCGATTTGTTGATTCTCCTCAGCGGCGGCTGCAGAGGAATGTATTTCTTTGCGAGCTCAACTATTACCTATAACACTTCGCTTGATTGCGTAAGATATTAATCGCAACACCAATATCTCTCAACCAATAGCAGCTGAAGGATATGAAACTTCATGCTTCATCAGTGGGTTTAGAGTGGATAACTAGCGTCTCTTAGTAACTGATATTTGGTTTTCCATCAAACAAAAAAATCATCCTAATACCCTTAAGCTACGTAATAATGAAGGTGTTTTAAAGTATCATCCTATTTATAACGTCAGAAAAGCACGTAGCTGTTTAACCATCAGTAGCAGATACGCCTCTGTTTAACTCTTCATTTCATCTCCTTCATCTGCGACGTTTCCCTTATTTATGAAAATAATATTAGAATGAGGAGATATGATTCATGTACGTGATATAAAAGAAAGGCAGTCTTGAAACCATTGCAGAGAATGCTTATCAAAATAACTTTAAAACTAAAGATTAACAAGCAAATTGAAATCGGAGGCTATTAATCACTTTGCATTTGACATTATCGGGGAAAATATCAATACCAGAACTGTTCTTGCTCTGCAAACATGGCTGCGGCTATCATTTTTTGAGAATCAAGGAGTCGAGTGTACTTCTTTGTAGCCTGGGTAAAATGTTGTGTCTAGATGTAACGTCTACCTGTTGACTATTTTGAAGAACCAAGTTCTCTACCAAGTGATTGTTGTTACGTACCAGCACACTGCTCTGAGTGTCAATCCGAAGGGGCGACAATTAAATGTTCCTAATCTCATTTTAGCAGCATTTTAGAGGCGACTGGATTGTAAACCCCTGGCTAAACGATCGAACAAATTCATTCGACATCTTGTTTGATGCACTTAACGTGGGTGGGCAAAACTAGATATCGATGAGAACAAACATCGAACACAGTGCGTATTTCTGCCGAAATCAAGCAAGAGACCTCATGCAACTAACGGTTTTGACCGGTTCTCTTTTCCCTTTTATACTAACTATGTGGCTAAACAGCAAATATTTTCACGAGAGGAGAAAGATTGGTTGCAAGTGTTTGATGAAGATCAACCTTGGAAATTCAATTAATTACATTGTAGAGAAAGCAGAAACTTCGATGCAATATCGGTTTTAACTAGGTTATTTTTCTATTTTATACCAGCTTTGGGGCTAAAAAGCAAACATTTTCGAACGACCTAAACGTAATTCAATGTATCGCTTTTATCATATTACTGTTCCGCATTCATTCGACACCTTTCCACTAAAATGTTGGCAGGATCCTGTGCAACTACCGATGTAGAACAAACATCGAACACAGTGCGTATTTTCACCGAAATCAAGCAGAGACCTCATACAACTAACGGTTTTGACCGGTTCTCTTTTCACTTTTATACTAGCTTTATGGCTAAACAACAAATATTTTCACGCGAGGAGAAAAGATTAGTTACAAATGTTTGATCAAGTTCAACCTTGGAAAGTCAGTTAATTACAATGTAGAGAAAGCAGAGGCTTCGATGCAAAATCGGTTTTAACTAGGATATTTTTCTATTTCATACCAGCTTTGTGGCTAAACAGCAAATATTTTCGAACGAACTGAACATGATTCAATGTATCGCTTTTATCATATTACTGTTCCGCATTCATTTGACACTTTTCCAATAAAAAGTTGGCAGGATCCTGTGCAACTATTGCATTGATTATTGAAAAAAGTTATAGTTGAGTCCCAGGCCAGTTAATTCAATCAAACAACACCGATGCATCTTTGAAAATGTTAGGCTTCTTACCTGCTTTTGCGGCCATTGTTTGGATGAACTAAGCTGTCGGCTTACTGTTAACGATACACACCCAGATTCAGTCCGAAAAGTCTGCACGTACAGTAAGAGCACTGGGGGAACCTTTACGCTATAACCTTTGAATTTCGACCAATAGCAGGTAAGGGGTTTAAGTTCCTTAACAGGTTTTTGTTCTTTAAAACGTCTGATTGGCCAAAAAGTCACGGAACTGAACTTAATTAAACTGCTGCAAGTAATTTGCATAATTTGTTTTTGTTCAGGAAACATGCGTGAGAAGACAGAAGTTGTTTTTCGGGGTAAATGGGCTAACTACATGCACGACTATAATGTAAATAAAATAAGAGAGATGGTAAGTTTTGAGCTCGGTAAAGAAATAGAGAAAGATGATTTTCGTCGTGTCTCGAGCGTGGAACAAAGAAAACATTCTGAGTCCCCATGAGGAATCGAACGTCAGACTTTCGGATTCTGCGCTCCGATGCTCTTCCACTGAGCCACAGAGACTCTACGTTGAGCGAGGTCTTTGTTCATTATCCAGTTTTTATGGTTCCTTGCTGGGAATGTATCTTACAAATAAAAATAGGCACAAACGGGAAAGATGCCAAACACTTCTTATAGTGAGCAGAAATTTATGACGTCAAACCCTTGATGTGCGGTTGAAGTGCAAACCATTAAACAATGAAACAACCACTTAGAAAGGATTCCTTTTTTCCCCCGCATACATGAAATGTACTTTATTAATTGGTCTGCCTTCAGGATGTTAGAATACTTAAATAAAAAAAAATATATAGTCGAGAATTCTTGAATACTTAACTCGTGGAAAACAAACAATTTGAGTGGAGTTACGCCATGCCTTGATATTCTCAGAACGTTGATCAAGAGAGATCTGAGAGCTTAGAAAGACCCTTTCTTTTAATCAGTGGTAGTACTAAATAACTGCCCGCCGCTCTTTAAAATGTCTAATATAAAGTTACAGTTATTAGAAACGTAGAAAAGAGAATATAGTCTTTTTTTTGCTCTCACTTTTCAATCAAGGCCACGGAAAGATATTTTTGATGAAACACGCCTTTGCCCACGATTACTTCGATTTGTTCCATGAATGTGCAGCAGTGACCACTGAGAATATTAAATTAAAACTTTATTTAAAATTTAAAACTTTATTTAAAATTTAAAACTTTATTTAAAATTTAAAACTTTATTTAAAATTTAAAACTTGGAATCCTACCATGCTGCAGCAGCCAGTGTTTCATATTTAATTACACCCCAGCTCAAAAACATTGCAGTTGTACAGGGTAAGATTGAATTTCTAGGACAAAAACGTCTCACCTTACAAAAATCCCTTAAGCTCAGGCACGTAGCACTCGGTATTTGGTAAATGATGTTTCAAGGTTAAATTACGAACAATTACAATTTCTTTCACGATTATCTCAAAGTTTGAGTTCTCCTCAAGACTTCAAACCCTATCAACAAAACACTTCGTTAAAAAAAAACGCCTGGAAGTACAAGAATAGTATGTCTGAATAAATCTTGATCAGTGTTTGGTTACTTATACTCTCAGGTAATTACGCTGCAAACGATTGCAGTTTTTATCTAAAGCACCTCAAAGTTCATGTTCTCGTCAAGTCTACAGTCACAAAAAACTAAAGTTTCCAATGGGTCCAGATCATTTGCATTTCTACCAGTTTTTCAAATGACACTCTATTGAGTCTTGGGTTTTATGCCGAGGATACCACGCCAATAATCGGTCATGAACACTTGGTCGGGGTCATGTTGTTCTCGCAGCTTTAACCAATCATCCATCTTAGGGTAAACACTCTTCAGATAATCTGCGTTGAATGTGGTGTTTCCACACTTTTGACCAGGCAGTGGAAGGTACTTGCCCCAGTGCAGGCGAGTTCCAGGGATTTCCAGCAGAATATCCCAGAAGTACGAGAAGAACGTCCTAGCGTCGCCCTTGTTGTAGGCCCACCAGTAGGGATCGACTCGCACCATGTCTTGTTGGTATGACATGCTCAGCCAGAATGGAGAGCTCTTAGCGCCATAGATCTCAGTGGCAAAGTTGTTGGCCGCTTTTTGATTCTCAGAGAACAGCTTTTGGAGCTTGTCCATCACGGTTTGACATTGGCTGATTGGAACCCAGATCTCTGTGAAGTCCACCCTAATGATGGTGTCCACATGGGCTTCGTTGTCCATAGGCAGAGCATGATACCACATGTCGTAGAACTTGGTCGGTTTGTCGTTCAGGGGGACAAATTGACACAATATCAAGCCAATGATGTCGTAGTCCAGCGCTGTTGGATCTTTCTTTTGCAGGATGAAATTGCAGATGGACAGTGCGATGGCTGCCATACCAGCTGCTAATATGTTGGACAAAATGGAGTTGTATGGTACAATATCTTTCTTTTCGAAGGATTGTTGACCAACCCATTCCTGAACACGCATCACTTCCTTTTGTGGAAACCAGTTTACTCGCATGTATTCGTTTTCTTCAAGACTTTCCTTGAGCTTGCTCTGCCCCTTGTTGTTGGGTCCAAGCATGGGGTCAGCAAACTTGTGGTTGGACTCTGACCCTTTGATAAACTGCATCGGTGGAAGACGGAATGTTACTCGGGTAATGACACCAAACAGCCCCATGGAAACACCTACTGCGCACCAAAGATCAGTTTTAGGTTTGGCCGTTCGAACTTGTGCATTGCCGTCTACAAACTCGATCTCTTGGATGACATCAGCAAAGCCATGCTTTAAGCTTCCGCCTGCAGAGCCAGTCATGATAAAGCCACCAACGGACTGCTGGATGATTCCTCCCAGCTCAGGAAAGCCATACCCCTGGACTGCCACTTGATAGCAAGCTGAATTCTGGAAGGTTGAATGAGGGTCTAAGGGATCCTTGCCAAGATAGCAGCCTCCTCCGATACAACAGTACAACCATTTCTTGCCATCTTCTTCGGTTTCTTTCAGTATTTCTACTTTTCGAAGGTCATCCTTCAGTACCAGTGTGATGCCATCTTTAGGATAAATGGCCGCGTTTACGGAGTGTTCCGATCCAACGACACGGAGGACTTTCTTCTCCCTCTTAGCTCTTTTAACTGCATCTATAACGTCTTGAGTACTGGAAACGGAGGATCGAACATATTCTACGGGCACAATGTGACGTCCACTTTTTGACTCATCTTCCATAAGATGCACCATTAATGGGTCCAACAAATCTAATCCTGACGAGTGATCAATAATGGGAGTGACGATTCTACTAAAGAATGCTTTGGCCGCACTAGCCTTATCAGCCTCTGAAACTGAAGAAAAAATTGGAAAAAATCCATGAGATTGTATTGCGTCATATAGTAATCATTAGTGTTATTTCGTACATATTTGCAATAAAAATTTCCTAGTTTCTTAGTCAATGTCCGATTAAGTTTCTATCTGTATTACTTAAGTAGCCTGTATTGTAAATTAGACATTTAAAAAAAAACCAAGTAAAAATTTCCCAAAAGCTAATCAGGGTGCTTTAAACTGTTAGAGTATTTTGCACGTTGATGTCCGAAATAATGATCACAAGGTTCGTTTGCCCGATTTCTGGGATTGCCTTGCAAGATAGTGCCATTCACGTTGATTATTTAATGATAATTTTACCATAATTGGTAATAATGTCACAATCTGATTGGCCAATTTGGTGTTGTCGGTAAGAGTGCAGATATGCTGCTCGCGTCAACATGTCACGATCTTGGTCACGCACTGAAAGAATCGTTTTATTTGACGTCGATACTGTGATAACAGTTTGACCACTATGATGATGAATATCGTTGTTGATAAGAGTACAGACCACGCTAAACCTCTTTCGATTTGTTAATTCTTCTCAGTCGCGGCTGCAGAGGAATTCATTTCTCTACGAGCTCAACTATCATTAAGGCTAACACCGCCATCTCTCGACCGATAGCAGTTGAAGGATATCATCCCTCATGCTTCATCAGTGGATTTAGAGTGGATAACTAGTGTCCCTTAGTAACTGATATTTGGTTTTCCATGAAACGGAAAAATCATCCTAATACCCTTAGGTTACGTAATAATAACGATTGATAAAGGCGTTTTTTAAGTATCATGTTATTTAGTACGTCCGCAAAGCACGTAGCTGTTTAATCATCAGTAGTAGATACGCCTCTGTTTAACTGTTCATTTCATCTCCTTCATCTGCGACGTTTCCCTTATTTATGAAAATAGCATTAGAATGACGAGATATGCTTCATGTACGTGATATAAGAGAAAGGCAGTCTTGAAACCAGTGCGGAAAATGCTCATCGAAATAACATTAAAACTAAAGATTAATAAGCAAATTGAAATCGGAGGCTTTTAATCACTTTGTATTTGAGATTATCGGGGAAAATGTAAATACCAGAACTGTTCTTGCTCTGCAAACACGGCCATGGCTTACATATTTTGAGAATCAAGGAGTCGAGTGTACCTCTTTGTAGCCTGGGGAAAATGTCGTGTCAAGATCTGATGTCTATTTGTTGACCATTTAGCATAACAAAGCTCTCAGCACACTACTCTGAGTGTCAATCCGAGGGGGCGTCAATTAACTGTTCCTAATCTAGCAGCATTTTAGAGGCCACTGAACTGTAAACCCCTGGCTAAACGATCAAACAAATTCATTCGACATCTTGTTTGATGCACACAACGTGGGTGGCAAAACGAGATATCGATGAAAACAAGCATCGAACAAAGTGCGTATTTCCGCCGAAATCAAGCAGAGACCTCATGCAATAACGGTTTTGACTGGTTTTCTTTCCCCTTTTACGCTAGCTTTGTGGCTAAACAGCAAATATTTTCACGCGAGGAGAAAAGCTTGGTTTCAAATGTTTGATCAAGATCAACCATGGAAGTTCATTTAATTACTATGTAGAGAAAGGTAGCTGAACGGTCAAATATACTCTTCAATATGCTGACAGCACGACTCTTCGCTTGATTGCGCAAGGTCTTAATGCTAATATTACCATCTCTCGACCAACAGCAGTTGAAGGATATCAAACTGCATGCTTCATCAGTGGGTTTAGAGTGGATAACTAGTGTCCCTTATGTACTGGTATCTGGTTTTCCATCAAACGGAAAACACCATCCTAATACCCTTAGGCTACGTAACAATAACAAATGATGAAGGTGTTTTCAAAGTATCATCTCATTTAGAATGTCAGAAAAGTACGTAGCTGTGTAATCATCAAGAGCAGATACGCCTTTTTAAGTCTTCATTTCGTCTCCTTCATCTGCGGCCAAACGATCGAGCAGATTCATTCAAAATTTTGTTGTGTGTATTGTGTGCATTGATGCACACGATGTGGGGTGGCAAAACGAGATATCGACGAGAACAAACATCGAACAAAGTGCGTATTTTCACCGAAATCAAGCAGAGACCTCGATGTAAGATCAGTTTTGACTGGTTTTCTTTTCCCTTTTATACTACCTTTGAGGCTTAAAAGCAAATATTTTCGAACGAACTGAACATGATTTAATGTATTGCTTCATTACATTACTTTTCCGCATTCATTCGACATCTTTCACCAAAAAGTTGGCGGGATCCTGTGCAACTGTTGCATTGATTGTTGAAAAAAGTTATATTAGAGTTCCAGGTCAGTTAATTCAATCAAACAACATTGATGCATCTTTGAAAATGTTAGGATTCTCACCTGCTTTTGCGGCCATTGTTTGGATGAACTTACTGATAACGATATACACCCAGATTCAGTCCAAAAAGTCTGCACGTACAGCAAAAGCACTGAAGTAACCTTTACGCTACACCCTTTGAATTTCGACCAATGGCAGGCGAGGGGTTGAACTTCCTTAAGAGGTTTTTGTTCTTTAAAACGTCTGATTAGCCAAAAAGTCACGGAACTGAACTTAATTAAACTGCTGCGAGTAATTTGCATAATTTGTTTTTATTCAGGAAACATACTTGAGTAGACAATTTTTTTTCGGGGTAAATGGGCTAACTACATGCACGACTATAGTGTAAATAAAATAAGAGAGGTGTTAAGTTTTGAGCTCGGTAAAGAAATAGAGAAAGATTATTTTCGCCTTGTGTCGAGCGTGGAATAAAGAAAACACTCGGATTCCCCATGAGGAATCGAACCTCAGACCCTCGGATTCCATGCTCCGATGCTCTTCCACTGAGCCACAGAGACTCTACGTTGAGCGAGGTCTGTGTTCATTATCCAGTTTTTATGGTTCATTGCTGGGAATGGATCTTACAAATAAAAAAAAAGACACAAACGGGGAAGACCCCAAACACTTCTTATTGTGACAGGGCGTGAAATTAACTTTTTTTTCTGATAGCCACTTGGCTCCTAAATTCTTCAAAGTGGTAGTCAATTAAAAAAAAAATGGTCACCATTTCCAAAGACAAACAAAATCTTCTTTACGCTGTCAGCGTTCTAGATAGACCCTCCAAAATTAAGTTAGGGAAAAGATCGTTAACGTGCTACAAAGTAGACACTAGGATGTATGATATACAACGTTCAGGCTCATCTAAATCCAAGATGGCGTCTAGTTATCGATCGAGATGCATGTGCAACGTTTTGGAAACAAACTTAACGAGGAAGTTTGCCACGGATTTATCTCTGCAAATTTATTTAATTCACTATATCTCTTGGGAAGGTTATGATGAAACGTTGTAGTCGCCAATTTGGCGACTAACTTTCAGGATTTGGTCGCCAAAGTGAAAAATTTAGTCGCATTGGCGCCTGTATTAGGCGCAATTTCACGCCCTGTGTGAGCAGAAATTTATTACGTCAAACACTTGATATGCAGGTGAAATGTAAACAATTAAACAATGAAACAATCTCTTAGAAAGGCTTTCTTTTTTTCCCCCGCGTACATGAAATGTACTTTATTAATCCGTCTGTCTTCAGGGTGTTAGACGCCAATATAAACGTACGTATAATCACGTCTCCGTTGATTTAGAACTGATTTTCCATGGAATCTTTTTGTACTGTACTCAGTGAACGACTATTAATAGCCATTTAACGAAGTCGACATCGAGCAGGTGTGTGACGTCTATTTGAAGTGAAGCGTCATTTAAAAAAACGCATATGTATCCATTTCGTTCCACACGAAGTAGGTCAGATCACGACTCTTGCATCCTTGCACGCTATGTCCTAATTTTTACTGCAAAACATACAGCTTGCTCACTTATTATCTCCAAGTCCGAAGAAGATGAAGTAATCACGGTCTTGTTACGATAGGCCTGAATCAAACGTCAACTTTTCATGAGCCGGACCTAATTAAACTGCACATGAAAAATACCATCACTGAATTATTCACGAATGAATACTTCAAAGTGGAATGCTAACGGCTCAGTCATTCTTAACCGGGAATTTACACTCAGAAACAGCCTAGGAGCGGCTTTGATGACGGCCCGGAAATTTCCATGTGTTGTACCAATTGCAAAAAATATTCTAACAAATTTGGAAGCAGTTTTCCGGGAATTTTATCCATTGTGCACATTGTTAAAAGATAACTTTTCGCATTGTGATCTCGAAAAAAATCCTTACCTGATTCGTTAAGATTGGCCTCAGCCATTACCGTCTTCTGCTATACTTTTCTTGCGATGATACGTATTCAAACCAAGCTTGAAGTCAATACGTGCAGTGTGAGAAGCGAAGGGATCTACTTTACACACCCACAGCAAAGCTCCAAGATTTTGCCATCGTCATTGGCTGTTTTCGAAACAATAAACTTGCCGTTCAACCGTAAGTTGTTTCATTAGGAATGAGAAAATGATGGAGTGGTATAGGAGCTGGCGGTACCGGATCAGTTTTGCAAAACTGATCTGATACAACGCCAACTCTATACCACTTTACCTGCTAATGGAAAATATTTTATGACTTCATAATTTTTATACAAACTATGTTTTAAAAATGGAAATGCGTTTGAATGTTATCTTAGCGTGACATTCTCGGAAAACAGGAAGAAATTATCAGTGCGTGACATTCTCAGGAAAACAGGAAATCGATGAAGTAATACAACGACGCCTTTTTCGAGGAAATGAGTCATAGCATTTTTGGCTGGACCACCCGTGTGGACAGCTATCGAAACTGTGAATTTCACTTTCGAACACTCATTTTCAGATTTTAGATCAGAAAAGTAGTGAAGAAACGGCTTCACTCTCCGGTTATCGATTCCAGGGTCTTCCCAATTTTATCAGTCAGGACCCAGCTGAGCGAGGGCTCGAAGGGAAGGGACATTCCGTAAGAATTTGCTGTTGCATAGACTTCATCTACGGGCTTTTCATCTCTATATCGGCAAAAAATCTTCGCATGCGCATAAAAGCGAGTTGAAGCACGAACAATTTTTGTCCTTGTCCTCAGTCTAAAGCGAACTATTTCTTATAAGAGGTCTCGTCTCTTGATATTTGTATCAACTATCTGCCATCTGATTTCCTGTTTGCATGAACATCACCATTTGCCAGAGTCAAGAGTTGGGCGACAAATCCTTTCTCAGCCACATAAACTCTTACTCAGTATGATTTTGAATGACTTGAGAGACATAAACCAGTTCGAATATTTCTTACACCACCTGATAACCACACTTAACAATTACGACTAAAAGGTTGTGCATGAGCAAAAATTCTTTAGTTGAGTGTTTTTAGCAAGAGAAAATGATACTGTTATCATCTTCCTTTGAAGATCACAATAAAGTCAATATCAAAGAGGAAAAAATAATTTCACACCTGGCAATGAATTCTATTACACATACTCTTAAGCGAAGGCCCGTGTTGGCATTATAACTAAAGTTGTTTATTTGCTGAACTAAATTGCTGTTAAAATTGATTAACAGAAAGTAATTCATTTCAGCCCCCATAAACATATGGTGTGGAGAGGTTATGTTCACATAACCTCTCCATAACACGGGTTATGTTCAGGATGCGTGACAATCGATATTGTATTCCGCGTCTTAACTTTTAAAAATAAATAACTGTCATTTTGCTTGACTAATAGCTTCACTTCAGAATTCAAGTAAACCCAAGATTTTTGCGTCTCATTCGTAATTCATCTTTTATAAATGAATAAGACAATTCATTGGAACCAATTCAAAATGGGATTGTATAAAAAAATAAATAAATAAATAAATAAAAAATTAAAACCACCAAACTTTGGGCATGTTAGAGCCAAGAAGACTTCAAAAACATTGGCAGAAATATTGGACAAGATGACGGGCGCGCTTGCGCATTTCGTCCATAATGCCGTCCAAATAATATAGGAAACTGTATGGAAATTTGTAAAATTTCTAAAATATAACAATCAGGAGCTCATGGTCCCGTCTGCTCTCGATCGAGTCATATTCAGTATTGATTCTGCTATTCATCAAACCTCACAGTCACTCGATAAATAAAAACAACTTACTTCCCGAGCCAGTTCTTTTGTCATTGTTCATTGACCTAAGTCGCCATACAGTTCTTCAAAATCCGTCGTTCTCCATCCCAAACACTCGCCTATTACAGGAAAGTGCAGCAATGAAATAAACTGCTCTCGATCGAATTGACTGCTACTGAGTTCGAAGCGTCAAAATATCCTGTAAAATTGTCATTTACTTCCATCAAAAACCTTCCCAACGCGCCAGAATATCCCTTATTTTCCATGTTGAATAAGTGACGAGACGCCATGTTGAAAAATATGACTGAAATGGTTAAACACGAGCAACGCTGATCTTCGAATCATCGGCCATATTTGTTTATGTTCTTGCTGGGAAATAAATTAGTTCTCAGGTCCTTTTCGGAATAAAAATATGCCAGGTATTAAATGCAAATTCAAATTCAGTAGTCTTGGCGCGAAAATCTAATAAAAGAAAATAAAAATTCTGACATCAAGTCATCGATCTGCCTCGAAAAATCCCAAATATTTACTTGCAGATCTTCTTTTATTTTTCTTTTCATCAAATAGAAGATCTGCGGTGCTCAAATTGTGTAAGTCATGGTACGAAACACGCTTCTTTGCAGATCGAGCCGTGACCGCCGCCATATTGAATTCTCTTGATATCCTATTGTTCCGGAGTGTAATACGATATACCGCTGATAATTGTTAGCGGGCTCGAAATGTCCTTGATTTCTGGCGATGATGAATTACATTAGCATGTTCAGGAAGTGTTTCATTTTCAATTGTCGCGTCGTAAACCTATACAGATTTAGATACTTACGAGATCAAAGCATGTCGCAAGATAGGTAGAATTCCTTATGTCAGCAACATATGAGGTCAAATAAACCCAAGCAGAACGCTTCCAGGCGAATCTCCTTTTTGTTGATCACTTTCCTTAAGTAAAGCACACATCTTGTTTAAGTTTTTCCGAAATTGAATTGAATTGGCAATTCTATTCAATTCTAGTCTTTTATTAATTGAGAACACCCCCAATTTTCTTTTCAAATTTCCAACCTAGATATTTCTTGCTCCGAAGTTAGAAAAGGCGCTAATCGAAGAAGGTCGTGTCGTGACACATACATTCTTGCACGCGGTGTCTTAATTTTTACTTGAAAACATAAAGCTTGCACACTTGTTGTTTCCAAGTCCGGAACCTTGATCGCTCTTCTCTCTAGTATTTGAGAATCATTCTTCCGCCACAATAGAGAATGATCTGTTGAACGTTATGGAAGGCCATAATAACAGATGTTATCACGTAACTCTTTCAGCGACGTTCACTGCAAATGTTTCTCTTAACATGCATGCACTTTTCTTTTTTGCACGAACAAAAATTACTTCGGTCTGCCGATTTTTCTGCTACAACTTTATCGCGCATGATGAAAGAGTCATGGTCTTGTGACGATAGGCCTGAATCAAACGTCGAACTTTTCATGAGCCGGAACCAATTAAACTGCACATGAAAAGTTCCATCACTGAATTAATCACGAATGGATACTTTAAAACTGGAATGCTAACGGCTCAGTCATTCTTCCCACCTAGCTTCATCGGGAATTTCCACTCTTAAACAGCTTAGGAGCGGCTTTTAAGGCGACGCGGAAATTTCAAAGTCCATGTGCTATACCAACTGCAAAAACTATTTTAACAAATTTAGAGGTAGTTTTCCGGGAATTTTATCCATTGCGCGCATGGCGCTTCTAAAGAAAAAATAACTTGCCGCATTGTGATCGCAAAAAGAATATCCTTACCTGATTCGTTGTGATTGGCCTCAGCCATTATCGTCTTCTACTATACTTTTCTTGCGACGATGCGAATTCAAACCAAGCTTGAAGTCAACACGCGCAGTGTGAGAAGCGAAGGGATCTACTTTACATACCCACAGCAAAACTTCAAGATTTTGCCATCGTCATTGGCTGTTTTCGAAACAATAAACTTGCCTCTTAACCTTAAGTTGTTTACTTAGGAATTAAATGTAATCAGCAGCAATGATTGCCGATAAAATGATGGGATTACATGTAAAGGCCGACAGGGAACATGAGACGTCAATTTTCCATAACCACTTAAATTCTCGGACAAAATTTCAACCATTTCACTCCCAGACGTGACCAAGGAATTATCAATGAACGGTCAAGAAGGCAAGTGAATTTTTCAACATTTCAAATCAATAACATTTTCAATCATAATGGCTTGATAGAAATCATTTAATGAGTTTCTCCGCTCAACGAGGGGATACGATCTCTAACAAACCGATTAAAGTCATTGCTATAACTTTGAAAATTACACATCCTATACTTCATGTCTCTACTGAGACAATTTAACCCTTTGCAACCTAACATCACCATGCATATTCTCCATACTGTTATCTATCCATTTCCTAAGGTGCTGACAAGGAGAATTTGTCTAACAATCAAGAACTTTTTTGGTTGATGATCATTTCTTTAACTCTCATGACCCCTAAAGTTGATTCAAGGTAATAACGTAGGGAGAAATAAGGAGCCAGTCACTATTACTGGTCAAAAGATTGATGACAGTCTTTTATCATTCCTCTTGCGAAACTTTTGCTTTTCTTTTCAAAAGACAAGACCTAGTATTTTAAGTAAATAACTTTAGTAATTCATTGCATTATACTCAAGCAACGCCGAGCGATTCCTACGTTCTACTGGTCCTTATACCGGTAATGGATTTGTTGTCACTTTTTGCTGAAGTCTATAAACGACAATCCAATCCACTTTCGAAGAGAAAAAAAAGCCCATCGGCAGTTTTGAGTCCGTCACTTCTGCTTTACAGACATATAATACTCTAAAAAAACCCACTTGGCCATCTTCATGCTTATGGCTTGGCTTGGCTGTTAAGCACTTATCCTGAGTTAACTACATACAGATGCCACATGTTGAAAGCGTTATTAACTCTGCACTAGAAATGATTCCACTTTTGATGAAGAAGTGGCCAGAGGAACCCAAACAAATATCCCCTGTCAGCTCTCTGTAGCTACTTCTCCAGTGCTTGACATTCCTACATTGCAGCCATCAGATGAACATTTACTTTGCAGCAGTAACCATTTTTTATAATTTGATGCAAATCTCCTCTGTATCTCACCCTCCACACTTTGGCATCTAATAACTACATCATTACAAAACCTCAACTCAGAGGGGGTGGACAGAGGCACCAACATGTCATCATTTGTCAGCTCTTTAGAAACAGAAGTCCATGAATTAAATCCAGATTTCAACTCTCTTAACAAGTTGAACGAGCTACTTGCTAAATCAAATAGTGAAGGAATGGTTGATGGAGAAGATCTTCTTGACATTCTGTTACAATTTTCTAAGGAATTGTTATCACCAATCTTTGAAGAACCTGATATCTCTTGCAGTGTACCCAGAGAGGTACCAGGGGTACAGAATTTATTCCAAAAATGATAAACAAATCTCCTGAAAAATGAACACAGCCTCATTACAATCATGCCATTTGATATTTCACAGATATTAGCAGGGTTATCCCTGAGAATGGAAAACTAATTATATTTTATTTGCTCTATAGTCATAGCAGATTAGGTTAGAGGATAGCATTGCCAGACAGGACTAAAAAACAACAATCACAACAAACCCGACACCCTCCAAAAACATTAATAATTAAGTTATGAAAAGCATTACAATCCAGATGTTTAGAGAGGAGCTAAGGTGAACAGGCAATATTTTTAGAATAAAAACGGAAGATAGATGTATTTTTAATTAATTCATTAGTCAGAGTGCACCTTATAGCACTGAAGTCATAGTTTTTTACTCTTGCTATAGAAAATAATTAACAATTACACTTGCCATCTAAACATCCCTCTAAGTCTGAGTCTCACAAGAGCTGAGGTCAGTTAGTTTCTCAGGGAAATTATGGGAGTAAAGTACTATTTAGGTTTGTTATTTGTACCTGTGATACCAAATGACCTCATGCCCTGGGAAGGTTAAAATGAGATCACTGGTAAATTCCAATTCTGACAGCAGCAAGTGCAAAACTTCACTGTGTGAACTGCAGAAAATAAATGACATCTGTTAACAACACACCACAAAATCCTTTCAATTACTTATGACAAATAGATTGAAAAAAGTGTGGACTGTTGACTACCAAGAACTAAACATTTCACTTAGGGAAAACCAAAAAAAGGGATGCTATTGAGACATAGTAACAAAACCATTGCAAACGAGTAAAATATTTAAAACTTTTTTATCATCACTTTTGTGGTAATTGTTCAAACAAAGCAGTTTCATTAGATATTACAACAGCTTACTTACCATACATTCTTGAGGTATTTCAGTAACACTTGTCTGTGATGGAAGCCGCAGTTGTCTGATATATGCCTTTCTGTCCACTTTCTCATGACTTGAAGTTCACAAAATAATCTCTACAAAGACAAAGTTGCACATTTAGGACAAAAAAATATTCATTTCTTTTTAATCCAAATATGATGCCCAAATATATGGTTGCTGTTTTGTTTGCTAAATCCCCTAACATCCCTGATCTCTTGTGACTATTTTAGCCAAGAATTCAACATGACAGAGCACAAAAAAGCACAATTCTTATTAAGATATAATGTAGTCATTTCTTGGACTAGAAACCTACTTTTTTCCTGTCTTTCATGAATCTTTCCACCAGCCATGATCTGTGACTCCATGCAGTGTAGTTATCGGCATAGCTCTCAGCAGCTCGTAGAGATATGGCAAGTTCACCCCTCAAACAACGATGAACAAATTCATCCTGGCCTTTAAGTTTCTCAAGCTGTTCTATTGTCCATCTCCTTTGGGGATCAAGAAACAAAACATCCACAGTCACAGACCCCATTCTCTTCACAAATGTAAGTTAATCACATCAAGATTATCTTTCTCTTTGCTTACAAATCCAACAAATTACCATCAGACTACTTAATCCATGACACCCTTACATCAGTATGCACATTCTCTATACTGTTCTCTATTCATTTCCTAAGGTGCTGACAAGGAGAATTTGATAAACAATCAAACTTAATGATCATTTCCTTCATTCTTGTGAACTTAATGTTTAATTCAGGGGTGATATTGTGAGGAAAATTAAATGCTAGCTACTCTTAAGGGGTCACATGGCTAATCTGGAGAGTTTTAACAATTTTCTTGGCAATGTATGTGACTTTGCCCCAGAAGAGTGATTAATAATAAATTATTAATATTGCTTATTTGGTACCTGTGAGTAAATGTTTCAGCACTCCTGGGGTGTTTTGAAAGAACAAGAGCTGAACACTTGATGTCATCTTCCAGACTTAAAACTCCTGCAGATATCAGTTCCTTTCTGGTTAAAGTAGAGAGAATCTGGTGTTAAATCAGTAAATCCCATTATCCCAAATCATGCATTCTTCCAAGTACTCTTCTGTTTAAAAATGTTTTTTATGCTGTGACTTCAGAGAAATTCTCTAACTAATGGTCTCCCTTAACCTTTTAACTCCCGTGAGTGACCAAGACAGAATTTCTCCTTACAATATCAATACAATATCAAGCAGACAAACAATGGGAATAAAGAACAATATTAATTTGGGGATTATTAGTTGATCAAGTACCAAATTCTCTGAACTAACATCACAAGAATTATATCACAGATAGTAAGGAGAATTACAAATGAGATCTTGGGAGTTAAAAGGTTAAGAGTAGAACAGTAAACATTCAAGAGGGCCTGGTCTAAGCCCTTGTCCAGGGTAATGGTATTGTGTTCTTGGGAAAGACATGTAGCACTTCCCCATCTACCCAAGTAGGTATCAACGAACTGTAAGACAAACCTGATTGATTACTGGAGGAGGTTAATTGCAATGGATTAGCAATCTATCTAAGTCAAGGCAGGGTTAAGTCTTAATGCATGCCCACAAGCCCATGCTGGTGCTTATCTCTATTTTTTTTGGACTGGTACATTTCCACTCTTCTTGTATACAAGGATACTAGCCCATCCAAGGTTACACTCCTCCCTCCATCCCAGAGTTTCCTAGTTCTTATTCTTACTTCAGGCTTTATGCTACAGGAAATGGGTTCAGATGTAGCAGTGTATAGCAATCAGGCTTAAGAAACACAAGCACTTGAAACAGGTTGCATTCCATACCACTGATGCACCCTTATCCCATATCATCCCTCATTACCTTATATTCCACACTGTGTAACATTCGGCATTCACTAACAAAACAGCTCTACTAAGTTGAACAGTCTCTGTCACTGGAAATTCAAATGAAAAAACATAGCTATGAATTAATCTGACTTGAGTGCTAAACCATAAAAAAATTTGAAATGCTTTTGAGAAAAAAAAAATAACAGATACCTGAAAGACTACAATCCTTCTCCCTTTCTCTACATCTCTTCAAGAGCATTTTATAGGCAAACAAGAAAAGAGGCCTCAAGCAACACGATTTAATACCGAGTTTATGGTTTACTAGAATAATGAAATCTTCTGTTTCCTTATTTTGCTTCCCACAGCAGTCAAAACAAGGTATCACATCGACTTCATCACTGAAAAACATAACAAGTACTTGTTTGAAAACCAAAATAAACTATTGTTAAAACATGACAACGCTCATATAACAAATATGTTTAAAATTCAAAATTGAGTTGATATTGATTGCCATAAAATTCCCTACAATTAAAACGGAGGAAGAAATTGGAAAATTGTCTAACTTTTAGGGACTTAATTTCAAAACATAGCTACTTATTTCTTGAATCTGCTGAGTAATAAGCCTACTCAGCAAAATTTGTGCAAATATTTTATCAGATTAATCTCACCAGTTTTCCTTAAAAACCAAAAGAAGGTAAAAAAAAGGACGTTTCGTGTTCTTTAATCAAAAACACGACCCTTGTACAATCGAATGAAATTTTAATTCCGTAACATGGAAGCACGAGAAAATTAGTCATGAAACGAAGAACTAAGGTTCTAAATCAAGATGTTGAGGTGCAGAGGATGATAAAAATAAAAAATTAACTAACTTACATTTCGGGGTCTGAAATAAACGCCTGATTTAGAAAGCAGAAGTACTTTTCACCAAGTTCAGTGCAACAGGTAGGCGCCATCTTTGTTTTCTTTAGACTAGTAACCACCCTTAGCTATGTAACCTGGCTTGTTAATGAAATCCAACATGGCGGACGGCTCACGCTTTCCGCCATCAAACTTTCCACCTCAAAATATTCGCATTCCAGCGCCATTCACCAATGAAATTTCTTCTTCATGCACAAATCGTCTGGGTCTACCTCAAAATCAATTTTTCCCACAATCGCATCCGTCTACAAGCAATTCAGTGCATGGACATGTTTCACAAAAACTACCAGCGAATCCGAGTCACAACATGGCCTACCACAATGTGCAGAGATTTCCAAAGCCTCCGTTCCAGCAAAATCACGGCACTCTGCGACAAGGAAAGCAACCAATGGCTGTGAATATGCCGGAGATGCAGCGACATCCCTTTGCGGCCGGCCAGTTTACCACCGACAAACAACGGCATGTACAAAATTCAAGCCCTAACTCTCATTATGAACCTTTCTCTGGCCATGGGCAAATACAACTTCATCCAAGAAGTTCTCAGACTAATATGAACAATAATATAGCGCATAATTCCTCATCTTTCTCTCCTGGAGCTCGGCAAATTTCAAACCTCAATCCATTACCAGCTGCAAGCAAAGTTTCAATGCTACATGAAAATTCTTCTTTCAATTCCTTTACTGAATCATTGCCAGGACCATTTCCACAGCCCATTTCTGGGTCACATGTGCTAGCACCTATCCAGTTTCCTCCATCAGTACCAAACAGCAACCCAGCAATGCACCTAACAGCACCTCCATCATTACCAAACAGAGTCCCTTCATTGCACTTGGCAGCACCTGTGCTTCCAGCCCATCAACCTCTTGACAGGGTCCAAGAATTCTCAAGCCAGGACAGAATAAATACATTTTTAAAAGAAAGAGGAATTAGTAAACAGGACAAACAACAGACAATAAAGAGTAACTTGAAGGTAAAGTACATATCTTCATCATTGCTGTGCCTGAAGGGTATTTATATTGTGGCTTAACCTGCATTTTTACCTTTACTTTTGTGTGCAATGAAAAAAGACAAAAGTCTACAATTAATAGTGTATAACTGAGTTGAAAACGTAAATTAGCCACTGTAAAGGGTAAAAAAGCTGATGTTTCAAGCATTAGCCCTTCGTCAGAGTGAACAATTTCTCCAATTGCTCTGACGAAGGGCTAACACTTGAAATGTCAACTTTTTTACCCTTTATGGTGGCAAATTTATGCTTTTAACTCAGTTGTTAAGGCTAAATTACCTGCTATACTCTCCCACCGATGCAGCACCACGGTTTCTTTAGAAACTTACCCCCTTTATTCAATTAATATGTTTGACCTACATGGCACAAGATAATTATATCTCCTTCCTTCTCTCACATCTCCTTTCCCTACCCCCCCCCCCCCTTTTGTCTATCTATGGTCTTACAAATAGGCATTTCAAAGTATTTCTGATTTTTAATTGATCCAAGTTAGACCATTTTGTGTTTTTTTCCAGAACATTCCAGTGACAATTCAGTTAGAGTAGCTTTTAGCTCTAATACAAATGCTGATTATTCAACAGTTACATACAGCAAAAGATCTGTTGGTAGAATGGTTGCAGCTGATATCTGAGTTGTCTCTTCAAAGGGACAAATTAGCTGAACTTGCCTTAAGTCAAAATGAACTTGAATGGGATCAGGAACTAGAGAAGGCTCAAGTCCTAAAGGTCAGTAAATGTTTATACCAGATCTATGCTCCTTTTCAAATGTTCAAACAAAACCAGTCCTACGAATATTGGAGACTTTTTCACACTTTACACTTTTTAAACACCTCTGTTTTTTTTTTTTCTTTTAGGCAAGGATTGAGCAAATCCAAGCTTACTTTTCATCTCCCAAAGAAATGAAAAAGCTGGAGGAACAAGTTCTGAAAAGGAAAAAGAAAAGGGTGAGTTCTGGGAATTTTTTTGCATGATATCACATGAGCAGGTTTTATAGCAAATGTAGTGCTAACAACAAAATGATTGAACTGTTTACAACAGATTAATGGTCAGGATTGACTAGCAGTTGGTGTTTGGCTTTCATTTGTAATTATAGTTGTACTATTATTTCATACTTGATAATTGATTTTTTTTAGGTATTAATTAGTGAAATAGTGATTGATTAACCCTTTCACCCTCAGATCTCTTTATTAATTCTCTTTACTGTCTTTCATACTATTCTTATGCTGTTCATGCTGAGAATTTGGTATTGGATGAACTTATAATCCCCTAATTTAAATTTTTCTCTTTTGACATGATCACTTTTCTGCTCAGTATTATAAGGAGAAAGTCTGTCATGGTCAATCACAGGAGTTAAAAGGTTAAGTAGTCTTTAATTTTTTTGTTAAAATGATTTGGTTGAAAGACTTTAATTTTATGTTTCTTAAGGAATGGCAAAGAAGGAAAAGAGAAGAAGGATATTTACAAAAGAAGGAATCAGAAGAGAGAAAAAATAAGCTCCATAAGAAAATTGATGAGTGGAGGTCGCAGATTATAGCAAAGGATGAAGCAAAGAGAAGGGTAATTTTAGTTTCAGTTAGGTCTTAAGCCCCACTTACACTACTCTGGTCAGGGCTTTAAAAATACAAGCAATCTATTGCCTCCTCTAACACCTCTTACCGCTGTCTGTTTAGCCTATGAGCACATGCCCAGATTGCTGAAAGTTTCTTTTCCTTGTTTTGAGATTTTATTTCTTTTCTTGGGAGAGCATGCTTCAGAGGCCAAGAACTTCCCATCCCCCCTCTATGGCACAGTGATCTATGACACCATTGGTAGCCTCTCATGGGAAAGTTATTGAAACCTCTGTCTGGGTAAAATTTGAAATCAAATTTTATTCCTATGGCTTCATTTATCTTCCACTTCAATCAGGGTGAGTTGTTTGGTGGAAAGTGAGTTTTGTGAAAACGTACAGCACAGAGGTTAAATTTTATAGGACCACTTTTGAGGTTTTCATGTAGAACTTTAGTTTTTTTTAGTGGGGTCAGTTGTTTACAATTTCCTAATTTTTTTTGTTGTTGTATGTAAACAGGCTGAATCAATGAAGCATGAAGCTGGAGGAGTATTAGGAGAGGTGAAACGGAAACAAACTGAAGCAACCAAAGCTGTTGATCTTTTGAGAGCTTTGAGAAAACTTAGAGAAGCTAGAAAACAAGAGGCTGAAGTCAAAGGTACCCAAGCTTTAAAAACATTCACTTAATTTTTCATCGAAAAAAAATGAAACTGTAGTAACACCTTTTCTTGTCAACAAGGTACAAAAATTTTGTGATTGGATGAATTTAACAACTTCTACCTGATAAATTTGAGTATTTTATTTATTTATTTATTACAATCTATGGTCAAAAAGGCCAAAGGATTATCTGCAAAGGAGTTTGAAACCCCATATAAAAACAGATCACCTATGAACTAATATAAATACACTAAAGATAATAAATTCAAGAAATGCATTTATGGATATTTTAGGGAGAAGTTACATGTTTATCACTTTTGGGAGTTAAAGTGTCAATTTGTTTATTTTCTCGTTATTGTAGGGGTGTACCTCAAACCCACAGAGGAACAGAACAGAAGGTTTGACGAGAGAGTGAAGTGGCTTGAGGACGTCATGGTAAGAAGAAAAGAACTGTACGAAGCTGAAGAAAAGACTTTACAGGTCATGTTGGCTGAAGAGGAGGAGGAGAAGGAGAAGGAGCGACGAGAAATGCAAAGAAAAAAGCAAGGTACAGTCATCTGTATTCCTTCGCTTAAAGAAGACTGCAACACACTTTAGAACGCTTAGACTTGCGAATACGCATGCGTTTTCATTGTCTGTATACCAAATCAGATCAACCGTTGAAAAAGTATCTCAAAGATCCGCTGTAGCGCGGGGAAACGCGAGTGATGCACTTGCTGGTTGCCTCCGACTGGTTAACGTAAGTTTTCCTGAACAATCAAAAAGCACAGCAAACTGAAATGCTAATGCACGTAGCACACGTTGATGTACGTACTTTGAAAGAACTTCAAATTTGAGACACTAAAATTTTGGAGAAACTGCTAGAGCTCTACCAGCTGTAAGTGATCATGCTATCGCAGCTGAATTACATATTGATAAATTGTAACAGTAAGCTTCTTTCATTTTCATCACAGAATCTCTAGGTTTGTCTGATCCAATGGACTGGTTCCACAGCTACTACAGTCAAGCTGAGAGTGATCTTCAATCCTTACTACAAATAAGGTATGCAGTTTGACGAAGGGCTAACGCTCGAAACATCAGCTTTGGGAACTCTTTACGGTGACCAATTTACATTATCAACTTAGCTGATGAAAAAAAATTATCTCGTTACTCTCCCCCACCGACGCAGCACCAAAGTTTCTTTAAAAACTTATCTCCTTTATTATCCGGTAATCATTACGCCTTCGATCACTTTTCGAGAGGCACGGAGGCTTTCGTTAAGATCTAAGAAAGCGTCAAGGGTTAGGAATCATCATCTTCTGCTAAGGTTATCAAAACGTTGGTCATTACTATCAGCACTCGCAGTAGTCGTTGTTAGGACTACTCTCTCCTGAGAGATGATTCAACACGAATAAATATTACTCTTGGGTTCATTTGAACAATTCACCGAAATACTTGAAATATTTACATGCACGCGTTCGTAGAAGCGTAAATTTGAACTTGGTCCTGTTGTAATCTCAAAATACTCTGCTTTCCCAGGAAAATTGAAGTTGAACTTATCATCGGCTTTGTTCATTTCTCTTCCCTAGGCGGCAGTGGGATGCGTTCCTGGTACCCGAGATGTTCCCAGGGGCGTCTCGTATCCCCGACGGATGTGTAACCCCCACGGAACCTTCGTCTGAGTTGTGGGCTACAGCACTTATCGACAAGGGCTAGTTCATGTCTAGCCCTTCAAATTTAGCAATAAATTATAGAAATTCTATCTCTGTTAGGGCATTGTTACTTTATTTCTGCGTTTGCGTATAACTTATCAATAAATTTATTTTTTCATTTCTGTCGTTTTATGCTTAAAACTAAAGAAAAGCTTACTTTGAAATTATCCTATCTGAGATCTTGTAACATATTCGTTTCCCTCCTTACAACAGAAAATCAGTCTGGATTATCAGATGGCAAGTTAGTTCCACGGCTTTGTTCATTGTTCAGAAAAAAATAGTCTATATTGTCTCGAGTCGAGGTTAAAGGCATTCTTTAGAATTTTTGTTTGTCTTCGAACAAACAGATTGCTTTGATGAAGTAGTAATTAAAAGAGTTAGCACACTCTAATGATATGATGATTTTTCTGCTAACATTACTATTTTGAAAACGATATGCATTAAAATTCTAACTATCTCGGGTACAACTTTTAAGAGGACTAATAAGAAAACATAGATTGTGTTTGGTACATTCGAAAACAATCAGTGGACATTTAATTAATGCAAAAGTTTCTGAATATTTTTGGAAAACTGAAAGGTATTCTTTTGAACGACTCATGCGAATGAATGGTTAATTTTTCGATATTTTACTCATATTTACATTAAAACCGTTGTTTTAATTTTGTGGTCGTCTACCCTCGATTTGTCGAAGTCTCCCAAGGAATTTTTTCGATCACGGAAAAAAGAATGAACTTGGTACATAATCTCAAAATTGTAATGTATCATTTGTATCAATTGGAATGTATCATTTGGTAATAAATTGCGAACTAAACTAGACTTGAATTAAACAGGTCATGTTTGTTTTTAAGAGTGAGCAGACCTTTGAATGGCACTTACCCAGAAAATGAAGATAATTTCTGAGTTGATAGAATTAGTATCATATTGCAAATAGATTATTTATCTGGCAACCGGTCAGGTGTAATCAGCCCTCACTGCGGCTCGCCAATGTCGTGCATGTTTAGAGTTTGCGCGTTTTGTATACATTGTCCCCAACAGAAACCAGTCGGAGCAGTCACTCCTTATTCTACTGCTTGGACATAGTATAAGGTCAAATGTATCGCAGCTTTCTAAGTCAACGGTGCTTCTCAAATCCTTCTTGAAAACACCCACAATTCTGAGAGAATCGTTTTCTTCCACAGTGACTTGCTTCACTTCGATATCCGATCCGTTTATGGAGTTTATAGTAACTGAGTTCGCTCGTCTTAGAGACAGCGCTTCGCGACCGAAAAACAGAGAACCCTCTCGGAGACTTCGTCTTCTCTCGTGAAACTCAACATTTGCCGTTAGATCTCGTTCATGTTGGACACTAGCTTTGTATGCATTCACCTCTCTTTGTAAAGTGACTAGCAAACAGTAGCTTCTTGTAAAGCCTCTCTCTTCCGAAGTGTAAAACTTTGGTGCTAAATGAACTCGAACAAGTCTGCCCAGAGGAAGAAGTGTGGGTTGTATTTCACTATCTCTCGATGTCGAGTTTTCCTCAGAGTCCGCTTGTCTCTCTTTTGAATCTGTCACCCCCATTTCTACATACCAATCGAAGTAATTTCGCAACCAATGTTCAACACTGTTAAGGGTCAGTTCCTTACGAATGATTCCGCTTTCGTCCAATTAAGAGAGCCACTCACCGATCAAATAATATTGTAATCTCCATCTCAATTGATTCACTTGAAGGATTTTTTGGCATCAGACTTGTCCCTTGCTGTTTCCTGACCTTCCCTCGTTAGATCTGAACCCAACGATCTTTCAAAGAGTTGTCAGGCTCTTAACATAAGCACATTAGAAACAAAGGCACGAGAACTACTTAACTTAAAAACTATTAAGTCCGCCCGGCCCCACGGCTGACATTATTGACACACTTAGCCAGAAACAAGGATACCGCTTATTTTTCGGAAGAAGGCCAGAAGTTAACGAATTGTTCAAGAAGGCCCTTGTTTAAAGGTTGCCGACCTACAAAGTTTACAAAATATAAAGTAAATAAATAGGGCGACCGAGCGGTGACTTATTTTAATTTTAAAGAATGCTATTGTGACGCAAGGTGTGAATAAACAATAATGAAATAATTATCAAAGAAAAAGAAACACTGCCGGGAAAGCTCCTAGATTTCGTAATGAAAAGTTTTTTAAAGGTAATACTATTTCCTTGGTCTTAAAATTTGAAGAAAACATAAAAAAGGAAAGGTAAAATTTTCTGAGTTAAGATTCTGTATCCAAGGTTACCACAACAGCAGCACGCAATGTGTATGGGCACATACTGTGGGACCATATATGAAGTGACTTCTGCACATAAAAAATGGCGGTTCCCGAATTGCGTGCAGCGGGCCTAATCGTTTTCCGACGGAGGAATTTTAAAGGCCCTTTTGAATATCTCCTTCTACAGACATCTTATGGACGACATCACTGGACACCTCCGAAGGGTCACGTCGACCCAGGAGAATCGGACATGCAGACGGCTCTACGTGAAACCGAGGAAGAATCAGGGTTGAAGGAAGCTAGTTTAAACGTGATGGAAAACATACAAAAAACTCTGAATTACGAGGTTCGGGGGAAACCCAAGACTGTCATTTACTGGCCTGCTGAAGTGAAAGATTATGATGTTGGAATAAAGCTCTCTGAAGAACATCAGGATTTTAAATGGTTGGCCATTGAAAAAGCGTGCGAATTGTTGCATGATACGACTGGGGAAGCTCTGCGTGTTGTGGACCAAGAAATACGAAATATGACGGACTTTTACATTGATACCTACTGAAAATGCATAGCTTCTTTACTGCTTAATTACAGCTCCTCTAAAAATTATGTGCGTAAATTCCACAATTTCACTTCTCAATCACTCAAAATGGAACTGTTTCCAAAGAGGGTAAACAATGTTATTAACTGAATTGGTTCGAAAATGCAGGGAAGCTTTATTTGAAGATACATTGCCAAAATATCCTTAAGTCAAGACTGAAATTAATTTCTTTTGAGGTACAATAATTTATTTTTAAGACTTCACTATTCACAACTAAACATCAAGATAAACACTTAAAATGCATTTCTTTACTCTGAAAATGAAAATGTTCACAGGATGTCACTGTTTTAGGGAAAAGGCCAATTAGGGCCTTAGTCAATGAGCCTGTTATTTTGAAGTTTGCTCAGGTGTCCTATGCTCAACTTTGATTGGTCAGTGTGTAGACTATTGACCACTGAAAGTGTTCACAGTTTTCTGAGATTCAAAGTAACTAAAATTGTAATAAAACATTACAGTATCACTAAATGTAATTTTCAAACAGTGATTTTTCTCCAATCCTGCTCTTATTGCTTTCAATCCGGCAGTCATTCAGTAAGACAAGTTGACACCTTCTCTCTTAGGTCTTCAATAGAAGCAACCTTCCTCTTAAGAATTTCATTCAGCTGAGTTGCATAGTCTTTAAAATTCTACGTTAAAAAGGAAAAGATTTTTAAAAGATTGTAGTCCCTCATTTTGGTGAAGTACAATAATTGTTAACTCCTACTGTTTGTCCCATTAGTTATCAAGTTGTATGTTGATTGCAGAGCTGCTAATCTCTTCCAGCTGAAAACCTTGACAGGTTATGCATCCCCTTAAAATACACAATGCTCCCCCATAAAAAGAGGTGATTCACACAGGACTGAAATAGTCATCAGGGATGATGCCCATACCCACAATTAGCTGATTGCCCAGGGAACATTGGTTGACAACCAAACAATAACAATGGAACATAATGCAGCATGACGTGACATGTAACCAGCCAACCTTATTTCCCGACAAATATTAGCAAATGTGGTTGTCACATCATGATTTAAATCCGTACATCTGAGGTGAATACAACATGAGACAGACTTGCCACAGCATTTCAAATGTATGTGGAAGCAAACTGAGTATGAAAGTGCGCTAAACAGGAGCTCTTTTTTATACTCAAAAGATACTTCACAAAAATATTTATTAAAGTATTGGCATAAAATTTAGATACCTTTGTTCCACTGTTAATTTGTTGTAAAAGCACCATTTCTTCATGGCACAGCCTAGTAACCATGGCAAGTTGTGTGTGATGAGATGCTACTAACTGTTCTTGATCAAGGCTCAAACAAAATCCATTTTGTCTGACCTCAACCCTAAAAAAAGTAAACATTAGGATACGGAATAAACTTCATGCTTTTGACTTCTCTTAACTAGTAAATAAGTTAGAAGTAGTCAAAGATTGATAAAGCATGTTTGATTAATGTGTCTTAAATACTTTTATTGAATTGGTTTGTTCATGTGCAAGTCAGTCAGCAAGTCTATCACTCTATCACTTAGCCAAAATCTGTCAGTGAGTGACATTACCAGACTTAAGACCAGTCAGCATGTCAGTCAGTGAGTCAGTCCTTCAGTCAGCCAGTCAGTTGGTCTGTCACAAGGTGTAGCCAGACAGAGAGCAATTAAGTCTGTCATGTGACCAACAAAGAAATCCTTCTGTAGTACTTTCAGTTGGTAAATATCAAGTTCTCGTTATCACAAACTGTAGCAGAATCTGCAACCCAATTTCATTTTTGGTGAAATTAATAAGCCCTGAAGCACTTAAATAAATGTGAACAAATAATCCTTTTAATATGTAATCTGGAAAATTACATTCTCATGCACATTAAATTTACTAAAAAGTCTTGATAGTCATGAGTACCTTGAATCATTGTCATTGATTTCCAGAGGCAGGTAAGGAGCATTTCCTTGGACCTGTTTTTTCTGAGGTTCAATTATTTTGCCTTCATCACTACATACATTCTCCTTACTAAAGAGCTTTGCAAGTCTGATTTTGATTCCACTGCTATAGCGATCATTTCTGAAAGGTGGGGAAGACTCTTTTTCTTGAATGTTAGCATCAAATGATCTGACAGTGGTTTCACCCTTTCCAACACTCTGTCTACCAGAGGGAGATGACCAAGCTTCCTCTGTGTTATCAAATCCCAGTCTTGACTCTTTTACAACCAGTATGTCTGGTATGTTCTGTTCTTTATCTCTTTCCATACCAACATCTTCAAGTTTTTCTTCAGAGATTTCTTTCAAGCAGTTAGACCTGATCTGTGTGTCACTGCAAGACTTTCCTTTTGAACTTGAGGCTCTTGACTTGGCTCTTGACAGATGTGGTCTGATTTTTGCTGATTGATCCTTCACTGTGGCTCTTTCTGGAGAAGTATGTGGCCGCAGCACGGGAGATGGTTCATTCCTCACAAGCCTCTCCTTGGCAGTTGCAGCCATGCCATGTCCACTGGCAATTTTTCTGTGGTTCACTCTCACCACTGAATCTTTAGTTCTAGGGGATGGTGTTGATGTAGATGAAGTCTTTGGCCGTAAAATGTCAATTTGTTTAAATTCTGCTGCTCTAAGCTTTCTTGGGGAGCCTTGGGCTAAAGTATCACCTCTTTTTGCAGGCTGAAGACAAGCAAATACACATTGCAATATCTTTCAAGACATTTACCATTGAGGAAAATGCTAAAAAAGAGCATGCTAAAAAAGCTAAAAAACCTGAAATGAAATTATTAAGATGGATAAAACAGTAAGGAGTATTAAAGGACAGTTTCCACAAAGCGTTTTATTGCAAATTATGACCAAAGAATATTAACTGAATTGACTGCAAAAACATGGAGATTGTTGTGATAGTCGGTATATTTAAATTTCAAATATACCACCTGTATCAATGACACTGACATACCTGAGGTTCAACATCCATTTTGGGTAACCTTTCACTTGTCCCATTGGAAGACATTATCCTGTCTGTCCCAGTAGAAGTTGTAAGCACAGTCTGAGGGCGAATGTTGAAAGAACCATGTGTGTCCTTTTTTAATTCCTTCACCCTGAACAAACAAATCATGTAGATAATTATTTGACAAATTTAATTATCTTTTCCTTGTACAGATCTAATGAAATATTGTACATCTATTAAGAAACTGCATAGTTCGACCACATTTATTCCTGCAACAAGGAACTTAAAAGAGTTATTATTTTAATTTTTTTTTATTTAATTTTTTTTCTTCCAGCAATTTGGAACATTAAACAAACAAATTTATCAACTGAGGGAAATAACCAGTCTTACCTGTCAGCATATCTGAGAGTATTAAGGGTGTTCTCACTACAGGACTTGGTGGGTGAAATATTGGCAATCATACATGTTTGGCAGTTTCCAACAAATGAATCCTTCAAAACCTTTCAATTTGTAAAAATTTCATAATAAATAATAATATTCACTGTAAACACTTTAAGATACATCTTGGAAGTTTAAAGGAATTTCCTTATCCAAGTAATTATTTTTTCATTTATTTCTCTCATTGACACTAAAATTATACAGTGGTCAGGGAGCCTGAAAATTAAACTAGAGAGCTAATTGTGATATTTTGGCCACCCATCTACAATCACAAGAAAATGTAACTGTACATGTGGAAATCATAGATTGCAAATGTAAGAAATATTTAAGATCTAGATATTACACAATTCAAGGTTACAACTACAGTTAAGATTAAGGAAATCAATACAATTGTGCAGAAAAAAAATCCAAACCACAAGTTGATTTAAGAGAGCAACAGTTCTCTTAAATGAATCAGAACAAGCAATCATGTGACACCAATTCTCAAATGAAATTAAAGGGAGCAGCCAAGATACAGTGCTAATTAAAAGCAGCACAGAAAACTAATGAGTATACCACTAGATTGATTAGTAGATTTAATTAGTAAAATATAATTCAATAGTATCCTCAGACTTGAATATAAACTTTAAGATAGCATTAAAGATTCAGAGAAAATTGGGCTTGTTGGACCAAATATCAAAATAAAGTAGTTTCTTTCTTAAGGCTGCCATCAATGTTTCATCAGTCTTGGTACTGTTTATAAGATGTCCAACATTGTGAAAAAGCTAACTCAAATGCTTCGGGTAGTCAGTTTGATTGGATCGATACGCCTCCCAAAGTTACAGTTTAAATCAAACATCTTCCCAGTTTATACATACCCGTGTAAGCTTGCTTTGGCGAAATGGTGTGTGTTTAGAGTCCAGGTCAAGTGCTCGTATGCATTCCTTCAACTAAGCAAAATAGAATATTGCTATGGTAATAAGGAGATTTGATTCAATATTTTTAAATTTACCTTTAGGTAAAAAAAAACATTTATTTACACAGGAAGTATTGCATTAGTATGTGGTGAAAAAGTCACATACTTAAGGTTGCATGCACATTAAATTGCAGACATGTTTTATTGAAAATAGTACATCATTGCAGACTGTAGGAGAATTTTTTTGTGATACTATCCCTGAAAAAAACTTAGAGAACTTCTGATTGTTGCTGCATGGTGAAAAGCCTGACATTTGATTCACAAGTGTCTGAAATAGGTGAAAAGTAAATGGTGTTACCCTCTTCCAAACATTTAACAACTACACTTTCAAACTATCAAACCAATATAGCCTTTAACATACGGCTAGGAGGCTCTGGTTAATTTCAGCTCCTTCTACACGAGTCTGTTTGTCTGTGTCAGTCACATCTGCAGCACGTTCACTTCCAGCCAAATCAATGAATGAAAATCTGTGAATCAAAATTTAAAAATTCATATAAATTATAACTGAACCTTTCAAAAGAGCTTCTCTCAGATTTATAATGTGGTACACTATGCAAATTTTCCTGGCTTGTTCTTTTGAATTGAAAACCATGTTTCTGACTTATTTCCAAAGAAGTAAACTTAGTAAAATACACTAACATTTTACTTCTAAAAACTTGAGTTGCAAAACAATCATTTTAACCTTTACCTAGTATTTACCTAGTAATAAAAAGTATTAATTCAGATGACCAAAAACAAATCATAACATTTACCTTCCAATGAGTTCTTGAGTATCTATGGCCTTTACCTCTAGTTGCAGGATTGCATGGGAACGTGATGAGTCAGCATTCACACCTGTAGCACCAGTGCTCCTGATACTTCCACCATATTCTATCACCTGTTGGTGACAAAAGACAGATCAGATGCAAGCCATAAAATACAGATCTATGTTTTAAGGATAAAAGAGCAGTTACTGTAGAAACTTCATGTAGTTCAAAATATAAAAATTTAAGACAAGAAAGCTTGACAGACTAGTTTAACATTACTGAGGAACATCATATTAGCAGAAGGGCTTAGAGCTTGGCAAAGTCAACCAGAAACATCCTTGTAACTATTCCCTTGAGCATTTCATAGGAAGAGATAACCACATCTTGAAGGAATATAGATTCTGCCATACAATTTTGAGAGCTTGTAATGGAAGGCTGGTTGGTCAAAGGGACTATTCACTGGGACTTTTCTCCTTCTGAACGCCTGCCCACATATATATGAATACCTCCATGAGTTCCTCTACATTGTGAACACGCTGCTGTGTTAATCCAGTGATGCAAACCTGATGGTTACTATCCTCTCTGGCAAATAACCTGTGATAGAAAGATGAACAAGTACATTTGAGACTGCAATTCAGAATTCACAGACAGAGTGCAAGCAGGAATGGGGTAGTGGTTGGCATACTTTCTCATCTAACATTTTGGTTTGGGCTTGATTCTCAGACACTACAAGCTTAGTTTGTTACTAAATCTTGTTCTTCTACCTTACCCTCTTTTCCTCCTTCCACAAAAACATTCCGATTCAAATTCACTCAGGAATCAAGTTGACAAACAGCCACTACATGCTTACACCACTGTTAATTTCTCCTTAATTGTTCATATCCAATAATATTCACTTCTTGCAGGCCAAGATCCTGCCAGTGATTCCATTGAAGTCACTGCCTTGAATTGTTTAATCAGTGTGGAGTACTTGCTATACCATTACATATTGTTAAAAATGGTTTATCTTTGAATCTTTAGCTAAAATTAGATTTACCTTGATCTCTCATTCAGAAGGTCAAACAACTGACCACAGTAAATCTCATAGAAGCTGATCCACAGACCCATTCCATTGCCATATGTTCCATTATGCAAGATGGAAAAGATTTCACTGGCTGCCAGCACATAGATTCCTTGTACCTCATTATTCCCAAGCATTGTATATGTCTTTCCACTCCCAGTGCAGCCATATGCAAAGCATGTGGCCTTGCCCCTAGTAAACAACAATTATTCAAAAAATAAACCCTTTACACCATCAGTATAAAACCTATTCACACTCTTCTCTATACATTTCCTTTAATACTGACAAGGAGAATTTGTTTAACAATCAAAGTTTCTTAAGTTGGCAATCATTTCCTTTATTCTCATGATCTTATTTAATGATTCAACAGTGTTACTGTAAGGATTAGATGCTGGTTAATTTAATCCCATGTTTTAAAGGGTTAAGGTGTTTTTTTTTCACTGAGTCTAATGGTCCATCTACATCATAATGCAAAAAACTTTAAATACCTGTTGAAAACTGTCTTGATAAGTGGTTTTGCAGTTCTCTCATAAACATCTTTGTTACTGCAACCTTCACCAAAGGCTTCATCAAACACAAACTGATACTATGAATTAATAAAAGACTTATCAAATACAGATTTCCTAGTCCAGAAATTGTGTACTTGGCATACATTATGACAAGCAAGAAATATTTATTATCAGAAATCACAAACCTTTTGAGTATATTTTGTTAAATCCACAGCAACTTTAGGAGCACTCAGTTCAACTGTATTACTTGAAATAACTGTAACAACATCGTCCTCACTGCTTTCCAATTCATCTTGGCTCAGAGGTCGTTTGCGAACACAGACTTGAATCCTAGATAAGCCATGTTCTGATGTTAAACGGTGCCGTTTGTTTGGAGACTGTTTAGGATTATAGCTAGGAACACCATAATTGTAAAATCCAGGTGTGTTCACGGCATGTTCTGCTGATCTGAGGTGAGAAGGAATAGTTAATAAAGAAAACCCAATTTTAACCTTTTACAACCAAACATCAATATCCACATTCTCCATACTCTTCTCTATATATTTCCTTTGGTACTGACAAGGAGAATTTGTTTAACAATCAAAGCTTTTAAGTAAAGTAAAGCCTTTATACAGGCCCAGGTGGCCCATGGGGCTGGTGCTTAATTCCGGTTTCCTTAGCATGAAGCAGCCAGGAGTATTGCTACTCTCTCCTGGATGGGATGCTAGTCCATTGCAGGGTTACCCCCAGCATATTTGCTGGTACCCATTTGTACACCTGGGTGAAGAGAAGCACTGTGAGAGTAAAGTGTCTTGCCAAAGAACACAACACAATGGCCCTGGCCAGGGCTCAAACCCAGACCACTCAATCCGGAGTTGAGCGCACTAACCATAAGGCCACCACACCTCCTCTTTTGATCTAGTGATCTTAATGAATGATTTAGCAGTACTGCTGTAAGGAGAAATAAGATGCTGGTCACTTTTAGGGTTTAACCCTTTAACTCACATGAGTGACCAAGACAGAATTTCTCCTTACAGTATTGATACAATTATCGTGCAGACATGTAATGAGAAAAAAGAAAAATATCTTCAATTAAGGGATTATTAATTGATCCAATACCAAATTCTTCAAACTAACATCACAAGAACTGTACGGTAGACAGTAAGGAGAATTACTAATGAGATCTTTGGAGTTAAAGGGTTAAAAGGTTTTAGCAGTTTATTGTAAAAAATTAAAGCACTATTATTATTATTATTATTATTATTATTATTATTTTTAGTTTTTGGACTGAGGAGAGATAAGATCAAATCTGATGATGAATATGGAAACATTACTTGACAATACCTGGGGAGAGAAGACAGCTTTGCAGTTTCTGAGGTCTTTGGCTCTGTTTTTGTTTTTATCTTGACAGCCACAGGACTCTTCTCTGTGGCTTCCCTTGGTCTTTTTGCACCTACTTTTTATCTATGATTATAATAATTAACAGAAATCACAGAAATGTTGTGGCTGGTAGAAGTTAATAGCTATAGCAAGTCACTTAATATTAGTGGGTTTTTTCTTCATTCATGCAAGTAAGTGATCAAGAGACACAGCTGCTAAATATGAGAGACACTAACCTGGCCCTGGTTGTTAAAACGGTAGATAATGCTCTCAAACGGATAAATTTCTATCCAGTGGTCAGCCAAAAACAGTTTACCAATATTTATCTATCTGTTGGATTGCATTATCCACCCATCAAAAAAGTGGGACCTGCTAGTTATACTGCTAGACTCAATAGACTGTTGAGGTGACCCAATGAAATGCAGGGGGTATCAAAAGTTGAACAACTGTGTTTCTTCTCAGAATACCTAAATGACTGATTCTTGTCAAGAGAATTTTGTCTCTGTGGGTAAAAATTAGTATTCTTCTGACAGGAATCAGACACATGAGTTTCTTCTCATAAGAGTTCTTAACCTTGGGGGAAGACCCAAAGTTCTTTCCTTAGAACCAGATTTCCTCTCCTCAGAATTATAATTCTCCTCTAGGGATGAAGACATGAACTGATAAATTCTTCTATGAAGAGATATGAATCTTTCAGAAAGAATTAAACTTCTATTCTAAAGAACTGAACTTAAGAGTGCTGTGAGGAAAACAGTCTAAATCTTTGCCACAAGTTAATTCTACATGGGTCCAAGATCTGGCCTAGGGGAGAGGAGGTACTTGGGTCAATATTTGCCATGTATGTGCCGCTGGCCTCTCCGAACCTCTACCCCATTAAAGTCCATTCTGTGGCCAATTATAGACCTCATCTTAGCCAGTATCATTTTTGTAAGACTGAGTCACTTTCATTTTATCCATATACCTTAAAAGCCTTTTAATTATATAATCCTAAAAGAAATGTTAAGAACAATTTGCTATTCACCATATACCCTGAAAGTCCTGAAAACGTGTGATGGCATTCTAATAACTGTATTAAAAATAAAACCCCATTGTACTCAATCCAGTCGTGAAAATGGAACCCCATTCCATGTCACATCCCTGTTAGCTTATTGCTAGGAAGTATCCCCCCCCCCCTCCAAGTCTCTTTAAAACATGCATTAAGTATTTTGATTTTCTCCCAGCATGGCCAAGCTACAAGGATTGTCCCCTAATACTTCAAATACCTTTTTCCTTCATTGCGGCTCCATCAAGCGGTAGCAAGCCATCTTTTCTCCCTCTACTGCGCAGTTGTCTCTCATTTGGTTGCGGTTGCGGTTGTGGTTGCAATGTCTTCATTGATTGTATCAAGTAAAACAGATTCTGACGGTCCGCCATGGACGAAATACCCAAAGATGGATAATCTTGCATTGTAAGGGAAAGCATCCCACCAACATCAACAATACCACGCTGTAAAAATTTACCATGATACTTCTGTAAAGAGACTTGTTGAAGACACTCATAAAGGCTCAAGCTACTAGTCATAGTGCTCGTAAATTTGATTTTGCAACTGAAGTTTGCACGTTCCGATCTGCCTGGTCGATTTTTTCACCATTCTTAATCAAATTTACAAATTATTTTCTCCAACATTCACTAACTACGTGGTTAGCAAATTAAAGAAGAGCTAGGGGCACCAACGACTAAATTACATTTTTGCCTCCAATTAATAGTTAGTTTCCAGGTAAACACACTTTTCGCGCGCACCTGCAACTAGGACGGCCATTTTGTTTTTATTGTAAAGACGCTGACCAGCAATGACGGTCGGCATTTTGGAATGGAGTTCGGCGAAAAATTAGCCGTTAGGCGAAGATTTTAACCGTAAGTCATAGCAAAGTTAACTGTAAAAATATTTATTTTATCAACAGTCGTAAAAGGAATCAACCGTTAGCCGTAAAAGCCGTCGCCCCATTGGGAGGGACTAATCATTGAAAATCGGGAATAATCGTCCAAAATTAAAAAAACACCAGAAAGTAAAAGATACTGTCTAGAAGCAGACGGTACAATCCCACCGGACACAAGTGTCCCTAATCAGACAAAAGTGTAAAAAATCCGTCATAGGTGTCCTAAATCTTTTCGAAGGCAAATGTTCGAAAGCGGGCCAAAGTGGTACTGTACCGGCAAAAACAGAAGACAACCCGTTGGTTTCTCACCACCCCCACCGCCTCCCCCCCTCACTCCACTTTATGACTCATCATTAATGTCTTTAATCGGACAGTAGTGTCTAAAATCGGACACAAGTGTCTAAATTCGGACAGTACTGTCTAAAATTGGACATATGCGTCTATAATAGACCACTGGCGTCTGAAATTGGACACTTGTGTCCAAAACGAACACGTGCTGCATTTGGATCATTTACTGCAACCGTGGTTGTCGTGGTAGTTATGGACGCTTTCCATGAAGTGATCCGCTGGCTGCTAAAGAGAGATGACATCCGTTACGGTACTCATTGAATAAAAAAAATCGTTTTTTTTATTACATTCATTGTATCAAGCGTGAGGACATCAGTAGTTGAACTGAACTACACTATTAAAATATATTTACACTGGATATAACTACTGAATTTTTCTTTTGCTTGGCCAACCAAGTCATGCAAAAAAATCCACACAAAATTTACGTAAGAACCGAGTTACATTAACTTACACAAGCAAGAGCAAACGGTTCGCTTTACACATAAATGCCTAAAGCTGAAACTGTTTTTAAGTCTTCTTATGACCAACAAGCTTTTTTAAAACGCGGAAAATCCGCTTCTTTTTTCACTGTAGATATGATTTAACTCTTCTCTCTTTGGTGATTGTTTGGTCATCGGCAAAATTTAGGGATCAATTCTTTGCCGAGGGTTCTCTGACGAGACTCAACAATTTCTCCATTTTTGCCATTTCGTTTTCGGGACCCTTCGCTTTCTCCTGAAAAAAGAGAAAAGATTTCGTGTCAACTTCCATGCCAAAAGAGAGTTCTTAAGACCTTATGTTACGTTGCGTTACAGGATACAACGAGTGTTTTGCCAGCGTCTCTAACGAGTGAGAACGAGTAACAAAGGTGAAAGGAAAACGGTGTGCAAACGTGCTCTAGGTTATGGTTAATATCACATTATTTATAACTAGTAGATGCTTAGGCCACGACGATAAAGTCAAGTGTTGAAAACGTTTGCAGAGCTTGAAAACAGGTAAAAAGAATTGTCGTATAATATGAAAGGTTTGACGACCAACTTCTTCCCTGTCAAGGAAAGATGATCAAGGAAACTAATAAAAAAGGGAGAGAAATACCATCTACAATGTCCAATATATTGTGATAAGTGTTAGGGAGTCAAATACGATATGCGCAAAACAGAATAGGAACCACGAGGATAGGCAGAATAGGAAAAGAAAGAATAAGAAAACCAGCCGAGATGGCGGGAATTATTTATTTTAAAATATACCATGAGAAAGCGATATCTTTAAGCTGTTGAACTTTCCATATTGTAAACACATATCTTCTTGACAACTTTAACAACATGCCAATCATTCAAGCATCGCCGAGTGCCAAGGAAGCGAGGAAAAGGAAAAAAGGCCTTTTAACTGTTGGTCTAACAAAACAGAATTTGAGGTTAGGTCAAGTTTAAGAAAGGAAAGCTTAAGAAGAAAGGTATCATACGGGTATGAAGACAATCGGAGGCGGCGAGATTGGCTCGTCGTCCGAATCCGTAGCTTGAGTGAGTACAAGAATGGGTATTTCCTCCTTCAAAGAACGAATCAGCGACACAGTGAGTTAGTATGTTATTGGCCAGCGTGTAAACAACGTGTAACATCCATGAAGGCAAACGTTAGAGAGAAAAACATAATGAGTTAGTGCCCAGTCAGATGCAAAGTGCAAGACTCTTCACAGCTAAGTATGTATATCACTTGTTCAAAATATAACCCGTGGAAGAGTTGTCACTTTAGAAATTATTTTTTGCATGTTCATTACTAAAATTGCAAACATAGTTGCGTTGATCGCCTTTTCAATCACGGGGTTTCTTCGCTTTTTTTTTTTTTTAATCACTCGCCTACATTTTCGCGAGGAAAGTTTATATCGTCTGCCGGGGAAAACCATACTCCAATTCCCTCCCTCAGATCCCGACGAGATTGCGGCGAAATCCCGAGAGGGACACCGGCAAGATTCCTATGAATTCTAGATCGAAAAGGGAAGTCAAAGAATACTGGTACAATGAACTAAAATGAAATTTAAGTTAACTTTCGCTCAGTGAAAGTTGAGGAAGAAAAGAGGAGTAGGATATTGGGAAGAAAAGAGAGATAGGATATAGCGGCAAAGGACAAGCGACTGGTGGGGTGGGAGGTAAAAAGAGGAGGGAGGGTCTGGGAGAAAAAGGACAGACGGGGAAGAGAACGGGGCAGAAAAAAATGGTGTGGAACGAGATGAAACCGAGGAATGGATAGGAGTATCAGGGATGAGTTTTAGAAGGAGGAGCAGGAGAGGAAGAAGAGCATGAGCACTGAAGGGGACGACAAGGTCAGATCGGTTATAGGTGCAATGGAGGCGATGTTATATAAATTTGTTCGAGAAACCCATGGGATGATAAAGACTTTTTCGGCTGCACTTGTCAAAAAATCAACTGCTGCACTTTTATCAGTAGACATACCTTGGGCTGCGTGGCTTTTCTGAGATTTGGTGACAGCTTCAACGATGTCACATACCCTCTGTGAAACGAAATAAAATGGAATCTACTTTAGACAAAGGTTGAAGAGCGAAGAATCAAGAAATTTACGATTGCTCTCAATCATTTTCGAAGATCGATAACAAGATCTTCGACAATCGTACAACCTTTCGGCAAAGAAGTTTTAAAGCCGTGCGAAAGGTTTGTTCATAGTAACTTTTTTCCGATTCAAAACAAGTAGATGAGAGTTGACGAGCTAAGACAAATTTCAATTACCTGTCATCTCCCACAATAAGCACGGGGTACTCCGGGTTAAAAGCCAAGTGAGTCAGCTTTGTTCTCTTCTTGTTAGCCACTGTAAACAGGAAAAAAAATGCAATTATTCCTTTTACTGCGTGAGAGAATCGAGGGCCTGTTGGCTGGCTGGGTTTAACTCCAGATCGAGCGGTCTGGGTACCAGCCCTACTCAGATCGTTGTGTTGTGTTCCCATCCCACCCTGCCCAGGACAAAAAAAGGTACTGGCGAACTGTCGGTAAAACCTTAAGGAAAAAAAAATAGAAAAGTCTGAGGGGGTGGGGAGAAAGGTAACCTGTGACAGAATTTCATCTCATCCTACAGAGCGGTTCATGGGCCGCTAGGCTTTTAAACTTCACTTGTCTCCCTTTACTTGAGTTCAAGGTGGTTCACAATAATGTTTTCTGGTTTGTCCGCACAATAAATTAAAGCGTCGTAGTTCACCGCCAGGTATTAAACCTACCTGATTGTTCGCTTAGAGGTTCATACTTGTTCACGTTCAGATCGTACACATAGACCTGAAACAATAATCATAACGTTCATCAGCTCTGAGAAATTTTCAGGAAAAACACGTGTCGAGTTCAAAACACATCTCCATTTTCAATTGGAGTGTCGAAACTGATGTGGGATCACTGTGGCTTTGCTTTGCTCCGTCAATGATGGGTCCAGAACTGTCTCGCATCAACCAATCACACGCAAAACGTAAGCTAATCATGAGTTCCCTAGCATGGGAGCGTTTACATGATTACACTCTCAGTTCTCATCGCAAAAGAGTGAGAGAGATATCGAGTTGATCACAAGAATAGAAACTCCACATCTACAAGCTACCATGTATAACTTTACTTATCATTTAAACATCCTTGGCCTTTATTAGCAGGAAAAGTCGACTTCATTCGCTCTGACGAAGGGCGAATGCTCAAAGCGGCAGCTTAGTAAATCTTAACGATGGCCATTTTACATTACCATCTTAGTTGATAAAACCAAATTATCTTGTTATACTTCTACACCGACTCAGCACCACAATTTCTTTAGAAACTTATCCCCTTTATTACTAAGGAATGAACCTGACAGAAGAGCGCGAAAGGCGAGTAACGTGTCAGCAGCTGATTAGCGCTATCAAACACACGTAAAAAAATTATCGTAATTTTACATTTGAGCAGTTACGGCTTTTCTAAGGGCTAAAAATCCTTGTGAAACACCGCAGTTTATCTACCAAAACAATGTAACACTGTATTGTGTCTTACCCGTCCATCAGTCGTACAGGCGGCAAACACTGTGGAAGCATAAGGCGCCCAGGCCACATCACCGACAGAGTTGTTCAGATCAAACGTAAACATGGGCTCTCTGCGTGAAGAAAACGAGAGATAAGTGATGAACTAACAATTGATAAGATGAAATCAGATGTATGACTAAGACGATGTGTCATAGCTATAGATATTCTAGGGGCTGTCAATAACTTTCAGAGCGGTCAAGCTGTCGTGGACATCACGTTATTTCATCAGATCACAGGATAGAATGTTCATTTGAAACGTCCCTAGCATCCCATGAGGGTTCGTTCGAACCTAAAAATATATTCTGAACGAAGAATCACTTCAGAAATCCACACCCCAAGCCGTTTTGATTGATTGATTTTCAATATTCGTAGCTACATTTGCAGTTCTCAAAAATTTCCATCCCTTTTATAGGCTTTGTGAGCTTAAAACTTTTAGTAAAGACACTCCTATAGCTAAGACTTCTTACTGATAATGGTGATCCCAAATCTTCACAGTCCAGTCTGCACTACACGAGATAAAAATCTTTGGGTGGAAATGATTCCATTTGACAGAGTAAACTGCCATGTGATGTGCCTACAGAAAGAAAGAGAGTCGAGTGATAAGAAAAGAGATTGGCGAGATAAGCTCATTAAAACTTTGGTAGACATTTTGACATGGACATGAAGAGACTGGAAGTCCTTGCGAAGGGTGGCACTGTGGGAGTCCTGTGTCATGTCCAAGAACACCACACAATGCCCCAGCCAGGTTCTCTCACAATGTAGCGCGCTAAACGGAAGCTTCCGCGTCTCTCACGATTTCTAGTGTAGTAAATTTATTTTATTAATTTAAGAACCGATATTGTTATATAAAGTTTGTAACGATCTGACTTCCCATAAATGTAAAGATTCTGATGGAATCAATTCAAGTTAGAGTGAATAAATGCTATTCCCAGCGTGCGAATAAACGAAAAAAGTAAAAACAACTACAACCTCAAGCCATGATGCTGGCAAAAGAGTTGAAAATTGAAGGAAGATACGTACATCATAAGTCTCGAGGAACTGGCTTGAATAAGTTTTGGAGCACTTGTGTATCTTTCCTTCCTCTGTGCCTGATCATTAAAAAGAAGAAAAAGTGTTAAAAAAAAGTTTACGATTGGGGCACTTTTTGATCAACGTAAAACCAAATTAACCACCAAGGTCATTCAGAACAAAAGAAACTATCACAATCAGTCGATGAGAACTCAAAACAAAAACCAGCAAAGTAACCAAGTCACGATTGGTCACAGTTTTGTTCTAACTCGAGTGCTTTTCGATTGAGTGACGTAAAACAAAACCAAAGTAATCACAGCGGCCAATCAGAGGACAGGAAAATACCTTGGAGAGCCAATGAGAAATCAGAGTCAAAACAACCAAACTGCCTCAAGCGCGGGAAAATGCAGGCGACCAAGTCGTGATTGGTTTGACTGAGTTTTGCATCTGATTGGTTGGAAGAGTGGCGCGAGTTTTCTGTACCAATCACATGGCGCAGTAAACCAAACCCAATGCAATCTCGGATTTATTTCGATACAATTGAAAATTGCTCTACTTAACTCAACTACGCAAGTTCACTAGACAAATCACAGAGCAACATGAAGCAAAAGTACTGCAGTACTTTAGATATTCAATAAAAAAAATTGCTCTATTACGAGTTGACGACATCTTAGAGAAAAGATGTTTGCTGTGGTAACATTCCACTTACCAACTAGAAACATATAATCCATTGTTTTATGAAAATCAAATGCCGTTCCACAACCTGTAGATCAAAGAAGTGGGAACATTAGACAATTCAGAGAGGATAACGGGAAGTCAATTTCCTTCGATTTTGATTGTTCTAAGTAAACGTTTTCAATTATTTGTTAAAGAAATAAAAAACGCGCCGAGTGCATTGTTGAGTTATATAAGCACGCGGGAATTTTTAAGATCAACAGGGAAGTGCGGAGAGGCACGAGCCGAATGCTTGAGGAACAGGTTTTTTTATTTCTTTTATAAAATTTATCGTGAATTGCGTGCGCTCGTACCGATGACGTAGGCTGTGTGCATTATATCTCAACAGTGCACTGTGACGTAAGGCGCGTGCTTTATGGAAATATGATGAACTCGTCCTGGCCAATCATGGCGCGCGCATTTCTCTGAACATTTTACAATTCTCAATAAAATAAGATAGTTTGTCTGATGTCAAGGTACTCGTACAGAGATTAAATGACTTCGGTTTGGAAGCAAGTGGGAAAGTAGGGAATGAAGAGACCAACTGGGATCAGAGTAGATGGTTCGGGTCAGTGGGGTCCCGGGTATGTGCTGCAAAATAGCAAACTAAAATATACCTAAACTTGGTAGCTGTGTGTTGTCTCCTTCTCCTTCAGGAGTGTTTCCCTGCTTCAGAGTGATAATGTCAGTGTGCCTCAGTTCACTCTAAACAACAAAACACAACAAATATTTGTCAGTGTGACAAAGATATAAAAAGTATTCGAGAGGATTATCTTTAATTCCTGTTAAAACAGAATACTAAATGTTTTGGTACATACCACAAAAGCTGAATCAACTTTAGCACAACAGGTAAAAATAACGAGACTACAAGCTATTTTGCTTCTCTTTGAGCTAGTGTACTAAGTTTACCTTTACGATCGTCCATTGTGTTATTCTGCCATCAGAGGATACGGAGAAGAAGTTCATGTTGTTGTCCAAATCGTCTTTTTGCCATTTTACCTTAAATGAAAGACAAGCAAAACGAAAACAAACATCAGAAAAATGGCACACGTCAGGAAGAAATTCTCCTCCTTCATTCCCTTGTCAGATTCGTTTATATTTCGTCATCCTCACCTGCCAAACAGGGTCCGTATGTTTGCCCGTCTTCGCTGTTGATCTGTACATCAGCTCGATCTTATTTGTTTGTTGAACGACAGTGTACACACCAACACTACCTGGATATAAAAGAGTGACAACGTACTTAGATTTTAGTGTTTTCCACAGAGAAACAAGTTTATACTAAATAATATAACTTGATTTGCATTTGATGGCCTCTGACAAGGTTGCTCATCAACTCCTACTGAAAGATTTTCGATTTAAAATACGTTACCTCCTAATGCAACTAAATTTGCACCAAGAATTAAAAAGCCAAAATTTTTCTTATATGCCGAGTATGTTTCCCTTCTCCTTATGTACATGTTTTCCCGCGATTCCCCTGATTGTACGTTACTCGTATTTGACGGAAATATTCAAACCATTGCTGAACTAAACCTTGCAAATACTATTGTTTGTTCCAAAATCTTGCCTAACTGTAGCTTTTACTGTCAAATATTAAATTGAAATGAAAATACCAGGAAGTGTACCTTCACTGAATGGGATGTTGCTTACCGTCGTAAAAACCAACTGCGATGTAATTCGGATGCTCAGGATGAAAATCAAGGCACATCACCCCACTTTCTGTCTCACATATGTATCTGACAAACACAAGGTAATGCATTAGCCATAACAGCGGAAGGAAAAACGAACGTCGAAACGCACCGAGGCATAATCACTTTACAGAAACTTAACAGTGCCATGGTCCAAACTCTAGTACCACCAGTTAACAGCGACTCATCTCTGTATAGTTTTATTGTTTATTCATTATCTTCTTTATTATCATTTTTTCATAATCTAGCAGTGAAGAGGGTTAGCCTTTGCTAAGATGAACACTCACTCTGGAAATGAAGGGTTCTTCAATGTGTACATGGCGACCATTCCGTTACTTTGCTTTAAAAAGTCATCTGGAATGAAGACATGAAACCCAAACGTAAGTAATTAAGGTTAAGTACACGAAATGTCAACAGGTATTTCTTTGTGCTTTTATTCGAACTCTCTGAACATGTCATACACAAAGCCTACAATTTCCTTTTTGATACATCAATATCATCCACATATTTCTCGACGGACCTACTTTCAATTGTACTTTGTGAGTCTCTCTCAATTTTAAAGAAAATTTCCATGGCAACTGAACTTTCTCTCGATATTATCACGTTACTTAGCCTATTTACTCTTCTAAACTGAAGTTCATCCATTTCATGTCGATAAATTTTACGAAAAAAAATCGACGTCATTTTCGAAAATGCCACGCTCTCATTACATCATGAAGTCACGATGTTCCAACGTCAGGATATTACGATGTTTCGATGTTATGATGTCATTAAGGCACAATATCATTAGGGCACGATGTTATGTCATGATGACATGGTGTCAAAATGTCACGTATCGACGTCAAAATAAATGTTACTCACACGATCCGTGTCCCACTCCAAACAAGTCGTGATACTTAGGACTCCTACAGTGAAGAAAACATCCACATTCAGAAGCTAACTACAACTGTAATCTAAAAAGATATATACATTCTGCCTCACTTTCAACAACTGAAAGGGATACAATGATCAGGAGAAGCAGACAAACCAGCAAAGTGAGGTGACGGCCATTCTCTTTGATTTCTCAAACGAAAATTTCCACAGCGGCAACAGTGTCCCCTCCTGGTCCTTAAACTCATCGGCGGCGTCTTCCCAGTATTTGAAATCTGATGGCAAAAAATTGAAAGCGATGATATTTTCAAACAGCACTACATAGAATGTAAGACATCAAAATTTTGTACGAACTCCGCACTAGATAAATGAATGCTTAACTTCAAAATCCGAGTGATGAATGGTACGTTCTGAGACTAACAAAGGTAGAAGGAACACCATTTGCATGGTTTGAAAAATAAGTCAGAATGGGAATAATGGTAAAGGAGAGAACTCTGAAAGTTCAAAACTACAACAATACAAGGTAATTTATAGGCAGCTATAACAGGTTCAAAGTCTGAGGACTACGTTATCCCAACAGAATAGCCTGGATTCAGATATCATCGGCATCCAGCACCTTGTAATAACACGCTCTCAACTGCAAGGGTCAGCTACACACTTGAGGTTATCTCTTAGCGCGCTCTACTTTTTGATTTACGCAATCTGTATCGCGAAAGCCGCGCAAATGAAAATCACAACCGCCATTCCGAAAACGCCTTCGACGACATTATGAATTATGAGTGACGTGAATTGTTAAGTAAAAGATTCGTCTAACCTTGTGCAATTTCATCATATGTGTTCTGGTTTATCATTCTCTCCACTATCTTGCACGGTTTGGAAATCCTTGAAATATCATCACCCTGAATATAAAAATAAAGTCTGTGCATTAGTTATAAGGTGGACATCCAGTCCCACTTCTTGGATCAAATGAACCACTTGGTTAATTAAGTTACGTGGAAGAGGTTTTTAGGCTAAGATACAGATCTAGAGGTCAGATCCCGAGCGCTCAGACACTATGCTGGAAGGATTACATACAGGTGCCACCTAACTTTCAATGGAACCTCACCAGAGGCTAGCAGAGGGTAAAATGGTCTGCACTGTTTAATTTGGATAAAACTGGAACCACGACTCAAAGAGCTGGAGCGCGACGCTTGTGAAACTTAGGTTAACTTTCCGCAAAGATGATCATTTGCAGTACAAGCTAACTAACCTGCACTTCAACTTGCATGAGCTTTTTCTTTTTGTCATCGTCTTTCTTGAAGGTTTGGGTCTTTCTGCTTTCCTTTTCTTTCATTTTTTCCTGAAATACGATTATTTCAAATTACGATAAAGCTTCCTCAAGAGTCATCATCTGTGAGGTCGTCTAATGTATTTGAGCAATAGACGACGGAGTAACACAGGCTTTGGTTGAAACGTGGGCTTCTACAATGTGGAAATGTGAATATTTCATATTTCATATTTGCCTATCACTTATGACATAACAGAACTGACGTTGTTCATTCATTCATCTCTTTATCTGTTCATTTATTTATCATTTGTTCATTTATTCACTCACTATTATTATTATCATTATTATTATTACTATAAGTTTAAACATACAGACTCCTTCTCTCGCGTGCTACTCGCAATTCGCTTACTTTTCCATTAAAAATATGTTGAAGAAATTTGAAAATGAAACTAAAATAACTATTAGTTTCAGATTCTCACCTGTCTTTGCAAATCCTCAACGTATGCATCATAAATTTCCCACTGAAAGGACATGAGAAATTGTGGAAGTAAGCACTGGTGAAGTACTAGATTAGCAGAAATTTTTCTTAAGTGCTCAAGAATGACTCCATCAAATTTTCCGCTTTGGTCCAAAATTTTTTTAACACCGATTAGCAGAATTACCGTAATGATTCGATTTAAGCACTCGGGCGCTTATCTACTAATGGTACGTCTAGGGCGCTAATTCCAAACAAGGCGCTAATCACGGACAGGGCGCTCATTTCTTTTTCGAAAAACAGTACAATGAGCGGAAAAAAGCTTTGATGTTTATTTGAAAAGGAATGATATAAAAAACTGCAAAAGTAACAAAGTTACATTGAATCTTCGTGTAATAATGATAGGGAGTGTACTCTAGCTCTACCTGATTAGCAGTGGCTGAGAAGTTTGCCCTTGGTGGAGGTTCAGTTGAGGTTCCACGTTCCTTGGAAAAAAAATCAATAAATAAACAAAATAGTGCAAGTACGAAGAGGTAGAAACCAATTTCAGTGTACAGGCTTGTCCAACAATGTTCTCCGCAACCGATTTTGGAATGTCAAGCAACGCAACGGACCCTTCCCTCCCCCTGTCATACTCGTTGTATCCCTTGGAAACAGGAAATGACAGCGAAAGAACAGCAATACGTTGAGACAGTGATAGTCTGCTTTAGGTGAATAAATACGTGAAACTGCATTCTAACACATGACGTCCAGTAAGAAACAGTATTAACTGCTTATGGTCAATATATTAAATTTTAGACTTCTATTAAAAACTGAAAAAACTGACACTGAGATAACATAAATGGAAAAACATGCCGGCGACATTTCTGGTGAAGCAAGCAGGTAACTGTAACCTGTTTTGTTGACAAAAAATGTTGGCTATATGAAAGACAGAGAGAGAGAGAGAGAGAGTTCCTGGTACAATTTGTGCCTTTTTTTTAAGTTGACCAACTTACTCTGTAAGGATTGTTGTAAGTCTGTGAAGCTCTCTCACTGAAGTTAAACTGGTTCGTCAACTTTGCTTCACTCTTTCCACCCACAGAGGCAGACGAGTCAGGTCGAACTTCTTCCGCTGATTTTTCCTGAACCAAAATAAATTCAAAGTTGTAAGTTTTACTCGTGTTTCGTCGTTTTCTTCCATAAACTTTGTCTCTTTCTTCTTGGCTCTGCGATAATGGAGCCTTAAGATGTCTAAAGACAACTGAGGAGTTTGGCCAGAAATTTAGTATGTCAGGCAACGTTACAGAAGAGTCTTTTTTCCAAGCGATTAAGGGCCGGTCATGCATTTAAACGTTGTTTAACCGTTGTTTAAACACAACCTAAGCCATTTTCAATTAAGCCGAACCTTTCATCTGATTATTTACTTTTGTGAACAGTGTCAAGAGAGCTGAAAGCTACCAGTGAGAGGACATTTATTTAATTAAATCAACCCTCTTATAGAGAATCCCTGAGGCCCATTGATTGCGTAAAACCGCGGTTTGGAGTTGACCTCGTGTAAATAACCGGCCCTAATAGTTTATGTCCGACGACTGTTCTATGATTTTAGGTCGCCATATGGTGACTTTGAAGAAAAGTTGAAATGTGGAATATGTCTTAATGAAACGAAGAATGCATCGTATACAGTAATTTGCCAAAATTCAGTCTAGATTACAAAATTATGATTAAAAATTGAGACAAATCACCTCTACTGCCTCAACTGCTTTGTTTTCTTTGTCTTCTTCTTCACCAGCTTCCCCAGCGTCATGTTCAGCTATAAGGACAGGAAGATGTTTGTCACCAAAGACACGCTGTACCTACATGTTAATATTATTCAGTCTATCTAAAAAATTTCTGGCAGTGTGTTGAGCAAGTTCCTCTGGTATCAAAGGTAATTTAGTATCATTAACTGAGTTTATAAATGTAAATATCATCACCCTGAATATAAAAAAAATAAAGTCTTTTAAAAGATGACGTTCGAGGATCAAATGAACCACTTCACCACCGTGAAGACTTTCAAAGATGACGAAGGGCTAACGTTCGAAACGTAAGCTTCGAAACTCTTTACGGTCGCCAATTTACGTTATCAACTCAGTTCATAATACCAAATTACCTTGTTACACTCACCCATCGACGCAGCAACACAGTTACTTAAAAAAAAAATTAAATTACCCCCTTTATCCGCCAATATTCAGATTGACCATCATTCCAAATTCAAGAAAAACAAACAATTTTGGAGTGAACTTTCAATAGTATTCAGTGAGAGGAAGGCGCTTTCTTCCAAAGTCATAGTAACTGATATACAACAACCAAAGAAGAAAGAGCGTTCAATCCCCGATCCTCAAAACAGCAACGCTTTCTCCCTTTTCATTCTTGATTGAAACACTATTATAGCCTGGAGCTTCTGAGAACATAAAATTATCCACAACAATATAAGAAATGGTGCAGATCCTCAAATTATTTCCTTCATCACATCTCTATTAATTATAAAAATCTGAATTATCTAACTATCAAGAACATTTAGAAAAATAATATCAGCCCAATGTATGTGCACGTACATTGGGCTGATATTGTCTTTCTAATTGTTCTTGTTCAATAAATTTTGCTCAATTGGTTACACAATTCTTCAAGGGTCTAAGTTCCTACAAGCGACTTGCAATAATTTACAAGGTAAACTAGGTTTGAAAAGTTCTAAGGATCCTGTACCCTCATGAGAGTCATTTTTCAATCAATGGTCTATGAACAATGTCCCATGGCAAGCATTTCAAATTGTGCATTTAACCCCATACTGATACAAGTACATCCACAATTTCACTACCTGTATGATTGCAAAGCAAAACTTAAAGAGAGAAATGACTCACAGCTGCTATCTTCATTATTGTAGACAATAAAGGTACATTTCTTAAAGGTCAAATGCACCGGTGACATCAGTAACAAGTCAATAACAGATTAAACAATAATATTTCAAGAATAAAAGCATGACAAGCAACTGAATCAAAGGAAACTAACAAACTCCATGTAATGGAATTGATGACTGACCAGCACTTCCTGACCTGTTCGCTGATAAATTAGAATTTATTTAGGAGGTAACTTAATTTAGTATGAACGTCAAAGAACAAAGGAATATGAGGTGTGATTAAAATTTTCTTTATTTCCAAGGGCATTCTCAAATTTTGTTATTCTTTATCTTAAAATTAACAAAAACAAACTTTTTTTCCCCTAGCCAAGGAAAAAAATATAGGTATGTTTGCTTATGCACTTTAAAGAGAAATTTGAAAAAATGTTTAATAGGCAAAAGTCTTAGAGTGGAACTGTGTGTTAACAAATTTAGCAATTATAATTAAAACAATTAAATAATCTAATAGCACCAAGTGCCTTTTCTTGATCCACAAGAATCTTGTGGATCTTTCAAGCCTTTGTTGTAAGAATTGTCTTAGTTGGTTAGGAAAAATTTGGGTGAAGCTTAAGTGAAAAACATGATATTAAACCAAATTTCCATCAATCAATCTCCTAACTAAAGTATAATTATTTAAAGAGAATACTACAAAGAGTTTAGAAACAAATATTTGCATATATTATCATCAGAATTTAGTTTTTGTAGACTCTTAACTCTGTAATTTTGATTTATCAAAAATTACAAGTTAATAGTGTTATTTCTTGAGTAGTAATTATAAATATTAACCCACACTTTTGTGAAAATCATGCAGTTGATAAATATTGCATGGTGCTACTCACAAACAGAGCTCAATGGCCTCAGGAAGTCATCAAAGCCTTACAGGTTAATGGGCAAGAACAAGATGGAGTTAGCCTTTAAAATTCATACAACATAATAACTGTTGAATAATATTAGTAAAACGAATGATGTGGATATTTCTCTACACTAAACCTGTTACTTCTTTTAGCTCTATGTAAAAATAAATTCTTGTGGTTAATGACATGGTATTCAAAAAAATTTTACAAATAATGCCTAGAATTTATGTCATTAATTTTTTTAAAAAATTAATGTGAAACAGATTGTGTACAAAAATGTTCATATAATCTTTTTATATTAGATGAGGTCAATTATTATATAATATTTCCAAAAAAAAAATTTAGCAAAATTTATGTTAAGCCAATAGTGTGTACACTTTTATAAAAAAAGCAAGTGGCAAAAATTTCCCACTTTACTTCTCTCGAAAGCATTCCACCAAATTGCTTTTGACTATATGTAAATCACTTATTTTTTCAAATGCTTAGCTATATACAACATAAACAAAGTAATTAAGTATTAACTATTATTATAAGTATTATTATTATTAAGTATAAACCTCTTCCACAGTGGCAGGAATGATTTTTGTTATTTTATCCATATGCAGATTAGTTTTATTAGCTTCAGTTTGAATGGGAGTTTGATTGGTTTTACACAAATTGATGTTAAACAAGAAAAGCTAATTTCTTTGTATATAAAAATACACCAATCCCACAGATCATTGATGAAAGAGGTTTATTTGAACTTCATAATTTCAAAGGAATGAATCCCAGCTCAACCTAAAGTGGTTTTTTAATTTTTCACAGGTAGTTTAATACTTCTTAACCTACCTTCCAGTCCTTGCCTTGCTCTTTGTCTCCTGGCTTCATCTGAGTCTTTATGAAGCATGTTCCTTCAAAAAATTCATTGTTCATGACCATTCAAATACATTTTCAACATCTAAAATTTTGTATGGTGTTATTCCAGAGGGAGTATACCCTTTTAATACTCAGTTGTAATTTGTATGCCTCTTAATGTCCTGGTCCTATTTCATTCCCAATTCCAGACCCTGGTTTCAGAGAGTTTGTAAATCAATCATCATGTTAATGGGTATCAGCCTTCAGGTTAGCTACATGTGTATATCTGGCCCATTCCATAATCTTTCTTTGAAGATTTATGGGATCGATTTTGTTTTGGACAAACATGTACATGTGATGACTACAACTCCAGAACAACTGTATCAGGGAATGTGCATGAGTCTGTGCATTAATGCAGCCTTAATACCCCTTAATTCTAGGGAATACTTTGTAAGTGTGTATACACAACCCTAAAGTAGCTAACTAACAGAAATACTCCCAAGTAAATAAAACAGTCTCCTACCCATCAAGAGCAAAGTGAATTGCCAGCTGATCCACACTTGATGTTGGTTTAAAGCATTTTTCCTGTGTATAAAAAAAAAGATCATGTCTTCACTATCTTAAATATTAACAAAGCAAGACACTTACAAGTATTTTTAAGCCACAATGTATATGAATGTAATTTTAAAAAGAAACCATATCCACACACTTTCAGAGTTGAGAAGTCAATTACATCTACAGGTGAGGGTGTCAATCACTGTGATGATGGAGTGGAAGGAACCTTTTATTTTTATGTCATCTCACTGTTTCATTGAACAAGTGCTTTCTGATTTATGCCAATGTACATGTTGATATTTTTCAGACTAAATTTTTCCCAGTGCACGTAAAAGTGGTACACTGGTAGTAGTTTGATAAACACACTTTCCTTTCTTCAATGATCATGGTACGAAATGCACTTAGACAAAATCAAACTACATGTGTTTGCAAATAAATATATAGCATTTATTCCTGAAATTCATTTTAAACTACAAACATATATTTTCAGAGCTTACTCTGTAATTTCCATAGGTTTGTTTTGAGAGTGGACATAAATATTGGAAAAAATTCTTACCTTGAAACTGTAGCGCACTATGTTGCTTGGAGCATGGGGGTTGTTTGCAGTCAAGATCCTGGTAAACTCCTCTTTCAACTCTGCCTCTGTCAATTCCAGCTGGTCATCTGGCTTGATTAGCTGTTTGGGCTGGAGTAAAAATTTAAATTTTGATGTAATGATTGTAGGAAGAAAAAATTGTTCTCACTTTAGATGAATGATCAGTGACTAACTACTGTACATTTATAGCTGGCTACTTTGATGTGGACAATGCAATAAGAAGGAATTATTTATGATATCAAAAACATGACCAAGCTGAAGATACCTGCATCCATTCATCCAAGTCATCTCCTATCTGTGTAGCATCATCATCATCCTAGAAAAATAAAAATAACCATTCATGTGTAAATTTACATGTACTCGCAGTATCGATGTATAGAGAGTAGATGAAATTGAATATGCATTGCTTGTCTCTTTTGTACCTTTTTAACCTTCATTTACTGTGAGAGAAAGGTTTATTAACCCCATTGTTCCCATGAGTGACCAAGACAGAATTTCTCCTTACAATATCAACAAATTTTATAGCAAAAGGGTGATGAGAGGTTATTTAGTAAAATATCACCTTAGGAAAGTGCCAAATTCTCAGAGCTAAAACTCAAGAAGAGCATTGCAGACAGTGCAGAGAACTGACATTTTTATCTTAGGAGTGAATTTAAAGGTTAATAAAGTGCTAGATTCCCTATGCACTAGCCACTAAAGAGGTAAAAAAAAAACTAATTGCAAACCTTTTTCTTTGTTTTGACAGCAGCAGTTTTGCTGACAGACTTCACAGCTGCATTTGAAGGAGTGACTCCTGGTTTCTTGTCCTTTCAGGATAAAACATGAACACAACCGCTCAGAGTAATTTTTAAAAGCCAACGGTAATCCAGGATTATTAGGAATCTTGCACTTAACATCATCGACCAGAAAAGTGAAACTTAATAATTATCCAGCCATGATCTTAGCTTTTTATATTTTCCTGTAGTTGTAGCAGGTTAAAATTCCCTAATGTGAGTCCTTGTGTTTCTTTCTAGTATATAAACATTTGTTCTGATTTGTATGTATTAATATGATGTTATCTAAGGTTAATATTTTTCAAGAGGTCGAAAGAAAATTTGACTTCATGATGAGAAACTAGTGACAACTAGAAAATCCTGACTGTTTCTCATAATAAATCAAGATGAGAGCAAGATGACAAATGCTGTGCTCAAGACAGTTGGCTGTTGATGATTCGTAGTTTGGAGGAGAAATATTTTCAGCTTATGATCAGGACACTAGGAGATTTACGCGCTGCATGCTTTCAGTGTAATTTTCTCACAAAGAAATGCATCATCTTGCAATATATGAAGTTTTATTTGCACGATTATGAACGATTAATCGCCTGTAATGCGAAATAACCATCATTGGCCACTGTTACTTGAAAACGACTTGCTTCAAAACAGACATGGCGGACAGCAAGGAGTAACATGACGACGCAGCCAAAAAAAAGAGGGTAAACTCACCGCTTTCGCAGCCTTGACGTTTCCTTTCTTCATAACGTTGAAAAATGTATTCAGAGGTTACTTTTTCCGACTTTAAACAGCAAAATCAAACGCAACAAACCGCGTTATCAAGACTCACTTTTCGGAACAAGGTAAGTTAGTGTTACCCTGGTAACAGGCCTTGGCTACCAAGCTCAGGCGAGGTTACAAAGTAGCAATATGGCAGACGAATCAACCGGCGAACGGGAGAAGGATCTATCTGACAGTGACTCTTGTGAGAGCTTTCAGGACTCAGAAGAAGCACCTGATAGACTCTCAACTTCATCAAAGCAAAGTTCACTAAAAGATTCAAAAGCGATCTCTTCAAAAGTCAAGAAAGATTGGAAAAGGAGGTTTCGCTATTTATCGTACAAGGACTTTTTGGTTCAAACGAGGTCGTTGATCAGCATGAACGATAAATCAATCGTTAAAGACCTTTCTGCAACTGCGTCAGAGAAAATTAAAAGGAGAGACGAAGAAGCGGAAAGTATATATGCAGATGACAAAGGGTATTTTCGGGGAGAAATTTTCGAAGAACTGGAAAGTGATGATAACATTGGTTTTGCTGGTGACGTCTGCAAGCAGCTGAATCTGTTGCCAAATATGGATGTCTCTGATCATGAGCCAACTATAATAGATGATAGTTCTTTAAGGACTGATTTGCAGACAGACTCTTTTACTCCAGAGATTGTCGTTGTTCCAAGTTCGCGATTTGTTCGTGAACTAAAAGTTGAAAAAGTAACTATGAATTAATTAGCAGCTAATTATTTACAGATAGGTGCGTTAGTTTGCTTTCTTTTCCCTGAAAAATACGGTACAGAGGTTTTTTTTATCTTTCGGTGTATATCTTTACTATTCGCGTTTTGTATTTCAGTTATCTTGCAATATATATGCCATTCTTGCTTGAAAATGTTGTTTCAGCTTTCGAAGTGTAAATAGCAAAGAATGCATCTATAGAAGACAGTTGGGACAGTAAATGGCGAAATATTCTGCAAGATGTCGCCTAAAATGATATGGCGCGTAAACCTTAGAAGAACGCTGCTTTATGCATTCTGGTTATGCAGCCTTTACCTTCAGGGTACCGGTCGGGATAAATCGTCATCCACTGAATACGGATTTAATCCTTTACACCCTAACATCAGTATCCATAGTCTCTATACTCTTCTCTATACATTTCCTTTAGTACTGACAAGGAGAATTTGTTTAACAATCAAAGCTTCTTTGGTTGGCGATTTTTATGATCTTAATGAAAGATTCAGCTGTATAACTGTAAGGAGAAATTAGATGCTGGTCACTCTCAGGGTTTAAAGAGTGAAACCCATTCTATATATAAAACTTTTCGCCAGCTACAGCTATTTCCGATAGCCTACGTTATCGATATGTTTGGACGCGAGCCAAAAACTGGGTCCAGTGAATAAAGTCAACGGTGAATAGTAAACTTTCCTCGTAGATTATATTAAAACGGCTGGGAAAAAATATCTCTCTTTTTGTTTTCTTTCGTTTCGATTTTCTTTGTTTATTTGCGTTTTTTTTCACTTACAAACACACATGGCGTAAGAAAAGCTGTACAAAGCTTTCGCGAGCATCATGTATTCTTATTTGCGAGACTCGGATAATAGGTGCGTAATCGCAGTGTCCTCGAGGTGTTCATATACACAACAAATTTTATAATCCTGCGTTTTTACATACTGCTCTTGGATGACTTCATCTTATCTATTTTGGTGCTGTTTTAAAATTCATTCAAACGCAGATCATCACTGAACCAAGATGTAGCACATGGCTCTAATGGAAGAAAGACCACCGCACCCTCTGTTGTCAACACCAAACCCTATTGCAGAATCACATGTATGGCAGTTGTCTTCGTTGTTCCCAAGGATTCCGACTCTTGCTCTGCGATTGGCCATGGTATTGAATCCTTCCTGGTTGCAGTTGAGCTGAAGTTCAACCCTTGAATCAGTCAGCGCTATCCACTTGTACCGACCCAGTGAAGTAGCCCGATACTGACCATCAGCGATCAGAGAGTGAAGAGAGGAAGCCTGGCTGGTGATAAGAGTGAAGTTCATCTGTCCGTTAACCTTCATACCGAGACAGACCTTGGAAAAGGGTGTGTTCCAGTAGGTCGACAACTTGGCTTCTTGTGAATCGAAGCCAGTCATTCCACCAGAAGGGTTGTATTCGCTTTTGTCAGTCCAGTATCCCGAACTGAACCGAAAAGTGTTCTGCGAAATAATTGTATTATAATAAATAATCAATCCGATGCAAAGAGAAGCATCGAAAGAAGTAAGCAAGAAAATTGTGCATTGGGATTCAGAATTTATTAAAGTTACGCGCCTCGAACAATTTTCCGTTTGAAACCGCCTGTTTTTTTATTTTGAGGGAGAAACGGAAGGGTGGAAGAATATTTGACCTGACCTGCACCGCATCTGCGCAATGTTACATACTTCGCTATGATTCTTCGTCGCGAAAACCAAAACATTTTGCTGTGGCACGAAGCTCAACTCAGACTTGTTCGAGATAAATGAAGTAAGACATTTGTGATTAAAGATACCTGAATTCTATACTTCAAATTGGTGAGTGATGTATTTTTCTGCAGACCCTTCAACAACAGGTAACAACCTACCTTGTTGCCATCAATCTTCATAACTGGTGTCCATCCACCATCTCCACATCCAAAATCTCCCATTTGACAGAGAACAGAAGTTGTATTCGAGCCAAAGTGTAAGGTAACCAACTCGCTGGCGTTCGACCTGTTCGGGGAACCAGATCAGTTTTAACAATCACATTGATTTTTATTTCCCCAAAATCTATTTGATCCAATAATTCTTAAATCGATGTTAAGTTTTACGCATTATAAATGACAAGAATAAGCCCTGAATATTTTACTGAAGGAAATTAATTTGGAAACACAAGAGAAGATGATTTCTGACGTTAAATCAACAGATAACCCTTTTTTTAATTCTTAATTCGCCCTTTTAGTGTCTAAAGTAAGAATTTAACTTATCACCGACTGCATTCCAATCTAGAGTTAAAGATTGAATTAAATATCGAGCTTTTCCCTATTCATTTATATAAAACAAGTTTCAAACTTACTTGTATGAATTGTACGCATCTTTACAGGACTTGAAGCCTAAGTATGAATTAAAGAATTGCGTGTTACAAATGATGTCTCCGGCATGCAGCAAGGGTAAGAGTTTTCTTTAAATCTTCAATTCTTATTCGCCACACACCGTTGAAGTAATTAACAATTACTAACTGAAGTGATGGTGAATATCCATTCCTTGCAAGGGATGTACAGTGCTGCATTAAACGAGTTCGTCAGAGGAAGCCTTTGATAAATTTCAGTTAGGAAAGAGGTCAATTGTAGGCCCGACGCAATGATCACTCAATTGGCTATATTGTCGTTCATATGCTAAAAGCAAACTGCTCTTGGGGCAAGGCAATTCCTGGATAGGGAGCCAAATTTTATGCAAATAAATGCTAATCCAACCTGGCAATTGCAAGTAACGTCTAACCTTTCTCGCAGAAATCTCCAATGAAGCCTTTCTTGCAGAGGCATTCAAAGATGCCATATTTGTAACTTGGTACACAGGTCCCTTCATTTTTGCATGGCGAGGAAGAACAGGGAGACTGAGTAGAAGAAGAAACACTTAATAGTTGAACAATGATAACATGAGGGTCTATTTTAAATAAAATTTCACTCATAATAGAGCCTACTGCTAAACAAAGGATATACAGTCCTGTTATGTGATAGAGTAAAGAGGTAAAGAGTAAGGTTTCAAATTAACCCCCCCCGTTGGCTCAGGCCTTACAGCGAAGCTTTAGGCCTCTTAAGTACTTAACAGTACACATTTACAATCTTTAAAGAATATCTGTAACCTTAATGACGAAATGATGGGAGCTCTTGTTTCCAAGGAGTTCAGTGGAGTTTCTGTATTTGTCAGAAGAGAGCAGCTCGCACCAAAACTTTCCGTCCATTCCTCTAGACGCGGCCAGGTTCACAGAAAAACATGACGTATGACTGAGGCACTTAAATGTACATTCAATGCTATCATCCACTGTGAAGGATCCAATTCTGGGGACGTTCAGATAACGGAATTCTTCTTTCACAAACACATGCTGTCGAACAGTTTGTGGGGGGCGGTAGATATCATGGCCACCTGGTTGAGACAAAAGGTAGTATATGTCAGGCAAGCTCTACCTTGAATAGCGCCAAAACTTGAAAATACTCTAATTCCCAAGATCCCCTATCAATAAGAGATTATTTAATAGTTGAATCAATATCAAATACTCCGAACTAACATCTCAAGAATTGTATAACAGACAGTTAGGAGAATTACTAATGAGATCTTGGGGGTGACTGGGTTAAATTTGCAGAAACCTTTTTTTTTAACGCAACCGATGCCACATTCAAAAAGGTCCGTAAAATACACTTATTATGAGCAGTCTTCTATCTAAATCTAGAAAGGCTGCCACTCTTCATTTGTGATAAGAGAATACAAACTCAGAAAGTTATATCAAGGTGAAATAGAATGAGATAAACGAAAAGAGACACATTTTTGATAAATCTTTACGTGGCGTCATCTACATAAGCATACCAGAAGTCTTTACCTTAAAAAAACTGGTTTTAAGATGACTATTTGTGCAGATCAAGTTCTCATTTTTTCCTGCCTCCGCCATGGCGAAGTTTTCATAGAAAACATAGCTAAACAGCTCTTTTTTGTTTCACTTTGGACATGTGAATAATTTATGATTGGATAAATGAATGGTCCGTGAGTGGATGTGACTACTGTTTATATAAAGAAGGGATGCAATTCAGTATAACTCGCTAATTTGTGGATCGTGTGCTTACTTTCTCGGAGAAATCAATTGAAAGGGATTTTACGGACAGTTGACAAGCTTCCACTTCCCCATCTATGAAATATATGTAGGGGATTTCGTCGTTATGGATTCAAAAGCTGACCCTCTTAATTTATTTTTTGTGACCATAACATTGATATTTTAACATATTTTGATAAATTTACAACAAACTAGCTTTTAAGTAAATTAGAATTATTTGAATGAGACATCACAGGGAATGCATACGTAATGATGATTATTTTAGCAAAGTATACAATATACAATGCAGGTGCTCCCAAAATATTGATTTTAAATCTGAGTGCTCGATCGTTTGCTTATGGTATAATTGATGATTGACTTTGGGTTCTTCGAATTTCACTACTTCGCGTGTAGAGAAAATAAAGTAACTGTAAGATTTCAATTTTCCAATCATACCGATTGAAAATGTTGGGAAACGTGTAGGGAAAAAAAGACCCACAGTTATATTTTAGATAGTTTAAACTGAGTTGCGAAATATTTTAAAACAAGCTAATGTTCAAATTCGTGAATAATTCACAAATGTCACCATGACAGAGTGAAACTCTTTATGCCCAAAGACGGAAGTTCTCTATGTATAGGGTTTAATTCAAACTACAGCATGAAAATTAGGCAGTATGTCCTATTCAAAATTTAAAAATTTGCTTACTCGGGAACAGCATCGAGAAAGAAACCATTCATTCTATTCTGAAAACGTCTGAGGTTCGATTGAGGTCAGAGGTTTGAGGTTCGCTTCCTTAGTCATGGGGACTCAGAATTTTCTCTTTGTCCTACGCTCGTGAAAAGACGAAAAGACATCTTTCTCTATTTCTTTACTGAGCTCAAAACTTACCATCTCTTCTATTCTATTTGAAAACTGTTTATATTTTACATAACAGGGATCTTTGAAGGATGCATGCTCAAGATCCTCTGGGGTCATTTCGTGTCGACGTCTTCGACAGCGAGGAAGACTATCAAGACAATCTTGATGAAACTTTAAAGGTAGAGAAATGTTTCAAATGATTGGTTCCGAGTAGATTATATTTTGCGAAGGAGTCTTATTAGCTTCACACAAGAATAATGAGCAAAGTTAAGTAAGATAAAGTTGGCTCTTTCAAATTTATGGAAGCAGGTTATTTCCAATTACTATCTTACAAGCTTGCCTTGAAGATACTTTTTTCAAGGGACGCTGCACACTAACCTTGAGAAGCAGCTGCCTCGAGGAGTAGATTAGGCCAGATAATTAAAAGCGAACAAATAAAAACTAGAAACATGGCTTAAAAGGATGTAAGTCCACAAGGGCACAAAAGTATTGAATTCATGAAAAACCAACTGTTATTGAAACTATGATAAAGCTCTTGCGTGCTGATTTCAACTGACCAATCAGATAACTTTTATGACGGCAGCTGCTGCGCGCATTTCTTCTGTATATATCATAAGTTGATATGTTACGTGGGGTCTATTAAAATTTAATGATTGCTCTAAGTTTCTTATATCTTGTGAAACAGATAAAGGAAAGCATTTTGGTGAAGTACTTTGATAACATTACTGACCGAGTAAGCAACTAGGATCATCCTCAAAATCCTACACAAAGTCTCGTCCTTACCTAGTCTACAAATCATTGGTTGATGCCAATCACTTTTCTCGCGTGCGAGTCCTTTTCATATCCTCCTTTCCATATTGGATCGAATAATTTTTTAAATACACAGCATCATAGCTACCAGAAACATAAGCTTCTGCTAGAAAATTAGATTATGAGACCGAGATTTCTATCTATCTATTATTGATTGACTTAAAACTGCAGCTAAAATGAATCATTGATTGAATAAAAGAGCGTATTTTTTAATAGTTAATTTTTTAAATTCGTTAACTTGTGTGTTGCGTCAGGGATCATTTGAAAAATGTAGCGGATCGTCAACTATAAACCGGTTAATTAAAAGTATATGAAGTGTAGCGGCAAATTTTGTCGAAACACTGACGTTTGGAGCCAAGCCATTCATCTATGCTCCGAGAACCAAGCCTCGAAAAGTCAGCGTTTTCAAAATTTCCGACGGTGGTAGTCTACATTTTCACTAACCTTCTGCCTTGAGGATCAGTTCAGACCAGATAAATAAAACAGAATAAAAAAAAGAAACATTCGCGGCGATGGCCCGTGAATCGACCATCGAGGTTTTTTAGGCGAAAATATCTAAAACTGCCGTTTCTCCCTCAAAACAAACTGACTCTGCTGTCGTTAAAACATCTCCTTAATCTCGTTGATTTTTATTGACTGACCAATCCAGCTAGATTATCCTACGGCAGGTGCTAACTACGTTTTCACATATGCCAACTCTCCCGGATTATCCGGGAGTCTCCCGGATACAGAGGCAATCTCCCGCTCTCCCGTACGGGTGACCAAAAACCACCATACAAAAGAAAGTTTGGATCAGTTGCCCACAAGATAAGCTCCTTATGTTCCAAAATTCCGAAATCATTTGGCTTCTTATGCTTGTATTACGGTTTCTGGCTTCATTTTCTTGCATGATGCATGTTGTTCGTTGCAAACAAATAGAAGAGAGTTTCTTCTTTGTTACCCCTATATAAGCGAGAGTCTGATTGGATGAGTATTCAACCACTTGAAGTTCCTGATAGATAGATCCACGTTTTTCCCGCGAAATTGCTCGGTGAGGGGGGAGAGGTAGGGGATCGTATTGACAAACTCGGTCGGGGTGGGGGGTAGATGCTGGTCCGGAAAAAAGTCTCCAGATCTAAGATCGCCAGAGGTTGGCATCTCTGTGTTTTGATAATTTTACAAACAAACCCAGTGGTTAAAGATTACTATTTCAGTTTGAATGTATCTAAATGCAAATGTATAAACTCGAAAAACACGCCCATATCAAACGATTTTTAAAAAGCGATGGGCATTTCACGCAGAGGAAGATGAAGCAAATGTTTTCTTGCTTGAAAATGTTGTTTCAGCTTTCGAAGTGTAAATAGCAAAGAATGCATTTATCGACAAAAGTTAGAAGAAAAAAGAATAGAAGCCAGATGCGACAGTAACTGGCGAAATATTCTTCAAGATGTCGCCCAAAATTATACGGCGCGTAAACCCTAGAATTACGCAGCTTTAATGCATTCTGGTTCTGCAGCCTTTACCTTTAGGGTACCGGTTGGGATAAATCGTCATCCACTGAATAGGAATTTAATCCTTTACACCCTAACATCAGTATCCATAGTCTCTATACCCTTCTCTATACATTTCCTTTAGTACTGACAAGGAGAATTTGTTTAACAATCAAAGCTTCTTTGGTTGGTGATCATTTTCCTTATTCTTATGATCTTAATGAATGATTCAACTGTATGACTGTAAGGAGAAATTAGATGCTGGTCACTCTCAGGGTTTAAAGAGTTAAACCCATTCTATATATAAAACTTTTCGCCAGCTACAGTTGTTTTCGATAGCCTACGTTATCGATATGTTTGGACGCGAGCCAAAAACTGGGTCCAGTGAATAAAGTCAACAGTGAATGGTAAACTTTCCTCGTACGTTATATTAAAACAGCTGGGGATAAATATCTTTTTTTTTTGTTTTCTTTCGTTTCCATTTTGCTTTGTTTATTTGCATTTTTTCACTTACAAACACACATGGCATAAGAAAAGCTGTACAAAGCTTTCGCGAGCATCATACATTCTGATTTGCGAGACTCGGATGATAGGTGCTTAATCGCAGTGTTCTCAAGGCGTTCATATACACAACAAATTTTATAATCCTGCGTTTTTACGCACTGTTCTTATATGACTTCATCTTATCTATTTTGGTGCTGTTTTAAAATTCATTTAAACGCATATCATCACTGAACAAAGATGTAACACATGGCTCTAATGGAAGAACGATCACCGCACGCTCTGTTGTCAACACCAAACCCTATTGCAGAATCACATGTACGGCAGTCGTTTTCGTTGTTCCCAAGGATTCCGACTCTTGCTTTGCGATTGGCCTTGGTATTGAATCCTTCCTGGTTGCAGTTGGGCTGAAGTCTAGCCCTTGAATCAGTCAGCGCTATCCACTTGTTCCGACTCAGTGAAGTGGGCCGATACTGACCATCAGCAATCAGAGAGTGGAGAGAGGAAGCCTGGCTGTTGATAACGGTGAACCTCAACCGTCCGTTAACCTTCATACCGAGACAGACCTTGGAAAAGGGTGTGTTCCAGTACGTCTGTAATTTGGTCTCTTGTGAATCGAAGCCAGTCGTTGCACCAGACGGGTTGTATTCGCTTTTGTTAGTCCAGTATCCCGAACTGAACCGAAAAGTGTTCTGCGAAATAATTGTATAAGAGTAAATAATCAATCCCATGCAAAGATAAGCATCAAAAGTAGTAAGTAAGAACATTGTGTATTGTGATTCAGAATCGATTAAAGTTACGCGCCTGTCAAAATTTCCCGTTTAAACCGCCTCTTTTTTTATTTTTAGGGGGAAAAGAAAGAAAAGTAGAAGAATATTTGACCTGACCGGCAACGCATCTGCGCAATATTACATACTCCGCTATGATTCTTCGTCGCGAAAACCAAAATATTTTGCTGTGGCACGAAGCTCGAGTCAGGCTTTAAAAGTTAGGGGTATGAGAAAAAGTACAAGCGTTTGTTCGATATAAATGAAGTGAGACATTTGTGGTTAGAGATACATGAATTCTTTACTTCAAATTAGTGAGTGATGTATTTGTCTGCAGACCCTTTGAAGGAAAATTTTCACAACAAAAGGTAACAACCTACCTTGTTGCCATCAATCTTCATAACTGGTGTCCATCCACCATCTCCACATCCAAAATCTCCCATTTGACAGAGAACAGAAGTTGTATTCGAGCCAAAGTGTAAGGTAACCAACTCGCTGGCATTCGACCTGTTCGGGGAACCCGATCAGTTTTAACAATTACATTTTTATTTCTCCAAAATCTATTCGATCCAGTAATTCTTTAATTGATGTTAAATTTTACGCATTATAAATGACAAGAATAAGCCCTGAATATTTTTTATTGAATGAAACTAATTTGGAAACACAAGAGAAGATGATTTCTCACGTTAACTCAACAGATAACCCCTTTATTAAGTTCTTAATTCGCCCTTTTTAGTGTCTAAAGTAAGAATTTAACTTTATCACCGACTGCATCCCAATCTAGAGTTAAAGATTGAATTAAATATCGAGTTTTTCTCTCGTCATTGATATAAAACAAGTTTCAAACCTACTTGTATGAATTGTACGCATCTTTACAGGACTTGAAGCCTAAGTATGAATTAAAGAATTGCTTATTACAAATGATGTCACCGGCATGCAGCAAGGGTAGGAGTTTTCTTTAAATCTTCAACTCTTATTCGCCTGACACCGTTGAAGTGATGGTAAATATCCATTCCTTACAGGGGATGTACAGTGCTGCATCAAACGAGTTCCTTTGATAAATTTCAGTTAGGAAAGAGGTCCGTCGTAGGACCGACGCAATGATCAGTCAGTTGGCTATGTTGTCGTTAATAAACTAAAAGCAAACTGCTCTTGGGGCAAGGTAATCCCTGGATAGGGAGCCAAATTTTATGCAAGTAAATGCTAATCCAACCTGGCAGTTGCAAGTAACGTCTAACCTTTCTCGCAGAATTCTCCAATAAAGCCTTTCTTGCAGAGGCACTCAAAGATGCCATTTTTGTCTCTTGGTACACAGGTCCCTTCATTTTTGCATGGCGAGGAAGAACAAGGAGACTGAGGAGAAGAAGAACCTTTTAATAGTTGAGCAATTATAACATATGGGTCTGTTTGAAATAAAATTTCACTCATAATAGAGCCTACTTCTAAACAAAGGATATAGAGTCCTGTCATGCGATAGAGTAAAGATAACCCCCCTCCCCTCCCTCCCTTGTTGGCTCAGGCCTTACAGCGAAGTTTTGGGCCTCTTAAGTACTTAACAGGACACATTTGCAATCCCTAAAGAATATCTGTAACCTTAATGACGAAATGATGGGAGCTCTTTTTTCCAAGGAGTTCAGTGGAGTTTCTGTATTTGTCAGAAGAAAGCAGCTCGCACCAAAACTTTCCGTCCATTCCTCTAGACGCGGCCAGGTTCACAGAAAAACATGACGTATGACTGAGGCACTTAAATGCACAGTCAATGCTATCATTAACTGTATAGGAACCAATTCTGGAAACGTTCAAATAACGGAATTCTTCCATCACAAACAGATGCTGTCGAACAGTTTGTGGGGGGCGGTAGATATCATGGCCACCTGGTTGAGGCAAAATGTAGTATATGTCAGCCAAACTCTACATAAGCAAATTTGGTCCTTTGAAAAAAAAATTTCTGCGAAAAAAGTCTTTACCTTAAAAAAAATGGTATTAAGATGACTTTTTTTGCAGGATCAAGTTCTCATTTTTTTCCTGCTTCTGCCATAGCAAAGTTTTCATAGAAAACATAGATTAACGCTCTTTTTTGTTTCACTTTGGGCTTAAAATTTGAATAAGTTATGATTGGATAAATGAATGGTCCGTGAGTGGATGTGACTACTGTTTACATAAAGAAGGGATGCAATTCAGTATAACTCGCTAATTTGTGGATCGTGTGCTTACTTTCTCGGAAAAATCAATTGAAAAGGATTTTGCGGACAGTTGACAAGCTTCCACTTCCCCATCTATGAAATATATGTAGGGGATTTCGTCGTTATGGATTCAAAAGCTGACCCTCTTACTTTATTTTTTGTGGCCATGCAAATTATATTTGGGAAACATTAATATTTTAACATATTAGAATTATTTGGATCTTTGTTACGTTTAATGCAATAATTGCATTATTATTTTTTAACGGACTGACAAATCATTTTTAAGATGCGCCATTTTGTAATTAAGAATGAAGACAGGGAGACTAGTTTTAATCATCCTGGATGCTTGTTATGTAATTTTCAGCATCATTTAAATATGAGGCATGACAGGGAATGCATAGGTGATGATGATTATTTTAGCAAAGTATACAATATACAATGCAGGTGCTCCCAAAATATTGGTTTTAAGTCTGAGTGCTCGCCGTTTTGCTGATGGCATAATTAACGATTGAGATTGGGGTCTTCGAATCTCACTATTTTGCGAGTAGAGAAAATAAAGTAACTGTAAGATTTCAATTTTCTAATCATATCGATTGAAAATTTAGGGAAACATGTAAGGGAAAAAAAAAGCCCAGCAGCTATATTTTAGATAGTTTAAACGGAGTTGCGAAATAATTTAAAACAGGCTAATGTTCAAATTCGTGAATAATTCACCAATGTCATTATGACGGAGTGAAACTTTTTATGCCCAAAGACAGAAGTTCTTCATGCATAGGGTTTAATTCAAACTACAGCATGAAAATTGGGCAGTATGTCCTATTCAAAACTGAAAACTTGCCTACTCTGAAACTGCATTGAGAGAGAAACCATTCATTCTATTCTGAAAACGTCTGAGGGTCGATTGAGGTCAGAGGTTTGAGGTTTGCCTCCTTGGTCATGGGGACTCAGAATTTTTTGTTTGTCCTACGCTCGTGACAAGACGAAAAGACATCTTTCTCTATTTCTTTACCGAGCTAAAACCTTACCATCTCTTTTACTCTATATTTCAAAACTGTTTAAATTTTTACTTAATATGAATCTTCGGAGAATTCATGCTCAAGATCCTCTGGGGTTATTTCGTGTCGACGTCTTCCATAGCAAGAAAGACTATCAAGGCAATTTTGATTAAACTGTTAAGGTAGATTCAAATGATTGGTTCCGAGTAGATTATACTATGTGAAGGAGTCTAAAAGTATATTAATTAGCTTCACACAAGAATATGGGCAAAGTTACTTCAAGTAAGGTTTACTTGAAGTAAGATAAAATTGGCTCTTTCAAATTTATGGAAGCAGGTTATTCCCAATCATTATCTTGCAAGCTTGACTTAAAAATAACTTTTTCATCGATGGACTCCGCATACTAACCTTGAGAACCAACTGCCTCGAGGAGCAGACTAGGCCAGATAATGAACATCGAACAAGTAAAAACTAGAAACATGGCTTAAAAGGACGTAAGTCCACGAAGGCACAAAAGTATTACGGGGGTCTATTAAACTTTAATGATTGCTCTAAGTTTCTCATATCTTGTTAAACAGATAAAGGAAAGCATTATGATGAATTACTTTGATAACGTTACTGACTGAATAAAGAACTGGGATCATCCTCAAAATCCTACACAAAGTTTCGTCCTTATCTAGTCTACAAATCATTGGTTGATGCCAATCACTTTTCTCGCGCGCAAGTCCTTTTCATATCGTCGCCTTGAGTTTTTATTTGCTCCTTTCTATATTTGATCGAATAATTTTTTATGACTTAACTTAAATGAAGGTTTGACAGCTGATACACATAACAATTTTATAATTCGCGGCAGCTCTCAATAATTTTACAAGCAAATGAGTTTCAACGATGGGCATTGTTCAGTTTGACAGGTGTATTGTTATTCATGGCTACGCTAAAGCCAATGGCTTGCTCACCTAAAAAGTGCCATATTTGAACGCAATTTCGACTACAAGTTTTCAAACTAAAATGGTTAAAGGTTCCCATCGGCCAATTTTCAAACTTAAAACGGATTCTGTGAGAATAAAGATTAATCTTTTATTTACTGCGCGTTGATTGTTCAAGGGAAGTAAGGGTTTTCAAAAAATCGCTCCGGAAAATGATTTCCATACTTAATTTTAGGTGCAAATTGTAGATACATCTTTAATCTTCATCTTATCTAGTCTACAAATTAATTATCGATCGACTTAAAACTGCAGCTAAAATGAATCATTGATTAAATAAAAGAGCGTATTTTTAATAGTTAATTTGTTAAGTTCTTTAACTTATGTGTTGCGTCGGGGATTATTTGAAAAATGTAGCTGATCGTCAACTATAACCAGGTTAATTAAAAGTATATGAAGTGTAGCGGCAAATTTTGTCGAAACACTGACGTTTGGAGCCAAGCCATTCATCTATGCTTCAAGAACCAAGCCTCGAAAAGTCAGCGTTTTCAAATTTCCCACGGTAGTAGTCTACATTTTCACTGACCGTCTGCCTTGAGGATAAGTTTAGACCAGATAAATAAAACAGAACAAAAAAGAGAAACATTCGCGGCGATGGCCCGTGAATCGACCATCGGGGTTTTTTACGCGAAAATATCAAAAACCGCCGTTTCTCCTTCAAAACAAACTGACTCTGTTGTCGTTAAAACATCTCCTTAATCTCACTGATTTTTATTGACTGTCCAATCCAAGTAGATTATCCTACGGTAGGTGCTAAATACGTTTTCATATACGCCAACTCTCCCGGATTATCATTGAGTC